TCAGGCACCGAGACTTTGTACGCTGTACCTCAAAAAGGCTCCTTGATTTTCATATGTCGTGGATAGCCCACCATTCCTTTGTTACAGGTGTCTTTTAGCCAAGCAGAACTCCATAACATTCTATAACAAATCTCCAATAACTAATTATGTACTTAGAGCTTACTCTCGCAGAATATGTTCTCGACCTCGGCAAAGCTATAGTAAAATTGCAAACTTCACGGGTTGAGCAAGGTCCCGGATGGCTTAACGCATTTACCAGAAACAATGTGCTTCACAGGCAGCGAGGTGTGTTATCCTGGTCTAGTGATTAGAAAGCTCCTATGTGGTAATAACCGGTAGGAAAAGGCTCATCTTACCTGCGCTGCCAGCCTGACCAAAGCTGTAGTATCCGGCAAGAATGGGTTGGCATCGTAGAGGATCACTTATGATCCAAAATATAGCGCCTGAACTCCAAGTAGATACATAATCCAGGCAGTGGTTGTGTACTGCAATGCAACACTTTATGGGCCTAATTCTATGTGTAACTCGCCTTCTTTAGGCCTATTCAAGACTACCCCGCCAACGGAATGGACGACGCATTTTGGTAGGCCCGTCGTACCGGAGTATACTATCATTTAGGGATCTCTAAAGTCGACCAGTTCAAACTCGAGGGCGTCATTGCTCGGTCTGGCTTTTTCGAGGCTAGATAGTAGGCAGGCGTTCGGAACCTGGCTGAAATCGGCCGGCTGTGACGTAAACTGCGGGAGTGATACAACTCCCTCAAACTCGGGGATAAAATGCATTCCCTGGGCAATACTAGTCATTTTGACGCGTAGGTCGATTGCCTTCCCGTTATAGACTGCCCGGTCTTCCATAAAGAGCCAGCGAGGCTTGGTCTGGAGTATCCGGTCCAAAATTCCCTTCAAACCTAGATCGCTCGACATCGATGTGAAGATGGCTCCGAGTGCGGCTGACGCAAGGAGGATGAGTGGCGTGTGGGTGCTGTTAGCCGCGATACTTCGATACGATCGCCGCGGCGGACCCCATTAGCTCGCATAGCCTGTGTGCTCCATAGTAGTAGACTGACTCATATAGTCTATAGACAATGTACAACACCTAATATAAATTAGTAGTAGATCTGTTCTATAAATGACCTCAGATGTACCGAGTACCTGATATTCCCGTAGATAATGGCCGGGTAAACCAGGTACCGGGTACCTGATGGCTCATCATTCTGGTCTAGATCCCGCTGATCCTGCATCGCAACCTCCGTGCACCTCCGCAGAATTCGAGAAAAAAACAATGACACACAAAGAGAAGAACGATCATCAAAGGGAAATTCAAGCTTGAGAGAAACTTCAAACTCTTTCTGTTAGAAACATTATTAGCTCTACCTGACAATCTATGAGCTCTTAATAACTCCTGTTTCAGGTCGAGTGTCTAGACCGCCCGGCCCCCATCGAACTAACGGAAAATCCCCTCTCCCCTCCTTCTGGGCCGTCTCTCTCCAATATTTCATATTCTGGTGGATGTATGTCGAAGTCATCTCGATCCATCCACCATACCTATTATTTATACAATTGAATGCTATGGTCGTTGCCCTAGGAATAAACAACCAGACCGAAACAACGAATCCTCGAACCGACCTCACCTTCACTTACCACATGGACTATGCCCGACACGCCCGAGCCGGATGTCTCTCATGCTGTCCAGCCTTGTCCCACCATGCCGTTCCCCTCCTGCAAATCCGAATGCATGACCGGTGAGGGACTAAATGCCGTTCATGACGACGGAGATGTGCAACGGGACTTGGGAACATGGAACGATGGTGCTCAGACCACTGCCATTGAACATTTGGTCACACTGAAAAAGGGTTTGCGGGCATCCGACACCGAGCTGTTCTGGAAACGGCTTATGGAGGACATGACATCTATAACCAAAGCTCAGTATGGGTTCGTTGCCCGGAGGGTGCACGGGAGTGAGCCCATGCCAGATCTAGGAGGGCGGCGCCCGTCCCTTTTTGGTGCAGCTTTCTACTACAACGATGGTTACCAGACCGTTGGTTTGCAGCGAAACAAGTATTTCGCGGGCGGGAACCCCTTGCTGCATATGGACCACGAACGGCCCTGTTTGATCCCCGATAATCTCAGCTCACTTGTATCGTTCGGCGATGACCAATTACCCTTCACCGCCGATGGTTATTTGGCGATTCCTCTATTTTCGGCTGGAAAGTGCCTGGCGCACCTCGGGTTGATGTGGTCGAAAGATGGTCTTCGGCACAGACACCTGTCCTGGTCCTTCCTGGAGATGATTCTCCACTCGCTCGAAGACTTGATTATACAACGACTAGACCCCGGGGAACAAATTCTAGATGAAGTGTTAGATTCTCCGACAACGAATACCTCCGATTTTCACACCTCCCAGACTGCTGCCTTCCACCAAGCCGCTGATTTCAACTCACACCCTCTCAAACCATACGCCCGAAGCTTATCCCATGAGCTGAGGACCCCGATGCAGGGTGTGGTGGGTATGCTTGATGTCATGCACGCTACAGTGCGCGAGGCGATAGAGAGTAAAACTCCTGTCAAATCGGGCGGGATTTTTCAATCTCTCAAGGAGGGGATTGAGATGGTTCAAGATAGCGCGAGACGTGCCGTTGAAGCGGCTGACAATGTCGTTCATGCATACGAGCTCAACATGCAAATCCCAAAAACACCACTCCGGGAGGAGCCCGATAAATTGGGCGGTCTCACCGTCCCACCTACTATACTCGAAACCCGCCCGAGCGTCTTTGTCGAAGGGAAGAATATCGCTGTAAATCCATACAAACGGCGGCGGAGCCTACCGCCAGAAATGAATACACGACCAATACGCAAGCAAAGACTCCGTGCGGCTTCGTCGCGGCAAGAGCTTTCACCTCGCAGCGAAGAAGTCAAGAATGCCGTCCACGAAAGTGAGCAGATCGTACATGCTATCCCAGCCCGCCAGTTCGAAGCTGTAATGGCGAACATGGTCGATCCACGCCCATCCCTCGCAGTTCGACGATCAGCACCTCACTTACTCCTTGAGGGCATTAATGTGAACCTGAGAGGCTCTGCTTTGCGTTTTACTAAACTCCGAGATCTTCTCCGTTTGGTGATCAATGAGTCTCTTCACGTTGGTGGCCGACCGGACTCTGCCGTTAGCAATGCAACCGAGTTTGGTGAAAGGATTGAGATTCGGTCGCGGTCCTCGAATGGTGAATTGTTCACCAAGGTTGTAGACTGGTCTGTAGACCCATCATTACCGGACACGCTTCTTGCCGATGACCGTGATCTGGCTAAACTGATCTCATGCGTCTTTCTCAACGCGATTAAATTTACTAATAACGGCACGATTACTGTTTACGCAACCATTGACCCCAAGAAGAATGATGTTCTTATTCTTGTCCGCGATACTGGCCCGGGAATTCCCGCTGCGTTCCTACCCAATCTTTTCAAGCCATTTGCTCGTGAGGATGCATCGACCACAAGAAGCAAAGATGGCCTGGGCCTCGGTCTCCTTGTGGCCAAGGGTCTTTCACGCAAAATGGGTGGCGACTTGACCTGCGTGCGCTCGTCGACTTCTGGTCCTACACGTGGTACAGAATTTCGGATTCGAATCCCCGTAAACCAACGTGAAGCTGAACTCCGCCCTGCAACTCCCAGTGAGAGTGTTTCGACGCCATCTACCTCTGCAACCGACCAAACACGACAGGGCAGCGTGAGTAGCCTTCTTTCCGACCCATCTTCCTTTAATTCTCCTTTCATCCTCCCCCAAAGCTGTCAGCTGCAACAGCCGACACCGTGTACCACCGACGGAAATATGTCTGAAAGCCCGACACCACAGCGACCGTCATCACAAACCCGTTTGCATCGAACTCACATCTCCGGTGATGCATATGACAAGAAGCTTGGGGAAAAATATCCGCTGCGGTTTCTAGTTGCCGAAGACAATCGAATCAACCGGCGTGTACTGGTGAACATGCTACGCAAACTTGGCTACCGCGATGTACTCGAAGCGGCCGATGGCAAAGAAGCCGTCCAAATTGTTGAAGGCATTCTCTCCGCGTCAAAGCCCTCCACTACCCTTGACGTTAGTCTCGACCCAATGCAAGGCGTCATCAATGAGCCACCTCTGGCTACAAAAATAAAACCCATCGATGTCGTCCTAATGGATCTTTGGATGCCTGAAATGGATGGATATGAAGCCACCTCACGAATTCTCCAGATGGTCGACAACCATCGGGACCAGCATGCTGCCTTTGAACAACCGAACCCCAACAGCCCTGACTCCATGGAAATGGATCCAATTCCCAACAACTTTTGTTCGCCATCACCTCCCAAACCTCCCACAGTTCTTGCCGTGAGTGCCGATGTGAGCGACGAGGCATTGAATCGCGCCTCTAGAGTGGGAATCAAAGGCTATATGACGAAACCCTACAAACTCTCTGACCTTGAACGGTTGATTCTCGAATTCTGCGGTGGTACTAGCAATCCCGTTGTCTAAGTCCTAGTATAACCACTAGGCCCATTGATTGAAGATCATGTTGCTTTCTTGGATTTCAACGTCAAGACCATTATATACCCATTGTATGCGGATATTTCCTTCTTCATGTACAAACCCCTCAATTGCTTTTGCCTTTGGCCTAGAGGCCTCTCAGGTTACGATACGCATTGACTCGGCGATCTATTCATTTTCAACTGCCATATACCATCGTCGTCACTTTTTTGGCCACTTTTATGTTTATTATCCCATTTTGGATACAACGATTGATGATACATCACAAGCGATCACTCTGCACTACATAGAGTCATTGAATGAACATGTAATAAGACATACCGAGTCTTGAGTCCTAGCCAACGTGTTTTTCCCCACTCTAGACAGCCTTATAGCTATACACCAGCACTTAAATCCCGTAAATTTGATCATGACTGTTGTACTATTCTTGTCTTCTATATGAAACTATGATCGTAATCCGCACATGTTGATCTTAGGCTGCTCTAGTTGCAAAGTGTGAAATCAACCAATCCTACATCAGGAACAGCCTCCTGGGGGAGGCAGAAGTCGACGTTTTCTCCTTTGAGATGCGTGAAGACCCGAGAGTACTCAGCCTATTTAGAAGCAATTAGCGAGTTCCCTTCCACAGAGTCCTTTAGAGCCATCCGGGAGAACATACCTCAATGATGTCCACAAACTCATCATATACGTTATCCGCCTTCATCTTCTGACGAACAAAATCGGTCACTCCCCCCAAAATTGCGACTACGGTGGTGACCTTGCTGTCCCAAGTGAGAAGGGCAGAAACTCCAGTTCCATCAACACGAGTGGATTCAGTGCTGCCATAGATATCTGGAGAGTTGTGTCTATTAGCACCATACCAACAGCACCACCTTGATACCTGAAAGAGTTCACTTACTCTGCATTTTCTTAGCAACAACCATGTTTCTCCACCAAGCGAGTCCGACAGACTTGTTGACCAAGATTGTCGGGAATACACTGTACGGCGTAATGACGTCTAGTTCCTGGACAGTCTGGTTCGAGATCGAGGGGATACCAGCGTTTGAGATATAGCCTGTTACATCGCCTGTTGAGGGGTCGGTGATGTTGTTAATTGAGGCGAACATGCCGGGCACTTTCGTGGCAACTGAGTTGCAGGTTCGAACGCGCTCGGCGTTTTTAAATACGCGACTGGATAGGAAAATGTTAGTATATGACAGTCTGTCTCTGCCTTTTGTTGAAGACTCACCGGACAATGTCGATGTCGTAGTAGGGCATCTCCAAAACCTTCCAGGTTTCGTGGCTGGAGAACCAAAAGCCTGTCTCAAGATTTAGTGACTGTTATATCGTCCTCATCTTGGAATCAACAAACCCTTTTGGACAGTGATAGGCCCGAACTCGCCGAGTTCGTAGTCCACGCTCACTAACTGGGATTTCTTAACTTCCCAGAGTGCTTGTTTATCGGCTTTCGACAGACCGCCGAAGAATTGCAGCCAAAAAGTGAAAACTTCGCCTTCGAAAGGGTCGTCGAGTAGATCTTTAGTCTCACATAGATACGACTGATCCGGGTGGTTGACGGGGAGGGACTGATCTTTGATATCAATGACGGTACAAACCCGGCCATTGCCTTTGTAGAAGATCTGATGAACAGACACAATATTAGTGAACCGGTCAAAATTGAACAGGGGATCGTGGCAGATGTACCTTAGCGGCAGTAGTCTTAGTGTAGTCCATCCAAACCTGCCATTTCTGCGCGAGTTCCCGATAGTTCTTATTGCCTGTGTTTTCAAGGGCCTGGATGAAGCCATATACAGCCCATACAAGTTCACTAAACAGATATCTCTTGTTAGCCTGGAAACCAGAACAAGGGTCAAGAATCTACATACCCGTTATCAAGAGCAGGCACGCGGTTGACCCAATCCGATCTTGGAGTCATCTCCAGAGTATCCGCCGAGACCCAGGGCAAGAAACCTCCAAAGCCTGGGTAAGTCTCGTTGAATTTGAGATAAGTCTGCAACTTTTTCTGCATAATAGAAGCAGCTATTTTGGGGGCATCTGCTGTGTTCTCAGGTGAGAGGAACCGAGCAGCCTCTGGAGAGCCCGCAACAGCCTGGGTATACAGCATGATTTGAAGGGACTATTGGGACATGAGCTGAGAATTTCTAAACAATGGGGGAAATGAACACCAACCTCTTTGCTAGCAGCACTGAACGTGTGCTTGGCTGTTGCCTTTCCGGTCACCCAGTCGATATTGGTGCCATCGTAGGAGATACCATTGTTGCTGTTGTATGAGATGTTATTTTGGTGGAACTTGCCCTCCCAATACAGCATGTCGTTGATAAAAGCAGTGGGATCCTGGAGGATCTGCTTTTGGGAATACTGATGGGCAAAACGACATGAGGGCTCTTTGGTATGTCCAGATGCCGATGGTAGAGCATTGACCAGGGTTGTCCATGTCAAGACATGACCAAATTTCTCGTGGAGACGCATATCAGGATTGTCCAAAGTAAAGAATTGGATTGAATGACGAGCTGGGCTGGTTAGACATCAATAAACGGATATCTCGAGTCATATAAATACCATGTGTCTCTGGTTTGAAGTGGGAATCGCGCATTTGCCCGAGCTCCCATGTCCACGAATTATATCACATCACGAGCCTCTGGGGTCCCCGCATTCCGAGAAGCTTTCCCCTGAAAAACGCCGGTAAAATAATCTGATAATGCGCTGAGGGTGCACGCCACCCATGTTAGACGTTTACCCGTTTGTCCGGCTCGTGACTATGCGAATCGATTTCCGCTATAGGATGGGATCTTCGACCAGGATTCTTGTGGGGTCAATTAGCCGAAAGGAAACGGAGAATCGGGGAATTATAGATTGCGTGGGGAAAATCTCAGAATGTTTCCAAGTTCCCCAGACGTTGATCACTTACTTGATTCAGACACCAGTTATTTACCAAGTGAAACATGTTGCAGAAAATATTTTCATTTTTAATTATACAATCTAATTTAGTCACTTGATATAAAACAGCTTATTACATAGCACTATGAAGCTTATTCATAACAACCGTCGCAAAGTGTCTGATGCTTTCGAGTCTAAGCGTGTCAGTATATCAAGGAGCACCGACAGATCATTACGCGCTCGAGCCGACAGAGGAGATGCTTCATGCTGATCGATGATTTCGAGGAGACAAGCTCCTATGAGTCTAATCTTCTCCACCTAGATGGTCATCAGAACTTGTCATTTGACAGGGAAAGCAGAAGAAAGGGAAAACTTACACATGGTTCGCCGTTAATCTGCAATGCCCAGAAAGGGGCATCGCGAATGACTCGCAGAAGATCGCGTGCAATATCAGTTTTTCGTAATAACAGCATTTCATTTGGCGCAGGAGGATAGTAATTAAACTCTTCAAATTTCTGTGTGATTACCATCTTCAGACAGTGCAACGAGACGTATACGTTGGCTGCTTGAATGATATGTAGTCTCGTGAGTCTAGACAGCCGTTGGTTGTCTTTGTTGGCGTTTGACATAAGATGATCATATTGTAAGAAGGAGGGCAGGTCATCGAGAGACGTTGCAAAAAGCACGTAAAGATGGTCAAGCCTGTGACTTTCTTCTGCTGTGGGAGGTTGACGAGGAAGTAAATTCCCATTTTTGTGACTATCCAACAATCGCATCTCTAAAAGCAAATCGGATGCACTTTGCCAGAGCCGAATGTTTGCGTTAAATCCTGCAATGAAACTCTTTTGAGTACTCTCAGCATCTGGAACAGCACTACCCGGTGTCAAGATTGTCTCATCTTCGATCCCTGTTGGATAGCCAATGGTGATGCCAGAGTTGAATGAATATTTGTGAATAGTAATCGGACGATTGTTCAGAATGGCTGCCGATTTATCGCCGATATAGGCAATCCAGAATGCTCGTCGGCGGAACTCTACTTCGAGAGAAGTGAGCCCCTGCAGCGAATCTTCTTCATGCATCTGCATCACTTGGGCCAATCGGGTAGCTTCCCCAAAAATGTGCCACGACAGTCGTGGTTTGCCGGCCGCATGCATGCAGTTGGAATGGAAATATCGAATGGCAACCGAGTTGGCATTTGGGTATTCAAGATCAGCTTCCAGATATGTGGCCAGGCAATTTCTAGAGGCTTGCAGAAATATGTCTGCGATCCCCTCTCCCTCGGGAAAGATGTCTTTCGGAAGGAGAAAGGCTGCTTCTGCACAGACAGCGGTAATCAAAGTGAAAGAAAGATCCGGCCACAGCTCTGGATATTTAAGACTATTCACTCCATATATGAGGCCATCAGCTCTCGAATTCCTTCCTTGGGTCACGAAGAACCCTAGCGCATCTCGGAGACTAGGTTCATGAACAAGTGGAGTCAAGGGATAAAGATATTCAAAGAATAATTCGAAGCAATGATTGATAGTACGCTCTAGATGTGCTGATGAGCTTTGCACAGAAACTACCCGCTCCAAAGCATGCCATCGCTGTAAAGCAGAGGTGATTCTTATCGAGGCGACATCGGAAATAGATGACTGGACTGTATGCACCGTCTCAGGGGATAGAGCGGGATCAAGTACCGCGAGATCGGCGTCCCATGCCTCTATTGGAACTGCAACCGGTGCGGTCGAACTGAGATTTTGAGTTATCGAGCCGTGTTCCGGTACCTGCAAGGCTGATGCCAGGGGACTATGCAGGACATTCGGATAAGCCACATCATGCGACCTTTGTCGCCTTGATTTGGGCCCACGTCTAGCGATAGGTAGGTCAAATGTGCATTGTGTCCGAGCCAGACGGCAGTTGGTGCATATTGACGATTCACCCGAGCAGTCACACTATGATAATTTAGTTTAGAGTGGCAATAGGGATTTTCGTCTCATACCTTTGCTTTTCTCCGACGGCACCGATCGCATGCTCTAGTCGAGGAGCGCGAACGAGATGCAGGGCTGGCCATCACATCTTTTTTGTCGGGAAAACTCGTCGGAGGTTAGGGCAGTTGGGAAGTTGCGTAGGTGGGGGATGTGCCTCGGTCAAATACTCCCATTTCCCCGAAAGCCCCCCAGGTTTTTTTCTTCTTGGCTTTGGGGTAATTCCGAAGCTTGGTTGATTAAATTAAATCAATCAATTTATATTTATTAACACGAGCTTGAATGCCGTGTCTATTACGTTTTTGAAGGTAGGGCTACGACGTAGAAAGTGAAGCAAGAATTCGAGATCAACTGTAATATCTAACAGAATAACGTCCGTCTAGTCTCATGGAAGTTGTTTACAGTGTGCTCTAGGCTCATCAGAATCTATCCCATTGTTCTATTGGGATTCAGAAGAATTGACACCCATGCGTTCATCGAACATGCCCTTCAGCAGCAAAGCGGATTGCTTGGGTGTTCTTTCCAGTGTGTTGTAATCGGTGAAGGTAACGCCGAAGCGAACCCCGTATCCATCTGACCATTCTGGAAGAAGGATTAGCTCAAATATCCTGAAGTATGAAGCAGGAAACATACCTAAATTGTCCATCAATGACCATGCGAAATAGCCTTTGATATCAGAGCCATCCTCTGTGCGCGCTCTTCCGACCGCATCGAGATGATCTTTGAAGTATTGGATTCGGTAGGTATCGTTGACAGCCTCTTCACATGTCATCTTATCCTCGCCAGGACACGGGCATCCATTCTCTGTGATATAGATGGGCTTGCCATATGTCCGATAAACTCGTGTCAAGTGCTTCCGGAAAAGTTCCGGGGTTGACCGAAGCCAATGGACACCACTCTTTTCTCCGACTGATACACCTTGCTTGTTTTCTTGTAGTTCATCCACATTCCCCATGAAGTCAGTCTCAAGCGCAGGTTCATCACGGTGCCGGGCAAATTGGGAAGTGTAATAGTTCATTCCGTAGAAGTCAATGTCGGCCTCTCTAAGTAGAGCGAAGTCTGACTCTGTGAAGCTAGGGAGTCTCTCGCCGAGCTGGTCTCTCATGCATTTGGGGTAGTCTTGTGCTAGACTGTCAAAGATGTTAGTCGCTTGATTCGTTGTATCCTTGAAATTCAACACAAACGTACCAAACGGGGTTCGCAAACCATCCGATGTGGAACTGCATCCGGCGCTCAGCAGCCTGCTGGTCGCGTTCGTCCTGACTATCCCAGGGCTCGTAGTAGTCACCATTCAGAGAGATACCAATCCTTCCTTGTTGAGAAGCCCGGAATTTCCGGTTATATAGAGCGACAGCACGAGCGTGGCTCATGATCAAGGCTTTCCCGACAATCCATGGCTCCGTAGTAGTATCGCCCTCTGTGGACTGTGGATTTATACTGCTTCGCCCGGGAGCATTTCCGCCGGTGGCGTATCCCTAAAAATTGTGTTAGCTGTCGTCTGAAATGGGAGGAAAAAAGAAAAGGACAGGGGGAATAGAGGTACATACAAAGATAGAAACAATCCACGGCTCATTCAGTGTGATCCAGTTCTTGACTCGGTCTCCAAATCTCTCATAGCAAATTTGTGCATATCGCTCAAAGTCAAGCTGCGACTCTTCCACATTTAACCAACCTCCGTATCGATCATGGATACCTTGAGGAAGGTCCCAATGATAGAGGGTGACCCATGGAGTGATTCCCCTGGCAAGCAGGGAATCGATGAGTTTGTCATAAAACGCGATGCCAGCTTCGTTGACTGGGTCGTTCCTTCCTCCTAGCGGAATAATCCGCGACCAGGAAATTGAGAATCGGTATGCTTTCGCGCCGTACTTGGAGAGAAGGTCGAAATCCTCCTCGAATCGGTTGTAGTGGTCACAAGCGATGTCTCCATTGGCCCCTTTGGTCCTAGTAGGTTCAAGGTGGCAGAAAGTATCCCAGATCGATTCCCCGCGCCCATCTTCATTCACAGCTCCTTCGATCTGATAGGAAGCTGTCGCGAATCCCCATTCAAAATCGGCAGGCAAGGATACTGACATATTGGCAATGTTCAACACAAAACCACAGAAACAGTGTGAAGTATTTTGAAAGAGAAGAAGGTGACAGAGCTCTGCACCCAGCAGATTTCAAAGCTATATTCCTCAATAGCCGGGGAATTGTGGCGTTGAAGTGGATGGGGTTATCCCGCCGCACGTCGAAGGATAAACGGCAAAATTGGCATTTCGCCGATTCCCCGAATCTCCAGACCTTCGCATTTTTTCCCCACGGGGCAATTCCCCGCAGAAATACGAAATCATGGTTTCTCTCACATGAAGACCTTTAGGGCTGTCGCAATGCGTAGAACTCGTTGTCTCCACCCGACAGTCTCTTCTATAAGAAGTGCAAGGAAGCCTTCGGGCTAAGACCTCCCATATTTCGATCATAGGCAAGCCCGCTTCAATTGTCCTTTACTCTCAGTTGAAGTCTGCAATCATGGCTCCTGCTGCCGCTCATGCCGCCGAGGGCATTATCTCGTCCATTGACGTGAATGCTATGCCGCCCTTCTGGCGACGCAAGAATGGCATTCTGCTATACTTTCTGCTTACTTCGTCCCTACTCGCAAGTGCGGCTCTCGGTATTGATGGAGTGAGTCATGGTATTTTTTCTACACTGGCGTGCATTTTACTGACGATCTATTATAGTCCATGACGAACGGTATGCAGGTCTTGGAATCCTGGCAAAATCGATTCGGACATCCAGAAGGCGCCACATTGGGTTTCTTTGGAGCAGCTAACGCCATTGGCGGTGTCATCCCGTTCATTTTCCTCAGCTGGATTAGCGATAAGTTCGGTCGTCGTCTACCCACTGCGCTAGGGTCTGCCGTTATCATTGTTGGCGTGATTGTCGAATTCTTTGCCACTTCCTTAAACATGTATATTGGTGGCAAGATCGTTCTGGGCATAGGGTCTTCGCTCATTCAGATGGGCGCACCCGTTTTGATCACAGAGCTGTCCCACCCCAAGGAACGTGTACAAGTCACTACTTTCTACAACACCTCCATCGTTCTTGGCTATGTGATTGGGGCCTGGGCAACATTTGGCTGTTACAGGATAACCAATCAGTGGTCATGGCGGCTCCCTACTTTGATCCAAATTGTCCCCTCGGCCTACCAATTCTGTCTCATTTGGTTCTGCCCCGAGTCTCCTCGTTGGTTGATTGCAAAGGGTCGTACCCAAGAAGCCCGCCAGATCCTCATCAAGTTCCACGGTGAATGTGACCCCAACTCGGAGTTGGTCGCCGTGGAGTGCGCTGAAATCCAGCAGGCCATTGATAAAGAAGCAGAGAGTAACATGAGCTGGAAGGACTTCTTTTCCTCTCGTGCAAATCTCAAACGCCTGTTTCTCTGCTTTTCTACCGCCGTTTTCAGTCAGAGCTCGGGCAACCTGCTCGTCTCGAATTACTTGACCCAGATTCTGAAAGATACGGGCCTTAAGACTCAGTCCGAAATCACACTTATGAACGGAATGGTCACTCTCTGGCAGTATATTGTCGCGATCTTCGTTGCGCTGGTCATCGATAAATTCCGCCGTCGCTTTTTCTTCCTCACCGGTTCCGGTGGTGTTGTTGTCACTTTCGTCGTGTGGACAATCGCTGCCCAGCAGTACCTTGAGCACAACTCTTTGGTGGCCGGTCGTGTCGTTATTGCATGTATATTTTTCTTCCAGGCGTTCTACACTTTCGCGTGGACCAATCTGATTGTCACATATTCGCTGGAAGTTGTGACGCTTCAGATGCGTGCTAAAACATGGGCATTCGTCCTCCTCACCATTCAGGTGGCATCTATCTTCGGAAGCTATGTCAACCCCATTGGCCTGAAGAACCTTGGCTGGAAGTTCTACATCTACTACTGTGTCTGGGTCCTTATTGTCTTCCTCGTGGTCTACTTCTTCTTCGTTGAGACGGCCGGTCCCACGCTTGAAGAATTGGCTTATCTGTTTGAAGGTGAAGATGCCAAACGTGGACTGGTTCACAAGGTCGCGGAGCAAAAGGAACAAGTACAGTATGAAGAGCATGTGGAGACCAAGTCGGCGTGAGATACTACTATTCCTATGGGCAAACCATTATTATATCATGAACATAATTCTTCAGATGAATAAAACTAATTAAAAACAACCATGTTCATCAAAAATGGAAGACCATTTTGATTAAATGTTATAAAAAATAATATTGATGGTACCAACACTGCCTGGGGGTTACTATGTAGTCACCTTGCCTGAGCTGCTCACATACCTATCCTATTGCTCTCCCCTACTCTGCTCTTTAAATCATCGTGTTGCTTTCTAGCTTTGCGCTTGCTCTATATCTCACCAATATACCCTACCACAACTGTCTCCGTGTAATTCGGTTTTGTGGAATTTATTGCGTTCTCTTTCCGCGACTCTCGAAAGGCAATAGCACGCTGAGGATGATGAGAAGTGCGAACAAGGCAGCGCAGACGAAGAGAGGCGTGGTTGTTTCGACATTTGCGTAGCTTCCAACGATAACTCCAACAATGCCTCCGATTCGGTTGAACACCACACAGATGGCATACCCAGTAGCACGGTGTGCTGATGGCAAAATCTCTGGAGTGTATGCATACATAGTTCCATAGTAAATGTTTCTGCAACCGGCTAGTTAGTCAGACAACACGAAACAAAGAAAAAAACAGTGTATCACTCACGTCGCAGCAGATATGGCAGCAGACACGCCAACATTTTGGGCTGGAGTCTTGATTTGCGTGTATGCAAACTGCAAGACCATAGTCAAAAGCGCCCCCAAAGCCATGGTGCCTCGACGGCCAAACAATTTTGTTTCAACCAAAACTCCAGCAATGACAGGACCAACCAGACCAACGACTTGATTGATGGCATAGTTCCTCCAAACTAGATAATTGGAGCTGCTACTGACCTTCGCTCCCTGAGATTTGAGATAATATGGAAGGAACACATGGTATAGAGGGCTAACAACTCCAATCACAAACCAGTTGAGCATGATGACCAGGAACGACCAAGTCAACTGCTTCGTTCGAAAGAGTCCGCTGAAGTGGGCTTTGATCCTGACCGTAGACCAGACTGATTGTTCTGTGTTCTTCACGTCGCCTTCGCTGCGGAGGTCTTCCAAAGTGAGATCAAATTGTCGGTCATATTTTATTGACAAATTTGTTAGGAACAGGATTATCTCCTCATCGCGATTTTGAGAGACAAGCCATCGGGGTGTTTGCACGATGCGAATTAAAAGGACTCGCAATAAGCTCAGCAAAAGCGTGACGCCCCCAATGGTGAAATGCAAGTAACGCCATCCCATATTGTCTTGGTAGGCACACGCTGCAGCTGAGGAACAGCTGTAGTTGCTCATGAATGCCCATGCAAGCAATCCTGTTATGGTGTATCCCACTGCCCACCAGATCGACATGAAGGTCACTAGCCAAGATTTATTTGCCGGTAGGAATTCCAGCAGAGTAACCGAGTCCAGGATATAATTCCCGCCGACGGCCGCGGAGTAGAGGGAAACCCTATAAATTTAATTAACAGACGATCACGTATTAAGAAAGGCAAAACAAACATTGTTGCGAAAGAAATGTATCCAGGCATCCCACCCGCGATGATTGTAAATACCGCCGCAAGCAACAAGGAAGAGTTGAAAGCAAGTCGGCGTCCAATGATATCTGCTGATAGACCCCAAATAGCTGCGCCTGCCAGAAGGCCGATTTGGGATGCCAGAGCAATCCCCTTTAGTCTTTTGTCTGGGCTGCCGTATTGCATGGTAACCGCGGGCATTGCGATACTCTGACATATCACTAAGAGCTAGAGGAAATTTCAGCGGTGCTCTCTTTGTCTGATGGCAAACACAAGTCCCTTACTGAGTCAACGGTGTAGCCAAAGCCGTTTAGGAAGAAAAGCTTCCATTGAAATGGAGTCATACCAATCTTGTCGATGGCAGTGTTGATCAGGGACAGCTTTCTAGCCAAAACGGGGTCAAACACGGAACTATCGAACACATCCTCGGATTCAACGACATAGTTCTCAGCTTCTTTGCTGACTGGCCCCAAGGATCTAGTTGGTTCAGTTTCCGGCATGGCTTCCCTGTGATTTTGCGAGTAATAGATATCGAAGAAAGAGTGAAGCTTTTCAGACCATGGTCAAGAGTTCAGATTATAGGTCTTCTATAAAGCAATATAATAACCATCCAGACACGCGAATGGAGTAAGTCTATCTTAGCCCTGGATAACTTCCACATCTTGGCACCTTAAAACTATTGGTATAACCAGTAAGAAGAAGGCGCCATCGACGCACGATATGAACAAGATTTGCCTGTTTGGGCATTTTCAATCGCCAAGCACTGTAAGAATAGGTCCCTGCAGGTCAATTCCACTATGGGCTACTCCGTAGCTTGTCTACCGTCGGGGCTTTGAATCGGAGGGTTCAAATGGGGTTAACGGTGGATTCGCTTGGGCCTGGTCTTGGCGTGAACGTGGACATGTCCCTCTCCAATGGCGCAATCACATCCATTCTTGTCGAGTTGTATCCTGAAAAGAAGGACAAGGGAGAATACACATATACATTGCCCTATACTGAGAATTTCAGATTCTACCATACCATAACCCAAGAAGAAAATCAGTTTCACGTTCCGTTTCCCGAAACATCATCATGCCCCGAGCTCTAGCTAAAGTGGGGAACCGCATCATCGCGGAGACAGACAGTTGGCAGATTGTGGAGAATAACATCTATGTAAGTTCTTCGAGATTGAAGTTGCATTTAAGATTGACTAACTTCATATTGTACAGTTTCCCCGCTCAGCAATCATCGATGATTCCATTTTGCAAGACTCCGATCGTTCCACCTTTTGCCCTTGGAAAGGCCATGCCTCTTACTGGAATCTGAAGGTGGACGGGCAGACTTTGGAAAACGCAGCGTGGTATTACCGGGAGCCCTACGATGCAGCGGCTGATATCAAGGATCATGTTGCTTTCTGTAAGTCACTCTTCATCGTTTGTTTTGCAACTTGCCGCAATTTCTTGTTATATCTCACACTTCATCTCCGATGAACAGATAGTGACAAGGTCGAAATATCACAAGAGCCATGATAAGGAGGCATATTAGGATGTAGCGATATATATGGGAGTGGGCAATGGTGAGCATGCTGTGTCAGAGGGTTTTCATTTTGCCGGCCTTGAACAGTCTGGGTTCTACCTATATGTTTCTAACGGATTTTGTCCTATATAGGGTAAGTAACCACAAGATTTGCAAAAATGAGTTTAACAAATTTGCTTAAGTCGTAACTGGTCCATGTAATAAGCTTATATATCGTGATTTATATTGAACCACTGAGATGTCGACTGGTATAGTATTGTATGCTGCCCGGAGCGTAGCATCGTTGGATGTGGAGTTTCTCTAAGGATATCACTGTTTGTACGGCCTTGGGTTAGGCAATAGACAATCTTGAGTGGCTACAGTTGGCTTGGGCAAATATCGTTTTCTAGAACGATGTACGAAATACAAGGGAAAGAAGAAAAGACATCATTACATCCATTATCAAGATCGACATCTGACCATGCTCCAAGCACTCCGCACCCTTTTTTGCTGAAACACTGACCGTGTGGCCTAACCAGTTCAAAGGGACTCCGAGAAGTCGAAATACTTTCGACCAGAATTTAAAGATCTGCCGTTCGCCAGAAAAAAACAGTATAACACATGCAAGAACCAATCATCAAGATTCACGTAAACCGGCGTGCGTGACCGCGGCAGAGGCGGAAGGAAGATGCAAGGTATAAGAAACGAGATATGCTGTAGGAAATAAGACAACGCGGGACCTAGGTCAACTTCTGCTTGATGAAGAATGACCGGAGGTGCGAGAGTTGCCAGGCGCAGGCGGCGGACAAAACAGCGAGCTGGATAAGAGTCCAGCGCACGACACGCGAGTTGGTGGTCTCAGACTGGTCACGGAATTCAGACTCACGTTCCTGAAAAAAAAAAAAGAATTAGTATGTCTCAATCATCCATAGAGATCCTAGCCATAGATCGGATACGGGGTAATCCTTACCCGCTGGTACACCTGCTCACGACGGATATCGTGCAAACGGCTGTTCAGATCCTTGACCCGCTGAACGATATCCTTGATTTTGTCCTTGTCCTCAGTCTCAATCTTGCTGGTCTCACCAATGGCAAGGTCGACAGTGAGCTTGACGGCGCCCGGAGAGTTGGACAACCAGCTGGAGGTGGCATCCGTCTCAGGTGTGAAGCAGATTCTATGCTGGCCAGCATCTGCGGCAGAGAAATGAAAGCGTCCAGAGTGGCTGTCCCGCTTGGACACAACGCGGTGATCATTGTCGAAGGTCTCCTCGACGGTGATGTGCATCTTCAAGCCGTGGTCGATCGTGTAGGTACCGCTCTGAGCATTGATGACTTCCGTCTCGAAACGGCCTATTTATGGTAACCATCACAAGTCAGTTTCAAATTCCTTCGTGAAGGCTGTAGAGATTATCGCATACCGGCCACCAGAGTATCCTTGGGCAGGTCCTCAAAGAAGCACTTTGTATGCCGGCCCTCCATGTAGAAGTAAAGGGCATTGGTTGGGAGGAGGAGAGAAAATAACGAGAGAAGAGTCAATGCTGACGCCAGCCATGACGAGGATGTCCCAGTGAAAACCATGATGAGGAGTTGGGCAATTGGATAGTCGCACGGCCAAGTCCTCCTCTCCGTGAAGGTGTCAACATCAGGGACCGCGGTTCCTCACCGCCTGCCGTCTCCGGAATGCCTCCCTTTCGAGCGGGAAGCCTCTGTCGATGGGATCTTAAATTTCGACATTCACTAGTCTTTATTTCATCAAACAAAACCTGCTTTTATCTTTCTGTCGTCGCTTTTTAAAATTTTAATCGCTAAATACCGAAGGAATCCCTCCTTGGTGTCGTATCCAGGCAGATCACCACTCCGATCGAACCGCCAATATGGCCGCGGCCGATGTTCGCGACATGCTGGATTTGCCCGCAGAAGGGCAGCCCAGACCACACAAGAAACAGAAGGTGGTCGAAAAGCGACCGGGTAGGTGTAATGCGCTCTATTAGCAATGGGATAGATTACTGACAGTGTCCCGTTGCAGAGGGTATTACCCGTGAATTGTACGCGCTACTGGGCGAAAGGGCGCCGCCGATCGCGATTAATGAGAACAAATATAAGGGCCGTCCGAAATGGATGAACAAGCTGCGCGTCCGACCGTGGTATGTTGAAGATCCGGCTCTTTGAATATCTTGAATACATGCTGACGTTGGATCATGTATAGGAGCATGGCCCCGTTCACGAACAACGCCCGTTCCGACGGCCTGGTTTTGAACCACTGGCAGAGAAAACACGAGTCAGCGCGACCACCTGCTCCCGCACCTGCACCCGTACCGGCAGAGTCTCAAATGGAAGTGGATCAGCCCAAGGAAGAAGAGAAAGAGGACGTACCGAAACTGCCGGAGCAGGAATATGCCTTCGCCAAGTACAACGTTAAACCGCGTTTGCCCCGTCGATACACAGACGACGAGTACACTCGACATCTTACGAATGATGACTGGTCACGCGAGGAAACGGACTATCTGGTGGATCTCGTCACGGATTACGACATTCGCTGGGTGCTCATCGCAGATCGTTATGACTACCAACCACGAATGGACACAAAGCCGGATGCGAATGCCATTGTGCCTGCAAAGCACCATCGGACAATGGAACAGATGAAGGCGCGATACTATCACATTGCTGCAACAATGCTCTCAATAGAGCACCCACCCTCAGAGATGTCCGAGGCCGAGTTCGAACTACATGAGAAAATGCTCAAGTTTGACCCCGACCGAGAGCGCGACCGCAAAGAACTAGCCGCCCTTCAGCTCAACCGCACGGCCGACGAGGTCCGCGAGGAGGCAATGCTACTCGAAGAATTGAAGCGCATCACAAGCAACGAGCAGAACTTCATCACCGAACGCCGGGAACTCTACTCTCGCCTCGAGGTTCCCATCAGCGTCGGCAACACCACAATGTATCAGTCCAGCGCGGGCCTTTCCCAGCTCCTACAGACCCTACTACAAGCCGACAAGAGCAAGAAACGCCGCTCCATCCTTGGCGACGGTGCCATCCCAAGTCCCGCTGGTCAGACTCCATCCACTGCTGGTGGCCTAGGCCGAGCCGAGACACCCGTCACACAGGCCGCCAACAAGAAGGGGTCTATCACATCAAAAGAACCCAATCAAATGGTACGCACACTCACCACAGCGGAGGAGGCAAGGTACGGCGTCCAGCACCACGAGCGTGTCTCAGCAGGCGTGCAATTCCGCAGCGACCGTGCCCAGCGACTCACGCAGGCCAAGTCCAACGTGCAAACCCAAAAATTGGCAAATGCTCTATCCGAGCTCGAGATTCCCGTGCGCCTGTTCATGCCCACTGAACGCGTATGCAAAGATTTCGAGAAACTCATTCAGTCTGTCAACATGCTTCTCGACGCCCGCAAGGTGTCCGAAAAGGTTGACAGTGAAATCCGTGTACTGGAAGCGGCGAAGACGGAGCGCGAGCGCAAGTCACGAGAAGCTGCTGGTATCTCGGGGCCAAGTGACCCGGAACATCCCCATGTGAAAAAGGAGACGGAAGACGGCGACACTGGCCTTTTGGGCCATTCTACTGCCACACAGGGCAATGGTGCTCAACAAGGGGATGGTAATCACAAGCGGTCTGCTAGTGTGCTCAGTGCCGTAAGCGACAAGAGCAACAAGCGACAGCGGAGATAGAAGATTTACCTCTCTACTGGTGGTAGTACTATACCCTTATTGTGTGGAAGTGAGAAGTGTAAGATGTATTAGGGATGAATTACCCATATTTCTGTACGATTAATGACACCCGACTGGGAGGCATACTCAATAATTGAACCAACTCCATCCCCCGCGGGTAAAAATAACAGCAGAACTGGCCCCAGAGTCCTCGATAACAGTATTTGTATGCTTGTCCAACCAATATACCCTCGTTACTCCTGCAATGATCGTTGCCGTGCATCTTCATCACTCTGCCTCCACCACCAGACTTGTTCGGCTCGCCCACCGGCTTCCATAAAAAGCCCCAGGCATCCCAATGCACTCCTGATACGCACTCGCAAGATCCTCAGCCATATCGCTTCTGGTAGAATTTGCTCGTCCCAGGCCACTCGACGGACGCTCCTCGTATTGTACTGGTGGTTCCTGGGGTGGTTCTTTTGCAGGGACGTTCGAGCGTCTCTTGCTTTCCCTGTTTCTGGAAAACTTTAGTATCCAACGTCCACTACGAGACCGGGAAGGTTCTCCGTTCAGTCTGTCCGCACTTCTGTCATTCGATGGATCGAAGTACACGGACGGCCGATAGTTTGTCTGATCCATTGAAAAGCGGCGCACACCAAGTGGTGAGGCGTCTGGAGTACAGACATTGCGACTATGGGCTGAATCGTGGTACTTGTCTAGCTGTGGTTGTTTACGTGTGGACCGGCTGCCTTTCGCCCATCGACTTAGGAACGTCTCGTCGACGTCTTCGATATAAAAGCTCCTTGCAGAACTTGGTGTCTTTGCAGAGGTTGGGGACTTTATAGAAGTCGGGGACTTTGCGGAAGTTGGCGACCCAATGTGCTGCGCCTGGTTTGAACTTGTACGGCGGGCTTCCCCTGTAGACATTCCTTCACCGGCCAAATCCACTGCCAGCGGTGCGTGCCTATCACCTCGAACTGAATGGCTCTTCATTTTGGCCCACATGGTTGGTGTTAAAATAGGTTCCCCCTTGGCATTGGCAAGACATTTGTTCATGGGACACTGTTGGCTGTCAGACTCAGGCCCTGGTGTGTCTCTTTGCCAATTCCCGTTCGGAAATGGACTGCTGTTCCCTCCAACTGTTTGTGGGCCATCCTCAGTATTCTCCACCAAGCTATAGCCATAGCCCATTCGCCGGCCCCCGGTCATCCAACCGGGACTGACTCTGCGGTGTGGCCCAACACCGTTGGGACCATTGAAGATTCCATGAACCTGGGGCGATTCCCAGTTTGCCGCATCAAGTTGCTCAACAAATCTGCTCTTCAAAACCTCGGCACCTGGTTCCCGTTCATTTTGGACTAAACCAGTCTCAGCTGCCATTTGTGTATGAATATTGGGTAAGCTCTCAATTGCATTTGCAGCATGAACTCTCAGCGATTGAACGGCAGATGCCCCCCGTGAAGGGTTGCTGCTTTGGCGCGAATAGAAGGAGGACGCATCTCGTTGATGAGACATAGCTTGGTTCTGATGCTCGGAACCCCCAATTGTCGATGCTCCAGATCTCTCATGGGATTGAAAGTTCTCTTGCGATACCATTTGTGGCCCATATCTATTAGGACGCGGCAGTTCCGACATGGATGGACTAGCTGATAGCGGTCCGGACCCTATGCTTGTGCCCGCGAGTCTGTGCGAAAGGTCTAGATCACCAAGATGCGGTACTCGGGGCTCGGGGTGTGCTCCGGGAGAGCTTGTTCGTTGTCGTGTTTTGGATACTGTAATGCCCGGATCTTCCCTAGCTAGCGACGCCGAAGATGCCGCACGGTAATCGTTAGGACCTGATCCCATGTAATGAGCCCAGTCAGCCACAAGATTCTGAAGGTTCTCACGGCTGCTGCTGCCGATAAAGCCTTCTCGAGCACGGAGACGATCTTGATTTGCTGGAGCTAATTCATCTTGGCTGGCATGAAGACTTGGGAGAGATTTGGTGAACGGGTTTTGCTCTCCCGACCGCTCATTTTTGAATGAAGACATAGAATGGCTACCCATTCCTTCAGTTGCAGGGTTGGTATAGGGTGAGCGCCCCTTCAAACTTCCTGGTGGCGTGGGTATATAATGCATCCCAAAGGGAGTTCCCGGGGTGTTGTATTGATCATGGCCCTGGGCACCCGCCCACATCTCCAAGTTATTTCGCTCACGACTGTGCTCTATTAGATCATGTAGCCCCATTCTGCGAAACGCCGGGCCTCTGGGCGACACTTTCACTTGGTCGGCATGCTGAGGACTGCCAATGCACTGGGCATCACTGTCGTAGCCGCGTGCACTCATCAGGCTGCTTCCCATGTCCCCAACCATTGATAGCCCTGTAGTGGCTTTGAGTGCATTTGGCTTTAGCTTGAGTGAGAAGGGAAAGATGGGGCGGTGTTCTCCGGACTGTCTGGATTCTCTCGAGAATCGATAACGGAGACGACGCGACAGACTTGTAGATCTCCGCCTGTGGTTTCGGACAGGGGCTGCGGTTGATCCTGGTAGAGGGTCTGTAGTGTCTTGAGTTAGCCGGATGCAATCTTGAAACAAGTATTGATCTGAGCCTTGCCTTGGGCCTGCTCCCTGGGACCATCCACATTCTCCATTTGACCATCTTGACATGATTGTGCGAAGACATTTGGAGAATCAGCTCGATGTCCCCTTCGGAGACGAGGACATGTTATGAAGAACATTTGGATAGTTATAGAATGTTTACAAGATGAACTTCTACTATGTGTGCGTAAATCCCTCCTCATGGGCATTTTGGGGAAGGAACTATCGTGCCTTCCACTTGAAAGCATCCCGAGGTCGCTCTTACGACTTATTGTGATGATCTGGATCCATGGATCAATTTAACGCGTAATCTAAGCTTCAAGGTTACAGCCTCGGAAACTTCAAAATTCAAAAGTATCCACGCATAGAGGCAGAAAAGCAGTATTGAGAAAACCACCCGTAACCTATAAATATGTGCATTTAGACTCATCGCTCATCTACTCAACGCATTTAGAGCTGCACCATGATCCAACAAAGCACGGTCGACTCATGATTCCCATTTGATACAGCCTACATGTCATTGTCTAGCGCTGAACCTTTCGACTCTCGAAGTTTCCTGCTGAATCTCCTATTTATACAAATGACAAATCTACTTTCACAAGCACCATCCTTAAAAGGAAACCTTGTATTATCTTTATGCGAGCATAAAGTTACATGGTATACTTTGTACACACCCACCTGATGCAGATGGCGCATGATCTGATCAAGACTTTTGACACTTTGAATTCAACCTAGCCACTTAGATCATGACCAGTGCATCTAGGTAGCATGGGATTTTTCAAGGCAAGTTCTACCTCCACATATTGAAAAACTACCCTTCAATGGGCGTGGATCTAGGATACATGACATACTAGAGTTTGTATGATCTTTCTCTTCATACAAAATACCTAGGTAGTGGATACCATTACCGAATACATACTAGTGCTAAAAGTGGGCCCGACCCGGGCCGTACCCATAAGCCCGTTTCAACCAAGGTTGATCCCTATCCTGTACTACGGGTACACGGGCAACGGTAGGACTGTAGTGCCACCAAGCCTTGCATTGTAGACTGCTGGTAAAACTACAACAAACACCTCAAGGCGCTTACTGATGTACATGACTATACATTCCACAATCCTGGATAGGGAAAATCAGAGCATATCCAAGCCTTGAGAAGCCAGGCGATGGCGCGTGTCTTTTTCTTTTGCCCTATAGTCATGATTAGTCATGGCCGACATACTAGGTAGGCCTCAATACTGAATATAAATACTCACTGCTTGATGGTTACAATGAAGTCAATCCGTCAAGTTCAAGTTGTTTGATGTTTCACAGTACAGCATATGCTGCAGTGTAGCAAAATAGCAACGAATGAGAAACCAAGTCAAGAATGACGATCTAAGTCTCTATGATGATCTGATATTATACTCTCACTACCTCGAAAGTTGCTGAATGTCCTCTTTCGGGGCTATAAGTTTCTCATGGACTTGCTTTTAGCTCGTTTCGTATAAGTAGCAAATATTTGGACGAGACAAGGCAAACCTTTCGAATGAACAATATATCTGTCTCCAGTTTGGATAGGAATCTGACTACCGTTATCTTGAAATCAATTTTACATTAAATAGACTGAACAGTTGTTCAATTGATGGAAGCTACCAATACTCGACTAGGAGTTTTCCTGTAGATGCGATACATATCCTCTGCGATGCCCTGAAATCTCCCTCGCGTTCAAAGACCATCGATTAAGTAGGGAATCCCAAACCTACAATGGTATCTCATAGATTAATTGGGATGTAAGAAGAGTCCTCCAATTGAGATGCAATGTACAACTCCGCCGCCGTTTGAGCATCACAAAACAGAGCAATTGCCTGCATCCAAGATTAGTTGGTCTTGGCTCCATAATAACACAAGCTGGAAATATATTCTCACCTGAGCTGTCTTGAACTGTGCCTTTCCACCTTCACTTGCAGCGAAATGAATCCGGTATTGACTCTCGGAGTCGATATATGAGGGATATTTGATAGTCTCGGTGGTCTTGGCGGTTTTTGCAAACAAGGACATACTCTCCACCTCCTCTTGGGATCTCTCTGTGGCTGCCAAAACTTTCAGAACCTTGGGTGCTATAGTCAGTGCGTCGATTCCGGCGAGCATAATCAGCTCATCAAGATTCAGTGCCACACAGGCTTTCAGTCGTGTAGGCAGAGAGTTTTGGTGATAGAACTGCTGTGCTTGCACACAGACACCAAGAATTGGGTTTGTGTCTTTGTATCTGCTAAGTAATTAGAGGCACGCCCAATATTCAGCGAGATTTGCCACTCACCCTTCGTAAGTTTCAGTTTTGAGCTCATGCACAAACGGTGAAACTGATATACAGCCCGCTTCACCCGCAAGGATCGCCTGTTCTATCGAGAAGAGAGTGGTGGCCAAAGTCTTTATTCCAATTCGCTTGAGCTGACGCGCAGCCTGCATTCCCTCCCATGTCGCTGGAATCTTGGTAACCAGCCGAGACGTGTCGAAATCGGGGTCGACGATTTGGCAGATATGATGAAGTCCTTCAGCATATAGATTAACATCTCTCTTTTTGACGCAAAGCCTGAAGGATCTTATCTTACGCTGAGCATTCGCAACTATAGCTTCCGTATTGTAGGAGTAGCTCGGATTGACCATAACATGAACATTTCCATGGACAGTTTGGATCACCTCGAGGGCCAGTTCAATACCCTGGACCGGTCAACTTCAGGTATTCGCATCACTCAGTTTAATAAACACCTACCACCACCTCCACAGCAAGCTCCTCAAGGGTAATAGTGGCAAATTGTGGGTGGATTGTGGTCGCCAACACTAGTGATCTCAACAAGACGGCGCTTCTACTGGGCTTAACAATCTCCGCTTGAATCTCGAACTGTTCTCCTGATTAGCATACACTAGCACAGAGTGTCTAAATATATTCCCATACTTGGTTTCCTGTTGCATCTTGAAAAGGCCCGATCTCTTTGGAAGCTGAAGTGAAAATTTCATTAGCTTTCTGCCTAAAGCAATTGAAAAGATTCTCAACCTTCAGCATCGTATGTGTCAATATCCACCTGTGTTCTTGAGCGAAGGTATTCCAGTAAGTTTACAGTCGCCATGTTGTGTGTCGTATTGAGCGGGAAGTATAATAAACTTGCGTGGGTACTATCATAACACTGTTGACTTATTCGCTGATTTGGAAGAAAAAGAACAGATTTTGTATATAATCAAATGAAACTTATCCACAGTCGAGTTGAAGATGCGACTCCATACTTAAATAGTTGTGGGAGGGGAATAAATTGATATCCACTAGGACCACCTTTGTTTCACCAGTGGCGAAGTCGAATTGGCCTTCTGCCTGTAGCCGATGGTCTCAGCCATAGATCCATATGGGTGACAAAGTGTGCTACCAGGGACTTTAGTCTTACTGGCTATTACTGCCAGCAAAAATTTATATAGGTACTCTTAATTCCCTCTTTATAGTCGAGGACTCGGGTGCCGGGGCACTAGGGCCCCGGGCGTGACCTTGCTGCTATCTACGTTAGGCCCTAGATGACTTAGGACTGGACCCTACTTATCGACCTTGTAATGTAAAAATCAATGATTTTTTTTATCTTTTTAATACAAACGGAGATACACTCAATTTTTATATGTATATCTGGTACTCTATAACTATATAATACCTTCAAAATAAAAGGCAATAGGTGATAAGTTATAGATCTACGTTGCACGTTCATATATGCATTGTGCACTTCGTCTCCCGCAGATCCCAGTCGCACTGTCTCTGCGTGTACAAAGTCATAGTTACACAATTTATTGAGATATAGACTAAGAATTTGGCAAATTATCTCTATAAAGTTCATGCCTAGTATAACTAAAGCGTGCACTGTTCTAATGTTTTATGCTGTAAAAGTGAGCTTACGATGATTGCTGTTTTTTGGAGTTAGAGTCAGCGGGTTTAAGCGCCTATCATGTATAGCTCAATTCTTTGACCTCAAGTCCCATAGCTAACTAGTTAGGTACCTATGTTTACACCAATGTTTGCTCAATCACCATTCACACCCTCAGAGGAATTGAGCAAAGAAGAGTTGAATTCGCAGCCCAATCCAGCTTCAAGCCAAGAAAATCATGCGCCCACCATAATTGGTCATGTACCAGAGTTTCCAAGGTCATACACATTGTTGGTGCGCCACCATTCGGATTTTCTGTTAGACCAGGAACTCTACTTGGCACCAGCGGAGATGGAATGGAGGGACTGGACACGATTTGCCCATCGATTCCGAAGTTTGAGGGACGCACAAGTGACCAAGCGATATCATTTTAGTCAGATCCGACTTTCGCGCTTGGATTAGGCTGTGCGTATCTTTCGTCCGCGACAGGCAACCACCACCTGGGTCTACAGTGTCGGGACTTCGAAACACAGGGGCTCCCAAGTTACCCGATGCTTAGCCCGACGAGGAAGATGGGCACTCAACTCTAGAATACTAAATGACCTATAGCATGAAATATGCGCTTTCGTTGCTGGCCTCATAGTATCATCTGCATGATTAGCCTTCCTCGAACATAAGATGAGAAAAATATATTCGCGGGTACCCAATATAGAAAAGGAACTATATACTCAATAGAGATGCCATAGTATTAGCTTTAACTTTCACTTCATGAACTTTCATGGGCCTCTTCACTCTAATATTAACATGTAAATATACAGCTCAACACACCAGAGGATTACATTCAAATCATCCACATAGAATCAGATTCTAAGACTATTTTCACCTTCATGGTGGAGGTCATACTCATCAAATAACTCAGAATAATTCGCTAGTCCAAGTTTACCGCATGTCTCCTACCTTTCCGCACTAGGGCCGATCTCATGTATCTGGGGGGTTTCAGTAGTGGAAAGTTCGTGCACTTGCTCAGAAGGTTCTAGCGGCAGTTCGTGGGCGTCGTTGTAAGGTTCTATTGGATATCCCCTCGATTCTTGTGGTGGTTGCAGAGGGCTGTGAGTCACAAAAGGCTCCCCTTGTGACGACGAAGGTTGCTTCTGCTTTCGGCGATAGACCAACCATGCTATGAGGACTGCAATGGCGACACCTGCAATAGGACCAATGACAGCGCCCGCAATCCAAGCCTTGCTGGCACTTTTTGTCGGGACCGCAGTGGGTGTTGGTGATTGACTGGCTTGCGAATCCGCCGTTGTTGGAGCTGTGGTAGTTGTGGAGGATTGACTGGTTCGTGACGTTGTAGTGGATAGGGTCGAAGAGGAGGCTGGAATTATGATTAGTCGGAGTATTCGATCTATAGGTCTTGTGCCTTGAAAGGGCCATGATGAGGATGTAGTACTTGACTCAGTTGTTGTTGTTGCTTGCAATTCGCGATATATAGTGTTTGCTGCCCAACCAAGCCCACAAAAGATATTACTAGCCGAGGGTGTCGCAAAAGGGGATGCTTGAAAGATTGTCATAGTGACACATGTAGCGGTGCCACTATAGTGAGGAACAGGGCCAAGTCAGTACTGTATTCATCGGTCGGAATCTACTCATCAATTAGTAACCCACCAAGAACCTGAATCGCCATCATCATATGAGATCATGTTATTATTGCAGTCTGTGGCAAATGTGCATGAAGTCCCGTCGCAACCGACTGCATAGCTCCCCGATGTAGTCCATGTCTCTGGATCCATCATTGCCTCGGCTATGAGAACGGGATTAGTAAAGCTGGTATAAAGGGTAAAATCTTTTTTATGGAGGGTATTCTCACTGGTTGACGGGCCCAGATACCATCCCATAAAACCGGTTTCACTTTGCAATGAGGTGTCGAACTTGGTGGTTTGGCCATTGACTGCATAGGACCAAAGACCTCCGCTGAAAAAGATCAGCGTGAGGCATGACCAAAAATGCGATAATGAAGTGAGAATCATTGTATTTCCTCATGAACTTGGCATCTATCAATTCAGAATAAACTGATTAGAATGGCTGCACACCCACGTGGTGGACTATGATTCAAAATGGGACTGGCCAGAATCAAGGATTATGATCACAGAATAAGCAGCTTAGCCTGTTTGCTTTTGTGCGAAGACCGTGTTGCTTATACTAACGGACCTTCGGCAATTGCTCGGTCGGAAAAGGGGGCTGACAGTAATAGGTATTTGAGTTATGCTCCCACTAAATTGATATGAACGAGACTACTAGTACAGAGTAGGTAAATGCGCGGTATTAGAAAAATACGAGATCTTGCTGTATACTCCGTATATCGCGACTAAATTGTGTACTTTGTACCAATTGAGGCAGTTCAAGCAATCGAATTTGGCTGGATGGCGCTCATGGACCAATCAATAGCTTCTGTTCGCCCCACTTCAAAGTTTAGATCGACTTGGTAATCAGCAAAAACCCGTGGACGGACCTGAACCCCCCAACTCGGCCCAAAGTTATGATCCATCAATTTTGTCGCACTTCGTAGAGTTCTTGCTTGAATCACCTATAGTGGGGCTTGCGGAAATTAGGAAAATCCTGGCTCAGCCGCATGTAGATTTAGTTGCTGACATGATTATCTCTATGGCTTTCTTTAAACATCCCAGTTTCTTTGATCCGATTTCATATATCTCCACCCATTTCCCCCTCCCCCCTTTTCGTGTCACCTTTGAGGCTCTTCGCTCATCCTTTCAATGTCAACCAATTTAAGGAATTCGCGCTCCTTGCGCTTAACAATCGCCCTAATACTTCCATTTGCGCTCATTTGTTATCTTTACTCGTGGAGACAAACACCCACCTTGGTCTCCAGTCCTATACCGAAATCTTCCGAGACAATAAGCAGCACAGGGAGCTCAGCTTCAATAGCAGTCCCTCCACCGCCACCTTCGACTAACGATAATCATCCTACTACTTCTACTGCACTCATTTACACGCTTCCAGATAAGGTCTGGCATTCCGCCAAATTCGATAATCTATCAGAAAATCAACGGGAATGGACCGGCAGCTGGACAAAGAAAAATCCCTCTTTCCGACAAGAATTATTGACCGATCGATCCGCTGAAGCATTCGTTCGCGCTCATTATTTCAAAACGCGACCGGATATCGTCGAAATCTATGAAGCCCTTCCAATCCCGATCCTACGTGCGGACCTGTTCCGCTACTTGGTTGTACTTGCCGAAGGCGGGATTTGGGGCGATTTAGATACCTCGTGCGAGAAAGATGTCGCCGATTGGGTACCCGTGGAGTACCGAAATAAGAATATCGATATGATTGTCGGATTGGAGTTCGACATGGAATGGCGAGGGCCGGGAACGGAAGTTGCCTCCCAATTCTGCAATTGGGTATTTGTTGGACGGAAGTCTTCGCGCAATCTTCAAATTATTGTTGACACTGTCATCGATAAATTGAAAGGCATTGCCAAAGCCAACGCCGTGGGCATCGAAGGGATTACCCTGGAAATGCTTTCGGACGTGGTCGACGTGACAGGCCCGAAGATTATGACGGTCGCGATCATGAAAAGTCTCGAAAAATTGCTCGGCAGGCCCGTCGATGATCGGGATTATGCACACACTAAGCGGCCCAAGCTGGTTGGTGATGTTTTGATCATGCCGGGAGTCTCTTTCGCTGCTCTTCAGAACGGGAACCCGACGGACCAAGGCGATGCTCTTGTGACGCATCATTACGAGGGCTCGTGGAAGAAGGAAGATGCAGAAGCCAAGGAGCGGAAAAAGCAGAAGCAAGAACAAGAACAGCAGCAAGGGTGATCATCACCACCTGCTGCTGCTGCTCCTGCAACCCGATTGAAGTACGACAACGAGCGAAGAGCGGCGAGTTGCTTTTGCTTTTGCTTTTCAGTTCCCCAGGTGGGATGTCATTTTTCGCCTGAATCTCCAACGGACAGGTTGAGAGATTCAAAGAACATATTATGTAACTATCATCAGGAGTTTTGTTCATTTTTGGTTTATATGGGTTAGCATGGGGCATCAATCAAGTGTCGAGTTTTTCCATTCATCATTTTCGAATCCTCATCAACATAAGTTCAAGTCGTCTATTTCCCAGAGAGATCACGCTGAGGCGGACGCCCGTATTCTGTGTAATGGGACATGTCTGAACAAGACCAACCAGATCACGATAGGTATTGGCAGCCCTGCAATGTGAAGCTTTAGCTTTTAAGCCGCCTAGTGCACCACCCAAGCCTCGTGTCTAACGCAGAAAGGAATAGAAGCGCATGTGGCGCTCGAACTAAGTACATAGTGAAATTGGGACATTGGGAAATCAGGACCTCAGGAGACAACGAATGGTTAGTGCGCTGAAACCCCCAAAAGAGATATATAAAAAAGAGAGCCGCCAATCAGAACAGCAAGTGGAAGAGGTACAAATTGACTAGACGGTGGGTTAGGAATTCGTCTCAATGGGTTCAGTTCAAGGAATTAAGATAACCCTTGTCAGCTTGCTTGGGAAGTTCTGAGGATTTCGCCGCTTCCGACCGCCAAGGACGGGCACGTGACAAGGCATTACCCTACAAAGTACGTTTCTTGTAGATCAACAAAAATACCGTGTGGATCAGTTAGAAGTCGGATCTTCCCGATCTCGGGAGCCTATCGCTTTGCTCAGTGGTGGAGCTGGATGGATGTACATACATACCTACTCCACTTGGACTAAAAAGCTTGACTATGCCAAGAGAAAGATATCGAGGCAAACGCACGGCGTGTATAAACTAGACCAGCTTTGAAAGGTTCTCCACTGCAAGTACCCGAAGAAGAACTCCTGGCACTAACTTAAAAAGCGGAATAAGGTACCCAAGCCTTGTTATTCGGTCATAATCTAGATTTTCAGCATTCTCCTACACACATAGAATTTCTAATGAAGGAAACTCGCCGTGGAGAACTAAGCACGGGGTAAGAGGTAGACCTCGGACCTCCTCTAGGAATCTAGATACTTGCATTTGTAATTGAAATGAATTGAATACATGGGCATATACTCGCATCCAAACATATTAAAATCGAGCAGAATGCGAGGCGGTCAGATACCGCCTCGTCGCTTCCCAATTTGTATATTCCAAGATTATTATGTAGGCAGTCGGGGCTGTCCAGGTGGCACGTGGTACCTGTGTTCATAAGCTCACCTCCTTCTCTTTTCTTTCTTCGTAAACAACGCGTACAACTGTTACACAGACGCCCCCAAGTTTCATCAACAGGTTTGGCTATCTCTCTCATATTCATTCCTAACAATCACAATGACTGACTTGAATACAGCTACGATGCGAGTTCAACTTCTTCTAGCAGGATTTTTCCTGCTTGTGGCAGTTGCCCTAGCTAGTATTCCACCCATTGAGATCAAGGTAAGTATCTCTACACTGTTCGGGGGATTTAAGCAACTAACTAGGTCAACTCAGGGATCCAAGTTCTTCTACTCGAACAACGGCACGCAGTTGTGAGTTAACAGACTCTTTTTCAGGGTTTTTCGGTCGCTAATTCTGCGACTAGTTACATCCGTGGCATTGCCTATCAGGGTATGCATTCTAGATGATACTGATCTTTCCATGGCCTTAACCTGACATTATCTAGAGGACTACAATGCCGGAGGTGCCCAAGGTACCGGTCAGTCAAGTGACACTCACTACACTGATCCTCTGGCGGATGTTTCTCACTGCGAACGTGATATCCCATACCTCCAGCAACTGCGCACTAACGTCATCCGGATCTACGCTGTCGACCCTACTAAAGACCATGACGCTTGTATGCAGAAACTGGCCGATGCAGGAATTTATGTGATCGCCGATCTCTCCTCTCCTCAGTTGTCGATTGTTTCTAACTCGCCAACTTGGACCGTTGCACAATACGATCGATACATCGCCGTGATTGATGCACTGCACCGGTATGACAATGTGATTGGATTCTTTGCCGGGAACGAGGTTGTGAACAAAGTCAACGAGACGATTGGTTCAGCATTTGTCAAAGCAGCAGTGCGCGACATGAAAGCCTACATCAAAGCGAAGGAATACCGGAAGTCCCTGGGATTCGGGTATGCGACTACTGATCAACCGGATTTTCGCAATGAGCTGTCAGACTATCTCGACTGTGGAAATCAGTCTACTGCTATCGACTTCTTCGGTTACAACATGTACGAGTGGTGTGGAGACAACACATTCCAGGGCTCTGGTTATAAAAACCTCACAGAGCAGTATAAGGACTCCCCTGTCCCAATCTTTTTCTCCGAGTATGGATGCAACACGGTCAGACCTCGCAAGTTTGGTGACATTTCTGCGATATTCGGACCAGACATGGAGAATATCTGGAGTGGTGGCATCGTCTACATGTACTTCGAAAGTACCAACAACTACGGGCTTGTCTCTGTTGACGGAAACTCTCTGAGCACTCAGCCAGACTTCAGCTATTACTCAAAGGCAATTCAGACCGCGGCTCCCAGCGGTGTCAACAGCGGAAGTTACACCCCCACAAACTCTCCGCACGCCTGCCCCACCGTCAATGACATGTGGTTGGCAAAGTCCAGTCCTCTGCCACCATCTCCAAACAAAGACCTGTGTTCATGCATGGTAGAAAGTCTCTCGTGTGTGGCCAGTCAATCTCTTCATGTAGACCAGTATGGCGACCTGTTTGGCACAGTGTGTGGAAGCGACAAGAGCGCTTGCGATGGAATTTCTGAGAACGCAACCACGGGACAGTACGGTGCCTACAGCGCCTGTGCCAGCAAGGATCAACTCTCCTACATATTCGATCGCTACTACCAAAACCAGAAGAAAGATCAGTCAGCGTGTGACTTCAAGGGAGCAGCGTCAATCCAGTCCGCCAAGGACCCTTCCGGAAGTTGCAAGGCACTCCTTAGCCAGGCTGGCACACCTGGAACGGGCCAGGCCACAGGTGGAAGAACGTCCGCATCCAAAGGGGCAGGTACTAATCTGGCGAATGCAGATAATTTTGCCGGGTTCTTCGTGGTCATCTTCTTTACAACCATAATAGTTTCTATCACAGATGTCATCTTCCCCACGGACTTATGGATCGAGGTATGGCTGCGCGCTATTGTTGGCCGCATTCAAATCTGGCTTAGGCAGTGATATCAGATAGTACCGAGAGTTCCACTCGTTTGCGACTCTAATAATTGAAACAAGGTTGATATTTTGACAATTCCAGGTAGCTAGGCCGAAGTAGTAGTAATGATACCAGATTTATGGACAAAGAGTGAAAGGTATAAATAGCCATGATATCAAACTTCATCTCCGGTGAATTTTTACATTTAAATAGTACTGGATAAAGTCAATCCTCACACATCCATATTTATTATGAAGTGTGGAATTTGTCCTTCTTTCGCTGGTAGGTATCCATCCATCCATGGCGGGTGGGCATAGACACGCTTACTAATCAATCAGTCCCCGCCCCACGTGGGGCCAAAGACCGGGGCTTACAATTTTTTTTACAAAAAATTACAGATCTCTCTCACGCCCACATCACATCGCATTCCCCTCTTTGAACCCTTTCCCTCGTTTTCAGACTTCAAGTCAAATACCGCAAAAATGGGCAATGTAAGAAACAATTCCCAAGCCATATACACAACGTCAGACCATTCTGAGGTCTTTGTTTTGGCCCCTCAACGCGCAGTGAACTAACAATACTCGACAGGGAGCCAAGGCAAACATGAAGCGCGAGCGCAACGCGAAGGACACGAAGACCGCCAAGTCGCAGACCAAGAGCGTACGTCAACGTCATCTCCAACACACATATTGTCCGTTCAGCCACTGACCCACGTCCTTATCTAGAATGAGAAGGCCATGAGCATCCAGTGCCAGGTCTGCAGACAGACTTTCCTCCAGACCACCAAGGCGCCTGCGTACGTGATTTCACACCCCTATACCCTCCAAGTGCTTTCGTTCCGTCGGTGTATATGGGAATTCCCTGCTAACATCTTCGCGCGATTATAGCCTCCTCGAGCACGCCTCCAACAAGCACAGCAAGGGTCTTCCCGAGTGCTTCCCCGGTGTCAGCGCATAGACAATCATCCCGGTGGAACCGAAACCAATCTTCTTTACGATATCACGGGTTAGCATGGCTTTAGGAGTTTTGATGAAAAGCGAAAATATCTAGGAACTGGACTTGGAAGAGTGGACATTCTACGTAGGCAACTATGTAGGTGTAGGGTGTGAGATCTTGTAGTGGTGGTGTGAAGGCCCCTTGTGATTATAGATGCAGTTGACTATACATGATCTTTCTCTTTCTCTTCCTCTATTCTCATTGATTTTGCGATATACTGCTAACAAAAACGGTTGAAACCTGTCTCGATCAATACCTCAGACACGGAGCACACTTGCGGAGATTAGATATAGGCCACAGTTGTAGGCCTGTGGGGCGAAGAAAGATTGTAGGGTGGTTTCCTTTTTTATATACTACGCCATATTACGCTAGGGAGATTACATTGATCACAATCAATATAATTAGCAAAGATCTCAATTTCAAGTTAATTGAAGCAAAGAAAGTTGGAAAGATAGCAGAACTATATCTCGCGAATGAGGAGTCACATGGAAATGCACGTGCTCAGGTGATTGCTGACAGGCTCCCTTCCGAATGTCTTGGATTTCTCTCACTAACCATAGCTACTTAGGTAAATGCGACTTCTAGGTCCTAAAAATAGGCGCCCAGCGACCGATACTTAAAATGTGGTTCATTATGAACAACATGGTCTTCATCAGGCGCACCCTCGTTATCAAAAACGGCAACAAGATAGCACCATGTCCGTGGCATCTGAATGCACTCGACCTTGACCGCCAAGATAGCCAAGAGGCGGTTGCTATGCTTGATAAAGAAATTTGCAGACTTGTACTTGAGTGAGACTCTTCCTATTTACCTAAGTCGGGGATTGGAGTGCGGTCTCTCAAAGCCAAAGTGATGAGACATGTCTTTAAGCGGACCAGTAAAAGTGGGAGGCTTTTTATAGTGTAAGCTCAACTATTGGGCGGTTAGTATTGGGGGAGACTATGGCCGATAGGGCTGCGAATTGTATGTGCCAAAGTCGCTGCCAAGTTAGAAATGAGCTAAGAGTGAAACTGTTGCATGCAATGGCGCTCAGGTCGCTCGTATAGGAGTTTTATGCCCAGCGCCCAGCCGCAGGGGGAAAATTAGTGTTTGGGTGGAATAAAAAATAGAACATCTGCTGTTGTAGAATCTCCCTGTCTCTTTTGTTTTGTTTTCCTCTTTTTCCCCCCGACAGATCCCCGCGTGGGGGATAAAAACAATCCCAAGATGGAGACAACACCCGGCGTGGTTGCTCTGCGGCAACTCCCGAGCTCAGACGGTCTCCACGATGAAGAAGCACCCGAATACACTAGACACGATTCCTCATCTGATTCTTCTCCGCTGCACGACGAAGAGCTTCCATCATATAGCCAGGCGCAGTCAGCGGAACAAATTCCAAGCCGAGAGCACAGTATATTCTCTCGTCGATTGCCCTGGGTATCTCTATTGTCAATTATTTACATTGGCCTCGTCATCTATACCTGGGCCATGACGGTCATGCTATCAGCCCATCCCCTCAAAGCCAAGTCCTGGGTGTACACGATTGACAGCTTACACCTCCATTACTATGGTGAAAATGGCGCAGATTTCCATCGAGAGCGAAAGATCTATCGTTCTGTGCGGACCATTCAGACATTTATCCAAGTTGTTACTCTTCCCTGGATTTCCACAGTGTGTGCTAGTGCCGCTGTAAGCTTTGCGCAGAATAGAAAGAAATCTATGGGCCTCCGGCCAAGCCAAGCCACAACGTTGGCTGACCGCGAGTGGATGGACTTTTCTTTCTATCGAGCAGTGGTTTATGGGAGATGGAGGCAATACGGCCTCAAACTACTAGCTGCCGCAATCTTCATATGGGTGTTTGGTCTCATCACATATCCCATCCAGTCGCTCTTTCTCAGTTCACAGTCTGTCAAAGTCCGGACTTACCCCGAACAGAGAGCTGATGTCTACGACTTCCGCTCGGTTGATCGTTCGGATTCATCATCATACAAAGTCGGCAAAGATGTGTTGCAAGTCCGCGATGCTCTCGGTAAAGCGAACACCTATACCTACCAACCTAACTTGTGGAGTAACAATAGTGAAGTACAATTCTTGACTCTCAGCGATATGTCTTCTCAGACGTTCTACTCCCAGGTTCCAAGTGGTTTCAATACAGGATTGCTTCGTCAATTTGCGCCACGTGTGAACTCCACAGCTACATATGAGATCATAGACGCGTCTCAGTTTCCGGTCGACTGCGGCTCGAGCTCGGAGGCATTTTATGCCGAGTATTCAGCTTCGTTCGCATGGTACACTGCTTATTCTTGGAATATCATTGCGTGCATGCCCGGAAATATGACGGAGTCACCTTGGCGGACGGAACGCAACCGACAGGACTTCTCTGAGGTCCTCTATCTCAATATGACACAAGATGAGTACGCCTCAAGAGATAGCCGGGCAACTCTTTACCGAATCACTGTGAACACTACGGCCGGGTTCTTTGAATTGCCAAACTATATGAACCAAGGTGTACCTGGGCCCTTACTGGCCCAAGATCCGGTGGCTCTTTGTGATCAACATTGTTTAATGCAAATACACTCATACTACCCGTCGAATTATCGCCGCCGTGATGAAAGTACAGCAAGCAGCACTCTCAAAGCTGCATCGCTGGGTCCCATCTCAGCACAGAGCAAAGGACCCTTGTTATCGACCGCCCTGGCAACCTTTGGCCCTGGTTCTTTTATCGACACATTTATGCAATTCGGCGCAGCCATCAAGGAAAACAAGGCTGCAGATGGGTTGTTGTCAAGCGTGATATCTACATGCATTGCGAACCCTACCCTCACCAATCTTCTAGGGTCTTCCTCTCTAGAGTGTATGTCCATTGAGGCCTCTCCAAATGGCACATGGTACCCTGCCGGGACACAAATTGCGCAATGGATTAATCGGCTCCAACAATCCGCGGAGTCAATTCCGCAAGTCTTCACAGCTGCGGCTTTTCTTGCCAACAAGGAATTCCTTTCCGCTCAGGGCGGTGGATGGTCTATCAACCAAGATTTGGGCGCCGATATGGATCTTCCATCAATCTCTCGTGTGGGGATCATCGCAGTCTCCGTCTTAATGGGACTTTACTTGCTACCACTGTTAGCTTTGTCATTATATACAGATTATTACCCATGATGAACCGAAATGTTGGATTCCTTTATGATGCTATGGCTTGGTGCCTTTGCTGGCGATAGTGTCTTCCTTTTGCTGGTTGGATGTAAGACTGATAAACTTCCCGGGCCTTACGAGATGCATGGCGTTGTTCGGGGTATGTATAAATACTAAGTTCAAGGACACTGTCACTTGTTTCTAATGATGTGATTTAAATTAATAGTTCCGTTTGGAAAGCAGAACGTTATTGAGCCATGAGTCAAACATACATAGCAGACAATCCCCTAGTCCAGATTACGAAACTAACCCTTAAACCTCGAATCGAATATCGGAAGTCTGTAGATGATAATATAGCAGATCATTCTGTCTCCGCGACAACGTCCTCCTGCGTTATTTTCTTTAAAAGAATCTAAAGGTTTAGGAAATACTAATATATAGGAGCTTTATGATCTCAAGCAGAAAGAAGAAATATTCTAATATAACTGTAAGTACGAAAGGAAAATAGTGTATCTGGGCAGACTCAATTACCTTGATGCATGTATTACAGTCGTCAGCTCTAGATAGACTAGAGCGGCTGTATGATTTGAGGACGAAAAGACCATAACATTTACAACTCTAATTAACCCCTCCTCTCTTGTCAGACTCGATGCAGATGCGTGGTACAATTACTCAGTGGAAGCCCAACACCCACAGGGCATGGGACGACTAGTTAAAGCCGTTCCAAGAATCAGTGCGACATACGATATAGCTCCAACAAGGGACTATAAAAATAAAACCAAGAGAGATAAACCAGCAGGTATTAGAGGCCCCGTATGGCCAATCTTTGCGATCGCGGATATATTCCGTCAAGTCATGAATATCTCGAGGCTGACTATAGATGGAAGAGATATGTCAGATGCTCGTCTTGTTTCTTAAACGGTCGGCTCCCGGTCCAAAACTTTTTGCCAACTTACAGATTGATGCCATGATCACGCAGTGAAACTATAGGGGCTTACAGCAGCCCCAGCACCCCTGTGACAAACCGAGTCAACATTGTATAGGTTTAGAGTATTAGTTGGTTGTAAGACGAACCTCGAATCCTGAGGCCTTCTGGGAAGAAGTAAAAAAAGACTTGGTCAGTATATCATCGAGACAAGAATAAGTTGGACGATAATGAGAGGTCTCACCTGGCCATACGGACAACTTGGTGGCTCCGTTTGGCAGACAGCAGCGCATATTGTGTCTTGAGAACGAGCAACGATTGCCAGACAAAGGACCGCAAGGATTAGAGTCGGCAGACGGAGGATTCCTGCAGACATCGAGAGGGATAAATAGGCCTAAAAAGGTTTGTTTAAGGAAGATAACTGAGGACACAGTGTTCTGGACTAAGTGCAAAATATATTTTTCTTATGGGGGAACCCCTCGCTAGGCTCCAGGGCTGTGACAAATCTTCCCCTTGTAGATAAAGAGAATGGAGTAGAACGCTCAAAGAAAATGTTTCTTTCTGGTCCTGATCCAACATCAATTATTCTCCAAAGTTGTTTACAACATATATTGTCAATGACAAAGTGTAAGAGTTCCTTGTTAATCTCACTTTACTAACAGAACCAGGCAACTAATTACTACCAGGGCCATGGCGAGGTTCGAGCAAAGTATACGGCCCGCGAAGCAAATGCAGTTCCTCCAAACCTGGCCTCTCGCTTTGAGAGAGATGCGCTATCCTTATTGCTCGCCCTGGTGAGCAAACCCGTCCTCTTTAAATAGATCCGTGCAAGTTCTAGCGTGCCTTGATCCTTCGACTTTGAATTTCGTAGTTTGGGGCTCGCTTGGGCGATGACTAATCGGCGGGCGGGCCGGCTCGGGAGGCAGCGACCAAGCGGACCGCCCCTGGGAGATCCTTGGAAGAATGCTTGTGTCGCGGAAACAGACCGTGTTTGTCGGGTCCAGGGGTATATTACAAATATCTTTCTCTACAAAATGGGGAATTAAACTATGCAGGTCTGGTCATATGGCATGTCCCCTCCTGTCCCTGTCCCCCGATATAATAATTTGACCGCAAACCCCTTCCAACCCTCTTTCAGATGCAAAAGCCAATGGCAGTTACGTATCCACCTCGCCTTTCTTGAATGTTTTAGTCCAAGACTGGTATGAATGTCGGGAATCCAACACTCGATGGGCCTTGGATGATTTGTCACCTGATGATGCCGAGTTCCGGTCTGCCAAATGTAGCCCGATATCATTGAGCTATCTGGTCTCTCATTTACCGAATGACTTGATCAAACAAATAGATTTGAAAATTGACATGTAAGAAAACATCCAACTGTGGATGAACCTATCTAACGGTAAAACCACCATCAACTCTAATATCCGCACCATTGATCATGCCGCTAGAATCCTATTCCAAAAGTCAGAACCAAAGACTTGATCCATCAAGCCGAGGGTACTTACCTGACAAAGAAAAAGTACGGAATCAGCAACCTCCTCTGGAAGCGCAAACTTGCCCGTCGGTATATTCGCCAAGAAAGCGTCACGAACATTCGGCTCTCCCCAAGCCTTCCTCCCAAGCTCCGTCCACGCCACGGTCGGAGAAACAGTATTAGCTGTGATACCCCGGCCACCCCATTCAGACGCCATACTGCGCGTCAGACCCAAAAGCCCAGCTTTTGATGCACAATATGCTCCATGCCGGTGCAGCGCGGCATGTGCCGCCTGAGATGAAATGCTGACGATTCTTCCCGGTGGCGGTGGGCTCGGTGATGATTCAGCGGCTTTGGTTGCAGCGAAATAAAGTCGAGCAAAAGCTTGAGAGCAGAGCATCGGGCCGTAGAGGTTAACGGTCAGATGCTTCAGTGTCTCTTCAGGAGGTGTTATCTCCATGTCGCTGAGAGATACGTATCCAGCTGTGTTAATAAGGATACTTGGGAAGGCTCTTTCAGTCGGAGAAGACGAGGCTGGGTCAATTATTTGCTTCTCTAGAGAGTTGAAGGCCGCCTGCACGGAGTCTGGTGAGGTGATGTCGCATTCATAGGTGTGGATGTCATCTAGATTGCCGCTTGCGCCGTAGCTGGATTCGAGAAGCTCGTCGCGACGTGCGGCTTCGAAGGGTGCGTAGAGAATAGCGAGACGGGCACCTTGTTGTCTCAGCTTCTGGCCTATGCTTGATCCAAGGCCGCCTGTAGAGAAGTTAGGTTTCCTTGTGTCCGGCCTTGCATTTATATGGCGTCCCTACCCAAGCCGCCAGGCATGATGGCTAATCTGCGAGAGAACGCCATTTTGTACAGAGTTTATTTGAATATATCGACAGTATATCAAGGGGGGAAGTGTTCAAACGGAAATACCAGGGCATATGAACTTCAATCTACCCCATTCTCCGCTTCCAAGGTTGAGGGGAAGCTGAACGCTTTCGGAAATGATCCACTTAGTATCCACTATCCATCCCCACACTTATGTCATTTGGCAGTGAAGGGCAGCAGACCATCTTTGCTTACTTTCACATTGATATACTATACCAAATCAACAAGCAATTTATGTATCCTATTGAACTATGCGATAAGTTTACCATTACTGGATTACCTCCAGAGCTCAATCCGACCCACTCAAATATATAAATTGCATCAACATCGCTCTTTTTTTCAACTTCTACTTCACAACACCCTATTTACCTCTCCTTTTTCTCTCCTGCATGAATATCAACATCATCTAAAACGGCCTGATTCTCTTTCGCCGCCGCAATTCGAATCCTCTTTATTTTCCTCGTATCAACATCCACCCGCCAAGTGTAAGCCCAAGTAATCAGGTTCATAATGATCGCCATACCAATGAATCCCATCGCAATTCCAAAAGAGATCGCATATCGTGGTGCGAACCGAGAATTGAACAGTTGAGACCCCACAGCACCTCCGATCTGGCCATAACTATTCGCAAATGCGATTGCGAAGGCAGATCCCGTTGCGCCCTCGGTGGTCTGGACTCGCCAGGGCCACATCATTGTATACCTGATTGGTCTTAGCATGAAGTATAGATATAATATAAAATGTTTGCTTTGGAACATAACTTACCACGCAGTCGAGAAACCTCCTGCTATAATCGTCGCGGCATATACACCACCGTTGTTTGGGAAGGCGTACAGGACACCATAGCACGCTAGAATGACAATCATGAATCCAAGTGGGATGGCTGGTTGAGGAATACGCCCAGTATCTGCAAAAATACCAAACACGAGAGTCAATATCACTGCGAAAACCGCAGATGGAATGTTTAGTAACTGGGCTTCACCCATAGATCTTTGAGCATTATTAGCAAATGTACTGTGCTCTTCAAGTTGGAACAACTCACGTGAATCCAAGGTTGGAAATGACCGTTGGTTGGTAGAAATTCAGACCCGTCGTGCCAATAGTGAAGAAGGCCCAACAAGAGAGGAAAAGCCAGATTCGCTTGTTTTTTAATGTCGTGATAAGTTCGCGCAGGTTGAAGTTAGACTCCGCCGCTCGGGGAGAGTTGCTAGGTAGGCGGGCTTGGGTGAAGGCCTTTTCTTTTTCGGATAACCAGGATGCAGTTGAAGGGACTGTGGAACAGTGGTTAGTTATGCTTAGCACTAAAAGCTAGAAGCACGTACAATCAGGTAAGAAGAAATAAGTGAATATTCCCAGTAAGACAGTGAAGATTCCTTCCGTTAAGATAAGCCTGAGAAGCATTATTAGCATATAGTTGATCTTTCTTGGAGGAGGTCGAAATACCATTTCCATCCGGATAGACCACCAGCAACGACACCATTGAAGGCAAATGCAAGGACACCACTGATCACCGTACTAAAGTTTCCGAGTAAAGTCACAAGGACAATCCTTGGAGCAACTTCATCGGGTCTATACCAATAGCATAACTGTAAGAGCATTCCTGGCCATAGGCCGGCTTCGAATAGCCCGAGGAAGAATCGGACAACATATAGACCCTGTCTGTTTGTCACAGCTGCATGGCAACAGAGAACAATACCCCAAGAGACCTGTAACTATTAGTGCCAAATTAGCTAGAGGCAGAACAGTTCAACGTACCATAATCCTAGCTTGCCAAATTGAAGGTCGCACGCCCTTCAACAAAAGGTTGGACGGGGCTTCTGCAATGATGTAAGGGACCTCCAAGGGATTAGTACAACCTCAGAATTGACGCTTAGTCCGAGTTCACTCACATAATACATAGTTGTAACCAGATTATACTGGTCCGAGGTCATTTTCAATTCAGTCAAGATATTATAGGGTGTGCCTTTGTCCATGGTCCGGGCGTATGAGACCTAAAACCTTGTGGTCAGTGATTTTCCACCCGCATACACAATAGATACTCTTACATTGGTAAAATCAACACTTTTCAACATATACATAATAGCCAGCAGGGGAATCAGATGCCAATCGATGCGTCGTAAAAGCTTCTTTTCCTCTGCGCTACTGAGCGTCGCACGCGCGCGCATCAGGGTGGCATCATAACCAGGGATGTACTCCTCTCCAAAAGACTTCGGAGTATCATCACCATTGCGGTTGACGTAGTGTACATTTCCTTTCGCCGGTATCGGTGTTTCATCCGTGGAGATAATCCCAATTTGACCTTTCTCTGCTATCTCAGAAGACATGGTGATCACCGATCAGTGTCTCTTGTAGCTGGCACACGAAAGAAAGGTTCTACTGGAGCAATTGTAGTGATTTATGTGGGAAATTGAAGCCATTAAATGGACTCTAACATATCTGATACTCCGCATTCTCACGAAGCATCAAAAGTTGCTTATCTCCAGTGAGAATTGCGCAAGATGAGCAAGAAACTGCTCTGCATGGCGTACATGCAAGGGTCTACCTAGCGTTTTATACTGAGCTGTGGAATATATTTGCCGATATCATAATTCGAGCTAAAAGCCTCGCTTGCCGTGCGCTGACAACCCCTCAATTAGAAAGCCGGATGTCAGCTATACTCCATCGTATCACCCATATAGTTGAACAATCCGTGAAGATTACCTCCCATGACTGCACATCAAGAGTAGTTCTCTGGAACTTAACAATGCAATCTCCTCATTCAATGTTGATTCTTGGCATTTCATGATATCAATCTCATAGATGTGAGTTTCTATAGCGCCTATTAAAACCCGACCAAATAACGCTTTAAGGTGGACAGAGCACGCGATAATGGAGCCATGCTCGGCAAATGCATGGCTTTAAAATAAGACAGTGGATTTGCCGATCAAAGATAATGCATCTCGCCAAATTTAGCAAAAAAAAAGTAGTTAACAATAAGCGCTAAGTACCATACTCCAGGCCTGCGAGTACACGCCATTGCGGGGAGATAATACCTAATCGGCCCCTTTCACTTCCTTTCATATCTTTCCATGACCTTCAGAAACATCTTCATAGGTCCCCGACGTCTGTAACACTTTAACGGACCAAGAAATATGAAGGCAAATTACTTTTACGCTGTCGCATCTCTAGCAAGAGTGGCGCTGGCATCGGAATCCCAACAACCCTTGATTGCAAAAGTGACCCACGATAACGCGAAATCTCCAAGCGTGAACTTGGACGCAATTATCAATGAATCTCCCCTCTTATCATTCCACAGAGACATTGTACAAATTCCGTCAATCAGCGAACATGAGGAGACGGTTGGAAACTTCCTCTTGGACTTCATCCGCTCACACAACCTAACCGTTGAGAAACAAATTGTCACTCCGGGAAGCGACACCGAGCAAGAAAGATTTAATATTTATGCCTACACTGGGAATAACAGGTTTCCCGAAGTCGTGCTCACAAGCCATATTGATACTGTGCCACCTTTCATCCCTTACTCGCTTCATCAACCAGCCTCAGATAACACAGAGAATCTGACATTCAATCGGTCAGACCTGATTATCGCTGGTCGCGGGACAGTGGATGCCAAAGCCAGTGTCGCAGCTATACTATTTGCGGCACTGGAAACACTGGATGCCAACCCAGACGCCTCAATCGGGTTGTTGTTCGACGTCGGCGAGGAGAAAAGTGGGATTGGAATGAAACATTTCTCAAACTCCGATCTCAACCCAGCACCACCTAAATTCCACACTATCATATTCGGAGAGCCGACAGAGCTCAAGCTCGTCGCGGGACATAAAGGTACCCTCGGATTCAAGCTTATCGCTGAAGGAAAAGCCGCGCATTCGGGATATCCATGGCTTGGGAAAAGTGCAGTCTCTTCAATTCTTCCTGTTTTATCTTACCTCGACACTCTGCATGATGTCGTGCCGGAGAAAGGTGGACTTCTCCGTAGTGAGACGTTTGGTCAATCGACATTGAACATTGGAGTCGTGCGCGCCGGTTTAGCTGGTAATGTCGTTCCTGCATATGCCGAGGCGACAATTTCCGTTCGTCTTGCAGCTGGAAATCCAGATGACACGCGAGAGATTGTGAGGAAGGCGGTTGAACATGTGACTGGTGGTGATGGAAGCGTCTATCTTGACTTTGGGAACACCGAGAACGGCGCTCCGCCTCAATATCTTGATTTTGACGTCGATGGGTTTGACGTGATTACTGTGAACTACGGGACTGATATTCCTGCCTTGAAGATCAGAACGCAGGGAGGTCCAAAAGTGAAGCGTTATCTCTACGGGCCGGGGAGCATTCATGTTGCCCATGGTGATGACGAGGCAATCACTGTGGGAGAGCTTGAAGAGGCGGTGCGAGGATACAAAAGATTGATCTCGGCCGCGCTGGGTGCCCACTAGATATAGGCCTTCTTTTAGCTTGCGAAATAGATCAATGCTACAGCGATAATAGTCTACGCTCTCAGTCATATCTACGAGGCTACAAGCGGTTTGCTAATCAGGCCCCACACGACATCAAACCATCAATCGAAGAAGTCCGGTAGACAGGCGGACGCCCATAGACTGCACAGCAGCACCCGGACCCCTTACGACTGAGGCTCATGCAGTGGAGTTCGATCCCTGCTGGTGCTCTGGGATGACATAGTAGTGAGTGATGAAAGGAACGGGTCATCACAGACACCACTTCACACATGCCTCGGGGGCGACATGAAATTGGCCCAGCCCAACATAGGAATGGCCGGGCACCGACCCTGTCAGTAGCAAACCGCGGATCTACACCCCAAAAGGGGCAGTCGGCAGCATCTGCCTTGAGATAGGATCTTCAAGGCATGACACCAAAGAGGGAGAGAAGAGGGATGAAGTATGCATGTCCTTTCGCTGGTATTGTCCAGATCAAGTTCTAACGGTAATTTCTCAGAACGAGACTCGCGCTTTTGGAAGACCAAAAACGCAAGACCTCGAACACCCGTCATGCGTACTGCAGAAAACATACTTACCAAAACCACCCCTATGTGGATCCCAGATCAACCCCTTTTTTGTTCCCCATCCCGAAGTCCCGATGACTACCAGGAAAAGGGAAGCTGCTGTAGAACTGCTCACTAGTTCAAACAGCAGTCGTACCGGCGGAGACATTCGTCTTCTCCTCATGTCCAACAAAGTGCCCTGTCTCGGTATCTGAGTCAACAATTTTGAGATGCTCAAACCAGATACCGTTGGACTTGCGCCACCACTCGGCGATCGCGATTATAGTCACTCCGCCCATGATCACAATCGCATAGTTGAACAAGCTGGAATCCTTGTTGATTGCACTGTCCGAGTAGGCCGGGGCGCAAAGAACAGCAAAAGCGAACCCGTTCCACAAGAAGGTAACAACAGCGGCGACCACGCCAAACCGGCCTAAATCCCAAAAGCCTGGGCGGAAGGATTTACGCGTGATGAAAGCGCGGCCGATTCCAACCAAACCGTATGCTGCGAGGGAACCCGCAGCCGAAGTGGAAACCAAGCTAGAGAAGGCCACTTGCGATGGGAGCTGAGTGCAGAGTAGAAGCGCGGCAATAGAGGAAATGAAGATGACAGCGTTGTGAGGCTGCTTCGACTTTGACACACGCGAGAGCACGTCACTGAATGGGAAAACGCCGTCGCGTGCCACGGCGAATACAAGGCGTGATACAGCAACCAAAGAAATCGAAGTGTTAAGGATTGCTCCAATCATCGAGACAATGGTCAGCACAACGTGTGCATGTGGACCAAGCGCCATCGCGTACATGTTGATGAACGGCTGGGGCGCGCTAGTGTTGTAGAACGTCTCAATCGGAGGCATGCAGAAGAGAAACAAGATAATGATCGGGAAGCCGCACAGCGCAGACGCAACGGTTGCCCAAAAGATACCCTTCGCGGCGGCTTTCTTGGCCGAGACGGTCTCTTCTGCGACATGGCCCGAAGCATCCTGTCCTACAAGACAACTGCCGACCATGTACCAGGACAGAACCCAGTTCAGCCCGGGACTGGTTTCCCCACCATTGTATGTAGACGTAAACACGTATTCGGCCGACTGGAATCCGTATGTCTTAGACACGCCGATGGGAAGCCAGATGAAGTTGAGCAGCATGTCGATGATGATAACCGTCACACCCGCTCGAAAGACCCAGGAGTACATGCGCGGGGGTAGGAAATTCAGCGACGTAGCGATCGCCAGGAAAAGAAGCGAGATAGCCCATGCCACAGCGCGCGCTCGGACGTCGGCGGTTTCATATGGGAAGCTGGTCTTCGGGTCAAACACAACGATCTCGGAAATCAGGTAGTTGGCGACACCGAACGAGTCACTCGCGAGGAAGGCGGTCCACGCAACCAATGTCCATGCGGCAACGAGGAAGGAGATGAAGCGGCCGACTTTACCGCCTCCCCAGGATCGGAAGGCCCAGTAGTAAATTGACCCCGCGGCGGGATAGCTTGAACAAGCTTCGGCGAGACAGGCGGCCGTGATGACAGACAGTATGCTACCGGAGACCCAGGAGCTCCAGCTGAGAGAGTTGTTAGTGATGTGATCAATGCCGCGGGAAACCGCACCCGGCGGGAAACGTAGAACATACATGGCAGCCGGCCCACCTCCACTAAGGGCGATATAGAAAAGCACACGTATTCCTCCAACGCAATTCAAGGCCGAGAAGGAGCAGGCGAAATTGTCGAACGAGCCCCATCCTCGAGCCAAGACAGAGCGATAGCCAAGCTTCAGGAGGTCACGATCGTCTTCGTTAGTCATGGAAACTCCATCAGAGTTCTGGTCCTGATGTTCGATATTCCGAACATCTTGTGAGGGGTTTGCTGCATCGAGCGCAACAACGTCAGGTAAGGTCATGATGGTTACTTTTTTTTTGATCTGTCTTTTGAGAGGCTTGGCACTTGACAATTGCTTCCTTTTTTCCCAAAGAAAAAAAGTTATGTTCAATTAACTTTTTCCCATCACGATATCACGTGGGCCGATCAATTGCTTGAATGGATCCCGACACCGGGGTTTGCTAGGGGGTCTTCTGAGTCATTTTTATTATTTTAGCAGAAAGATTGAGAGAATTATGAGGAATTGGCTAGAAAAGATACTCCATAAGGATTAATGAAGTTCAAATGTTATCAATTGGTAGTACAGCATACATGTATCAATGCATGTCAGCTTGTTGTCCCCGGGTGAAGTGGCGGGGTCAATTGACAGCGTGTACACGGTTGCCCCGTGCTCCCTGAGTTCTGCATTTTCTGATTGACTTTAGTAGGCTTGACCGCTCATTAATTGAGAAATTTCTCTATTTGTGTATACTTTGTATTCTGACACGTACAATAATATGCAAGGCCCTTTCTGGAAAAAAAAAAAAAAAAAAGCAAAAAGCAAGAAACAACACTAATTCGCAATAGTTGTAACCAAATCGTAGAGGTCTTATCGGTGTCTTAATGGCGTGATCATCCATAGGCGGACCGATCACGGAGATCATGGGGTATTGGTACTGGACGAGGACTGAAAATGACAGTAAATTACACAATATCCCCACTGGATGTCCCTAGAAACCCAGCATCCCAGGGACACAGGTGTACACACAGGTATTGTATCATGTATCATACAGTATTGCTGCCCCTCTAACTTGCATGTGGATCAACACCCCATTCGGATTAGCGTGTGTTTCCTCCCCCTCCATATTTCTTTCGACATTTCCCAGACCTTTTCCCTTCTCTTTCTTCATTCTCTCTCTCAAAGGCATCGGATTTGTGAAAATTCTATCCTTGAGACTCCTTTCTTCTTTTCTCCTTTTCACACACATCCATCAGAATGGTTCAATCGTATGTTATCTCGACTCTTTTGAACACTTACCGAGACAGTTGCTGATTATCTGGTTAGATCTATTCTGGGTTTCCCCCGCATGGGAAGACTCCGTGACCTCAAGAAGGCCACCGAGGCTTACTGGGCTGACAAGATCTCCCGCGATGAGCTCCTCGCTGAGGGCAAGCGTCTTCGTCTGGAGCACTGGAAGATCCAGAAGGATGCCGGTGTCGATATTATTCCCAGCAACGACTTCGCCTTCTACGATCAGGTCCTCGACCACCACCAGCTCTTCGGAACCATCCCCGAGCGTTACACCAAGTACAACCTCAACCCTCTCGATGAGTACTTCGCCATGGGTCGTGGTCTCCAGAAGGAGGGCATTGATGTTCCCAGTCTCGTATGTGCAAATCATTACAATGTACCCATCCGAATTCAGTATGCTGACTCAATCAACAGGAAATGGTCAAGTGGTTCGACTCTAACTACCACTACGTGAAGCCCACTCTCCAGGACAACCAGGAGTTCAAGCTCGCTGCTGAGCCTAAGCCCGTTGCTGAGTTCCTCGAGGCCAAGGCCGCTGGCATCATCACCCGCCCCGTCCTCCTCGGTCCCGTCTCCTTCTTGACTCTCGGAAAGGCCGACCGTGGCCAGAGCGTTGACCCCATCACTCTGATTGAGAAGCTCCTTCCTCTCTACGTTGAGCTTCTGTCCAAGCTCAAGGCCGCTGGCGTTGAGGATGTCCAGATCGACGAGCCCGTCCTCGTCTTCGACCTTGCTGAGAAGTCCAAGGCCGCCTTCAAGCCCGTCTACGAGAAGCTCGGCTCCCTCGGTGCCGAGGCTCCCCGTATCACCTTCGCCACCTACTTCGGTGATATCGTCCACAACATCGATGTCCTCGCCGACCTCCAGAACCTCCACTCTATTCACGTTGACTTGGTCCGCAACCCCGAGCAGCTCGACACCGTCGTCGCCGCTCTCGGCCCTAAGCAGATTCTCTCCGCCGGTGTTGTCGACGGACGTAACATCTGGAAGACCAACTTCAAGGTCGCCATTGAGAAGGTCGAGAGCGCTATCCAGAAGCTCGGAAAGAACCGTGTCATTGTTGCCACCTCCAGCTCCCTCCTTCACGTCCCCCACACTCTCGCCAGCGAGAAGACCCTTGATGCTGAGGTCCGTGACTGGTTCTCCTTCGCTGTCGAGAAGGCCACCGAGGTTGTCGTGATCGCCAAGGCTGTCACCGAGGGCCCCACCGTCCGTGAGCAGCTCGAGGCCAACGCCAAGTCTGTCCAGGCTCGTGCCTCCTCTGCCCGCACCAACGACCCCGCTGTCAAGGCCCGCCAGGCCGCTGTCACCGCTGAGATGCACAACCGCAAGTCTGCCTTCCCTGAGCGTTACGCCGAGCAGACCAAGACCCTCAAGCTCCCTCTTTTCCCCACCACCACCATTGGTTCCTTCCCCCAGACCAAGGAGATCCGCATCCAGCGTAACAAGTTCACCAAGGGTGAAATCACTCCTGAGGAGTACGAGAAGTTCATCGAGAAGGAGATCCAGGAGGTCGTCAAGGTCCAGGAGGAGCTCGACCTCGATGTCTTCGTCCACGGTGAGCCCGAGCGTAACGACATGGTGCAGTACTTCGGTGAGCGCCTCACTGGTTACGTTTTCACCACCCACGCCTGGGTTCAGTCTTACGGCTCCCGCTGCGTGCGTCCCCCCATTATTGTGGGTGACATTTCTCGTCCCGCCCCTATGACCGTCAAGGAGTCGAAGTACGCTGCTTCCATCTCCCCCAAGCCCATGAAGGGTATGCTCACTGGTCCCATCACTTGCCTGCGGTGGTCTTTCCCCCGTGACGATGTCCACCAGTCCGTCCAGGCTCAGCAGCTCGCTCTCGCTCTCCGCGACGAGGTTGTTGACCTTGAGGCCGCTGGCATCGCTGTGATCCAGGTCGACGAGCCTGCTCTCCGTGAGGGTCTTCCCCTCCGCACTGGTGAGGCTCGTGCTGCCTACCTCAAGTGGGCTGTTGACTCCTTCAAGCTCTCCACCGCTGGTGTCGCTGATGGCACTCAGATCCACTCTCACTTCTGTTACTCTGAGTTCCAGGACTTCTTCCACGCCATCGCCGCTCTCGATGCTGATGTCCTGTCCATTGAGAACAGCAAGTCTGATGCCAAGCTCCTCAAGGTCTTCATTGACGAGGCCTACCCTCGCCACATTGGCCCCGGTGTTTACGATATCCACTCTCCCCGTATCCCTACCGAGCAGGAGATCAAGGACCGCATCGAGGAGATGCTGGCTTTCCTGACCCCCTCCCAGCTCTGGTTGAACCCGGATTGTGGACTCAAGACTCGTGCCTGGCCCGAGACCAAGGCGGCCCTCACTGCGGTAAGAAACATCAATTTCCCCATAACTGACGTTCAAAATGCTAATCAAACACTCACAGATGGTCGACGCTGCCAAGTACTTCCGCCAGAAGTACGCGCAGTAAATTCTTTAATTTACCATTAATTTAATGAGGAGGTGACAATCAACCTGTCACCTCAGTACTGGGGAGTTTTCTTTATTGATGAGTTACGACGATGATACCAAAAGTTCAACATATGGGTTTCAACGGGTTTTCTAGAGGATACCAAAAGCGGGCCTGGAGTTTCAACATGACTGACGATTTTAAACTGCGCTGGCCGGCATCATGACCTACTGCCGTCGTGATGCTCGGTTGGTGCTGGTTTTACCATTTCAACATTGTGTGGTTTTCCACATACAGCAAGCTCTACAACCTTGCTTGGTCAGATTCGCATTGTCGAGTTTGACCTACTGTCTCTATCATCGTGTAGAATCAGCTGTCAATATTACAATATTACAATAATCTGTGTCTCTTGTAGATTTGGTGTATTTTGGAGAAACAAACCGGCTTCTCCTGTGGTGTATATGGGGCTTACATCAATCTAAGCTATAACAGTTGATGTCTGGACTGAGCAATTTTGTTAGGTTCCAACTAAACTTAACAATGAAGTTGAAGTACAAAGCCCCCTGAAACTGCTAATTAAAAGTTGTCGGTTTTAGTCCTCATGCGGACAAATTTCTAAATAGGCCTAGCAGGTAGGTACAGTGGATAGCACCCTAGGCGGGCCTTCTATATAATTTCTCGAGACAGTGGACCTGTACCCAATCATCCAAGCACCTTTAGTGAGTAAATTCAAGCTCAGCGTACTCATCACAGACCTCAAACAGTTTAGTCTGTGTGCCAGGTTCCTAAAAAGATGTTAGCACGACCATGTCTCAAAAACCAGGTCAATCAATGCAGATGCTGTACTTACAGTAGCACTATGACCGGCATCAGGAGTCCAAAACAACCGCGAGTCCGGCAAGCCTTTATGCAGATCCCAAGCTGTCTGCGGTGCGCAAACAATATCATAGCGGCCCTGGATAATAGTAGCTATAAGATACGGAGTTAGCTACACTCAAATCACAATATATCTAGATCAGGAGTAGCGAATGACTTACTTGGAATATGCCTAATCTTACACAAATTTTCCTCTTTCAGAATCTGACCCTCCTCCAGGAATACCCCATTCGCAAAGTAATGCGCCTCAAGCCGAGCATGAGCAAGCACCCATGCATCATCCTCGAGTTGGGCAAACCCCTCAGGATCCGGTCTCAAAGTGCCAATACTCAGATCCCATCGGTTCCACTCTCTCGCTGCGGCGATCCTTGTCTCGTAGTCCTCTGAAATAAGGAGGTCATAGTACGCCTCATTCGGTCTTGCCCGATCCTTTTCAGGAAGATAATTGACAAATGCTTCGTAAGCTTCAGGGAAGATATTTGCTGCGCCAATAGACCCACGCGAGAACTCTAGCTCCGATTTCCTGCCAGTGAATATTCCCCGTAGTATCAGGGAGCCTACCATCTCCGGGTAGGCTTGGGCGTAGAGCAGGGACAGGGTTGAACCCCAGGAACCCCCGAAGACGACGTGCCATTTTGCGATTTGGAGGTGTTTACGCAGCACTTCAATATCGGAGACTAGGTGCTGACTTGTATTCTCCCGTAGTTCAGCCGCGGGCGTTGATTTCCCGGCGCCACGTTGGTCGAACAGCACCACGCGGTATATGGCTGGGTTGAAATATTTCGTGTTGTTGTATGAGGTGTGCCCGCCAGGTCCACCATGAAGGTAGAGGACTAGCAATGTCAGTATTTTGGATTACCAAGTCTAATAATACTAATGGGATTGTGAGGAGGGGGGATGTGTATTTTGACGGAGGTCAATGACGGTGGTCTCTTACTTGGTTTCCCATCTTGTTTGCCGTACTGTTCATAATGTACAGTATGAATATCGCTCACGAGCAGTCTGCCTATGTCAAAGGCAGCTGAGTGGGTGTACCCGGTCAGTAGATCGGCCATATTTAATTTCCAGTCGTCCAGTCGTATACTTGTAGTAAGTGGCTCAACGCGGGGTCACTGTCTCTAATAAGAGGAAAATAGTGGTGGTGGCCTTAGGCCGTTATAAATGCCTCAGGCATCAACTCCTCGGATTGCTAGTAGATAGCCAGGCAGTATGCTTCTTGTAGAATCAACTCTCTCCCTCCTTTCTTCCTGGCCCTATACAGTAGTCCCAAGAAAAGTCGCGCAAGAGTGGCTCATATATTAGCGAGTCAGTGATATTTTGAATGTAACCCAATTTGGGTTTTCTCTTCTTTGATTCTCCTTACCTTCACAGGAACATAGAGTTTGAGTTTCATAAAGAATATCTATTAAATAGTAACCATAGCACGTTTTACCAGTATATTAATCTCACATAATATCCGATCGTATCTGATCCAGTTCGGCGTTGAGACTTTTTTCCGTTATCGGGGCATATTAAAGGTAAATTTGGAACAAATGAGAAGGGGAAAGGATCACAGATTCATGGTGTGAATAAAAATCGACATGGATATAGAGGGCGATCAGGGTCTAGTGGAGGAGACAAAGAGGGGAGAAGGTTATAAGACGGTTATCTAGAAGGCAAATGCTTATATAGGACGTAGAGAAACTACATGGGCCACAAACGTCTCATGTACATCTTAAGATATATGAAGCAATGGTAGGACTGGGACGTTTCTGAACTCTCCTGCATTTGAATAAGCTCCAATGCTGATTATAACAGCCGCCAACACCCGTCTTGGCGCGTCGCTAGGTAATGTTGAATCCAGTCGGACTTCGCCCCACATGCTGCTTTGTGGTGTATAAATACTTTCTTCCATGGCTACTGGGCAAACATAGCTGGCGATGAAAGATGGTTATGGTGCTGCAAAAATCCCTCCAACTCCCTCTATACACATTACCCATAACATCCCTTGCCTTGCCTTGCTGAAGCTCAAACACACCAAACCCACAAACAACATGTCTGCTGAACTACCCGAGCATTACAAAGACCATAGAGTCTTATTAGAGCTAGAGCTTGCTATTGATGAACTTGCCGAGCACAAAAGCACAAAATTGACGTGTCAGAACTCAAGCGATTTGGTATTCTTCACCAGCGCTTAACCCTTGATAGAGAAGATTCAGCCTACAGGCCTTCCTTCTTCGCGCCATATCCCAGCATCCAAGCGCCCAGTGAGAACATCGTTGATGAACTCCAGTCAACTTTGGCATTCGAGGACACCTGTTTTACGGAGCCTGTCGACCGGGCCCGTCAGGTTGCAGGCCCCTGGTCGTTTTATGTCCCCTACGGGCAGCATCCTCCGTGAACCTCGAAAGAGTGAGATTACCACTATCCCGAGCTGTCTCGCTTTAATGCATTATGACCGCTAATATCATGGGATAGTGTTGATGATTACAAACCTTACAAGGATTTGTATCAAGATGATAAACCTGAGTTTGGGACTTTTAGGATGACGGATGTTCGTGGGAAAGCTTTACCACACACCAAGGCATTCATGTACAATGACATGGATGCGACAGATGGGATAATTCTTCGTGGGGAGCTCCTGACTATTCTCCGCCTGATGCTGGGCCAGCTGAGGAAGGTACGCCTCCTTCAGCATAGGAAAGCGCCGGTAATGCTTGATCTCTCATTCCCACTTCCCACTACAATCGCTTACCAAGTATTCTGCAGGTCTTTCTGGTCTCGTTTATGGGCAAACGTGCCCGCGCATTTGAGTCCTATTTCAACGGCCAAGCCCTCGTCCTACGTACTACGAAACTCTACAATTTCCCCGAAGAAATCTCGATCGGGTTTAAGAATCGTGCAGAGTGGTATCTCAGCTCGCCGACAGGGGATACGTTCTAGGTCGGGGCTTCGTTGTTCTATCTTTATTTTCTTTTTCGATCAGCGAAAGCGTTGGATTATTTGCAGGCATACCAAATTTAACTTCGGCTTTGTTCTTTGGCGCTATGGTTTCCCCATGTTACATGTATATATTTTGTCGTCTTGCCCAGGTTTACACACTCTAAGCTCAGTTGTGGACTATGTGCTGTGTTACATAACGAAAGAATTGTGCTCAAGAACCATGTGTTAGTGTTACAATATCGAGGAATAGCATAGTAACCCTGAGGAACCCGAATTCGAAATACAATGTAATTTCGAGCTAAAGGGGCCATTGCTAACACTAGCACTAGCGGTAGAGGCATTATTTTAGGCCCGTGCCGGTTCTAGAATGTCTAGGAGCTTAAGGCCGACTTAATTTAGAATGTCTTGGCACGAAGCTACTGACGTGATGGACTGTGAAACCACAAAATCCTATCTCCCCGCACTTCCAACTTGATAACCTTTGATTCAAAATTTCTCCAATATGGTGCCCCGGCTAGACGTCAGAGCATTGGACCAGATCGTACTCAAACCACCGAAGGATCGAACCCTGCGATTCAGAGAAGATGGAACATTTCACATTGGAGTCTTTGAGGATTTGCATTTCGCCGAGGGTATGGCGTGATAGCCCATCAACAGGGGGTCTCTTGCTAATCCTTGCAGACGACGAAAAAGATGAAAAGTCGAAAGAAGTAATGTCAAACATCCTCTCGAAGGAGGACATCGACTTCATAGTCATCAATGGCGACCTAGTGTCCGGCGAAAGAACCAAAAAAGCTGATTCAAGCAAATATATTCACTCGGTCGTTTCCCCACTCGTCGAGCAGGGGTACAGCTGGGCATCAACCTACGGCAACCACGACAGCGAAGTTAATCTCAATCCCAAAGATGACATGTTCAAGGCCGAGCAGAAATACCCCAACAGCTTAACGCAGAGTAGGATCTCCGGCGACAAGGCTGGAATAACGAATTATTATCTACCCGTATTCTCACATGGACAGAAAAATACCAGCACTCCGGTGCTACTACTGTGGTTTTTCGATTCGAAGGGTGGACATTATTATAAAAAGGAAGGAGAGGATGGGCCTGCTGTTAAGAGACCCAGTTGGATTCATGAATCGGTATGAAAATCCCTACCTGATCATACCTTTTTCTTTCTAAGAAATAACTAACTGGCTGCATTCAAGGTCGTTGAGTGGTTCACCAAAACCAATTCCAACCTGAAAAAGGAGTATGGAAAAGTCATCCCATCACTAGCATTCTACCACATCCCCGCCCACGCAATGCTCGAACACCAACAAACAAGAGGCATAAACCCGCGCCTGACGCCCGGCGTGAATCGCGAGTCCGTTCACCCGCAAGGAACCGGCGAGTGGCGCTATGACGGCCAAGACGTGAAGTTCATGGATGCGCTTCTCCACACTGAAGGCTTAATCGCGGGATTTAGCGGCCACGATCACCAAAATGACTGGTATGCGCCTCCAGCAGGCAATAACCATAATTTGCATGACTCAAAACACTAATTAAACATCGCAGGTGCTTTAAATGGGACGGCTCTCTGGTGGATCATGGTCTAACCGGGAATGGTATAAATATGTGCTACGGTCGGCATACGGGGTATGGCGGCTATGGCAATCTAGTTCGCGGTGGACGGCAGATCTTACTCCACGAGGGCAATCTCGCAGATGACACTGAAACGTGGATTCGATTGGAGGATGGATCGGCCCAAGCTCGTGTCACGTTAAACACAACTTACGGCCAAAATCCTTACCTTGCTGTTATCAATGGTGCTGGAAAGCTTGATTCCTTCATGCAGGGCTCTTTGCTTTCTTACTCTTGGTTGTGGGTTCCGATTATGATACTCTCGCGGTGGAGAATGTGACGACTTCTTTCAATAGAGGTCTTGGATTGCTATATTATTTTTTGATTGGACCTAATTCATGATTGATGATTGGATTAAGATATTCTGCACGGGGACAGAGATATAAGTTTCTTGCCTTTCAGAGCATTTCAAGCGTCACTTCTCGAGGTCTAAATCATGGACTATGTACAATGTTATCCTCTCTATAGTGAGATGACTTCTCCCATTTCATCCATTCTTGTCATCTTCCAAGCGTCAAATTCATATTCCAGGGGCATAGCTTTAAGACATCCAATCACTGACCATCGCCGTTTACAGGTAGATGTAGCAGAAAGGACCAGAGACAGTGCTCATGATATCCCGCATAGCAACAGTCTCGCCACCAGCATAACCAATATTAATGAGCGTATCGAGAGTAGTGTTAGGTGAAGCAGGACCATTCAAGAAAGTGCCAGTACCAGAAATAGCATTCAGACGCTTGCGGAGGTTCAAGTTCTGCCAGATCCACCAGGTACGATCAATCATACCGTGGTGGAGCCAGAAAGCAGGGTCACCGGGGCTGACGAAGACATCACGGGAAGGATCACCGCCCATGGAGTAGTGACCACCACCGTGCACACCGATGCTGCCACTTCCGGGAACACCCTGCATGTTCATCTGGAAGTCGTAGACATTGTCGTAGCGCAGGATCAGGTCCACGATCGATGTGAAGTTAGCGTAGTCCTGGATGATCTTAGTGCTCAGATCGCGCTTCAGGCAGCGCGGGTTGTATGCGAATGGGTTGGCTGTGCTGCCGGTTTCACCTCCGGGCAGCATTAGCGAGACCGGGCCCAGGTTCACAGAGTAGTTCGTGAAGGGGCCGCTGGTGACGCAGCCGCCTCCGTTGCCGGTGGGCAGGTGGATGACTGGGTAGCTACCCAGGCTCAGCTCGATGTCGCCGACGGCGTCGATGTGGGCACCGTTGCCGGACATCGAGGTGTCGCTGCCATCGAAGACTTGGGAATTTTCCAGGCTGCCGGCATCAGCGCCCCAGTTCCAGTAACTGTAATCATGTTAGATATTAGGGGACTTGATATCCGAAGGATCGTTAGACTTACGGGAAGTCACCAGTGTAGCCACACTCGTTCCGCATGGCTTCTTCGAAGTTCCAGATGAAGTATCGGTGCCATCCCAGGAAGGTTCCAGTGTAGTGGATGGTCATGGTCTGGTTGATGTGAGTAGCGACGAAGTCATCGTAACGGGACCGCGCACCAGGGGCCCTATCGGAGGGGGTGAGCGAGGGCAGCTCCTGGAGGCAAAGGATGGACTTGATGTAGGCCTTCTTCTGGGGGCTAGAGAAAGCCCTCCAATCGCGGCGAATGCGCAGATTGCTCAGCGAACAACCACCGCGCTTCTCGATGTCTGAATCGCTTGAGACACTTTCAACGGAGGCATTGTATGCCAATCCAGCCAAATTGTCAAGCTGGGACTCAGCGACTGGCAGGGAGGTGGACGCAGCGGTGGGAGTTGCAGCGGTGGGAGTTGCAGCGGCGGGAGTTGCAGCGCTCACAATGGCACTCCCCGTGGCAGCGGGCATAGCCCACGCCTGTGTGAACAAGGCTCCCAAAGTGAGAATGGAAACGGCAACCATGGTGGCGAGTTGAATATTTGAACCTCTGAAAGACCAGTAAGTTCCACACCAAGAGTTTAGGAGAAGTGGTGATTGAGATGAGAGGATCCGGGTATCATCGTCAATTTAAAGGCGAGGTGCATATGCCAATCACCCCTATCTCGGATTTCCGAGTCGAACTAAGGCATAGTCGTGCCACTATCTTTTTCTTCTGCATAAGCCCTCATAATCCACCCCCTCCTCTGCTGGGACCTTTTTAGGGCACCGGGATGTGTTCCGCTTTCTCCACCGCCGGGAGATCCCGGCAAATCAGGACGTTGCAAGATTTGCACATTTCCAATTTGGGCCGATCAGTCAGGGTCCTCTTCCCACTTGAACCGCTGGTTCACTCACGGCTCGGCCCTTTACACCCTTTCCAAATTTCTTCCCTGGATCATACTAAGACACAGAGATATCAAAAAAAAATTATATTGTACCAATGCAAAGGCAAGATGTCAGCAGCATCAGCCACCTCGTGGTCCCCTTGTTTCTTGGCGGCTTGGCAATTTGGCCTAAGCCACATATCCAATCAAAGCGAGACCCCAAATTGAATCCGGTCAAAAGCCAATCTGGGACAGACATTCCGGTACCCTAACTGCATAAACTCCGAGGAAATACAATCCACCTGCTATACAGCTTCCACCATACCCGTGGCTCATATCCCTCCATGTGCGTTTCTTACCGATGCTGCTAAGTCTGCCCATTGGCCAAGTTTCTAATGACTAACTAGTATCCCAGCTATCGAGCCTGAGGCGTTCTGGAACGTCGTATATTTAGCTAAAGCATTTTTTTTATGCTGGCATCGGACTTAACTTGGGCCCCGACAGTGGCTTTGTGTCTCAAGAACGGCCGAAAAGAGGCTGTCGACCCGAACCTAAAAAGAAGATAACAACAGGTCATTGGTCTGTGACGCTGAGTACAACAGAATAGATGAAACCCCTTTACGAGATTCACGCCACATACCTTCTTTGGCTTCGGGGGCCACAGTAATAGTACAACATACGGAGTAAAGCTGAATGTATTCTTAAAAATTAGGACACGACGCATTATGCATTAAGTTGGGTAAGACTTTTGATGATCCTTTCGTACTCCTCCTCCTTCGTAAAACCAAATCCCTGTCCGATCTTGCCTTCCAATGCTTAGCCCTCCATGAATATCACGATACCCACGTCGGACGGCCCTCGTGGCGGAGGCGCGAACCTCCCAGATGTTAACCATGGGCCTAGGATTATCATAGCCACTGCCATCACTACTTTCGCTGCATTAATCACCGTTTTGGCTAGGTTCTACGTCCGTGTCTATCTTATTCGCAATGTCGGGTGGGATGACTACATTATGGCCCTGACGATGCTGCTGTCTGTCTGTGGATTCGCAATTATCGTCCCCGAGGTGAAATATGGTGCAGGCAGGCATGGAGCCTACGTTCAAGGTACGGCTGTAACGGCAATGCATTTGAATTATGCTACGCAGGCTATTTACATGTGGGCTATTGGCCTGGTGAAGGTATCAATTGGGCTATTTTTGCTTCGTTTCGCACCCCAGAAAGGGTTTAGTATCTTTATCTGGGTTGTCATTGGTGTGTAAAGGCTTATATCTCTTGTTTTGTGACCCGGTACTGATCAAATCGGCTCATTATAGTCCTCATGACGCTATACACTGCAATCTGCTTTTTTGTCCGTAACTTATCCTCACATTCGGTTGCGGACAGCAGTTAACAGGTTGATTTATAGACTCTTATATTCGAGTGTGACAATATCCGAGCAAATTGGGATTTTTCGTTGAAAGCAAAGTGCCTTTCTCCCAAGCAACGGTTAACTATGAGCTATGTAAACGCTTGTGAGATTCATTGACATGATATGCGTCTGATTGAACATTTCCTAACCTGAATAGCACTAAATATTCTGACTGATCTGATCTTCGCGGTTCTACCTGTCTTTATGTTACGGTATGCTTCACGGACATCGCTTTCTCGGGCGAGAGACTAATACAATCATCAACAGCCATCTTCAAGTCAACAGCCGAGTGAAGGCCTCTCTGATATGTATCCTGGGTCTGGGAATTTTGTGGGTGGCTTTCGATCTAATCCCATCATAACCCATACTAATTATTCTATTTCCTTCCCAGTGCCTGCGCAGCCGCCTTCGTCAAGATCTCTATCCTACCCAGCTACGGCCGAACAGGCGACTTCCTCTGGGACTTTACAAATCTCACAATCTGGGTCGTGTAAGTCCTCCATTCTACCACATGCCTCTGAAACCACCCTCAAAATCCCATACTAATTAATAACAGCACGGAATCCAACACAGGTATCATCGCCGGCAGCCTCCCAACCCTCAAACCTCTCTTCAAGAGAGTCCTCGGCACATACGGCTCGCGGTCAAAAACAACCCGCGAGTACTTCGGCAGCAAGAAATATAAAATGCACTCGATGTCCCGATCAAGGGGGCCGCCACTCCAATCCCGAGGACATAGAAGCGGAAATCTCAGTGTCATCGAGTACGACGCTCACCCGAAGACTACACCGTCCCAGATGGCTTCCGTGACAGGCTCGGCGACGTATTCTGGAAGTCGAGCAAGCAATTCTAGTGAGGAGCGGATATTGCCGATCCAGGGTGTGGGAATTGTTCGTACAACTGAGGTGATAGTTTCGCACGAGCAGAGTCCTCCAGAAGTGCAGTCCAGTCCTCCTGCTGTGTCAAATTTGGGTAGGATGGGGTCGCTGAATGGCTTGCGTGTCAATGCGGATGATAGGGTGTAAATTTGTGTTATTAGGAGTTATACCTAGGTGGTTTTTGTATGTATTTTGATACCCAAATACGATATGGGCATTTAATCTATTTGTCGATGGCAAATGAAAGCGTCTGTTGCGCATTTGTTACACATCCTACTCCAAAGTAATCAAGTCTATGGTGGATCCTAATTGATATCCCGCGATGAGATTTACAATATGGAGCAATCGCCAATTACGATGGTAGATATTTAAAAAATGAGGCAGGGAGTAATTCAAGTTCTGCCACACAGAAAGGTAGTTCGTATTTGGATATCAAGGCCCGGGACGGTGGTTACAAAAGAAAAGTCGAATGGAAAAGAAAAGAAAACCCACCTGGAGGAGCTCCCACCATTTCACATCCACGAACATCCAGGGACAACAGCACCCCTCCCAGCAACATCCTTCTCCCCAAACTTATCAACATACCACTTCCGTCCCCAGCGCGCATGGGGCAACATATTGGTCACCGCATTGACAACAAACACCACGGCAGGCAAAGGCAGCGGTACAGCGAGCTTATCAGCCGCCCACGCAGCAGGCACCAACCAAGGCGCAAGACGCAACGGGGGAGCGATCGCCATGGAAGGTGCTGAGATGGAAGCAGGGAGTGCGGATAATGGGGCAACTGCCGTACCAGCAAGTGCAAACCCAATCCACTCGATCCATTCGAAGACGTAGTGCGGGTACAAGATGTATCGGAAGACACCACGGGTAGGTGGAATGACGTAAACCTTGTGGAACTTATTCCGGCTGCCTTGTGCTTCGTCTCCGGCCGGGGTTCCATCATCTGTCTTTTTGGCAGCGCGTGTTTCGGCTTCTTCGCGTCTGAGTCGGAATAGTGCTGTCTCTGAATAGATGTTTCCGGCCATTCCAATGGCGAATAAAATTACACCCACGGTGGGGAGGAGATCCACCACCGCAGAGCGAGATGGATTCCCGCTGCTAGCTGTGTGGAAGCTTGGGATAGTCGACACTGTATATCCGCGCAACCAGCCGGCCAGACATGCTGAGTTGAACCAATTGAAGAGCATAGCGAAGGACATGATGATGACGTGGATTGGGGACATGCTGGGGGCAGAGAAGAAAGGGGAGATGATAGCACGGTTGAAATAGTGGGTGCAGTACAGAGTTACAATGAGGATGTTGGACATTGGGAGATCAGTGAATGAGGGCGCATATGGCGATGGGGTGACCATGCAATATATCAAGTTGATAGGACCGACAATCTCCATAACAGACCAGGCAATGCGTCCTGGAATGTTGAAGACGGACTGCGAGGAAGTTTTGCCGGCTGGATGCCAGGATAAAATCCATTGAGCTACCGTCATCTAAATGCACCGAGTTAGTTTTGTGACATCATCTAGGGCTTCAGGGTCCTGACCAAGGGGAAGTATTGGAAGCAGCATAAGATAGGTGTATAGACAGCCGGAGATGGAGGGAATAGCTCCACGGCGGAGGGCAGAGCTTCCCAACAAGTGGAAATAGTTGCACCCATATTGAACAATTGAGAGTTGAAAGAAGATTGAAGATTGCGGAGGATAAACAAGAAGCTTGAAAGCTGGTGATGTGGAAGGCGGTGGGTCCCGGGTAAGGAGTTACTTCGTTCTCGTTCTTCCTCTCCCTCTTCGTCTTTTATTACTTTTTTTTTGGTCTAATTCTTTTTTGAAGAGAACAAACAGTGATTACTATACTGCTCAAGAGTATGTTTTCTGGCGAGATTGTGTGTGAATTGTCAATTTTAAATGTACTCTGTACTACTTCGAAGACTGCACAAACGAAACCCTCCTACAACCACAAAGGGTAAGACAGCAGGGGCAAATTGCACAGATTGAGCAAATTGGCAAGAGGGCTGGTTTCGTTTGATTCTTTACTTGTCAAAAAGTCACACACATAAATAACCCGAGGCATAATTCCACATAAACGGAGTGTAGTATTCTGTCCCGTGAACGCCAATGGAAATGCCCCTAAACAAGCAAGCTTGTGAATTAATTCAAAAAAGCGACCGCTTCTTAATTCGATGTGTCCATCCGATCATGGACCATTTCCCTTCGTTTGCCAGCTAATTTCTCTGTCTTGAACGCCTCGATCTTGGCTTTGAGTTCGGTGTCTAGAAAAGGTGGGTTAATAGTGGAACAACACTGGGTAAGGAAAATCGCTTACCAGCCACCACATCTTCGATCTTCAATGGGACACGGTTGAATGGATCGTGAGGGTCACTGAGGAGATGCGAGCGAATTGTGGCGCGGTCGATGGAGATCCGCGAGCCGGGGAGGATGACTGGGTCATCCATGAGGGAATACATAAGAGGATCTAAAAGAATTAGCAGCTGTTGAAAAATGGTGTTCAGATAAGGGGGAAATACCGAGGAACTCTTCAGGAATCTCGCCCATGTCTTCCTCCGCTTGATCATCGGCCTCCTTAGCAGCCTGAACCTTCTTCTGCAACTGACTCCAATGACGGAGCTGCTCGGGGGATTTCAGCGACCACTTCCGGATAATGTCGGCTGCCTTCTCGAAATTGGCTGGCTTGTAGGATCGGCCATCACGGGCAACAGCCAGGATGAAGTTTTCCTTGCCGATCAGGTTAAGATAGACGTCGACAATCTCACTCAGAAGAGCGCGAGGGTTGAAGCCGTATTCCTGCAAGTTATCCACTCGGAGGTTGGAGCTCTTGGGTCCCACCATTGCGTCCAGGTTATAGTCCAGCATGTCTGCGAGTCGCTGCACAATTTCAGGCATTGTGAACGAGTCAGCAAGCGCCTCGGTGAATAGCTTGAGCATTGCCACGGTCTGGTTAGTCAATTGCATGTAGCTTTTGGCGCTACGCTGCGCTGATGACAGATGCTCTTCCCGCTGCTGACGGGTTGCAGCATCCATTGAGTGGCCCTGTGTATTCAGCTCAGTCTGGGTGTTGTGGATAGTCTTGAAGGCACCGAATGACTCGTCGAGTACGTAGGTCACATCGTTCAATAGAAGATTGACGAATTGGACGAAGAAATCCAGGTTCTGGTTGGCTTGAAGGGACAACTTCTCCCGATACAGAGTGTTGGGCCAGATGCATTTGATGATCTGGAAGATCTCGTAACGGATGTTGAACTTGTCGTAGAATTGAGAATGTGTTCCCGTGAACTCTGCCTCAATGTAGAATTTCATAACCGCATGGAGGAGATGCTCGTTAGCAAACGGCATCGAGTTGAGCAGGTCGACCAAAACACCACTGGCGCCACCAGGGCGTTTCCAGGTGCCTCGGAACAGAATGGAGATCAGTCCGGCTTTCAGGTAGGGGTTCTTAATATAGGCGGAGCTCTCCAGGAATGTGATGCACAGCATTACCAACTCATCGCCCTGGGTGGCGGTAATGATCTGTGGCATGCACCACATGATAAACTTGAAGTTGCTGACAACGTCCTCCAAGAAGTACTCTGGTAGGCATTTGAAAACTTCGGGCTGCTCCTCTGGAAGAGGAAGGGTAACCTGCTCCTTGGGGAAGTTCTTTCCCGAGACAAGTCGCAAAAGCCACACGGTAACATATCGCATGAATAGCATTGAACGAGCCTGCCACTGCTCGTCGAACAACACACCTTGCAGACTGTACTTGAGGGCAATACCCAGGTCGAGCTTGTCTTTGTACTTCTTCAGGGCCATATCAAAGGTGCGCAATTGCTGGGGATTGTTGAGCCAGCGAACTCGCTCAAGTTCGAATTTAGTGATTGTACTCTCCATTTGTCGCACATCCTTCTCGAGTTGCTCCATCTTTGACGTCAATGATTCACTGCCGTAGTGATGAGCGGCGACAGTCAGGAAAAATATTTCAGTAATAAAGTTTGAGGTTCCTTCGACCTTCTTGGAATAAAAAGCGTCGGAAGCATGCTGATCAGCATTGATTTTAGTCTCATCCCGCATGTCAACTCGAGAATCGCGGTGGAGATAATCCGCATCAATTCTGTCGATTTTAGTAAATGCTGCGTCCATGAACGGCTCACAGAGCTGGTCGAGGCACGTTGTGAGATTGAACATGAAGCCATCCGACGATACTTGTGTAGGGTCGACCTGCATTGCTCGTCGTTTGTGATTGATGTTCATAGCAGTAGCGAACCAATCCAGAACACGATCTCTAGCCTCTTTCGAGGCCCGGATCAGGTGATTAACAACATCAAGAAGATCAGAGCTGAGCATCTGCTGTGTCATTCGAAGCGATCTCTGGGCATTGGAAATATATGCCTGGTCCCGGGTCTTAGGGCTAGAGAAATAAGACAGGGTGACGTTAGCTTGGAGAGGTGAGAGGCGGAACCATGGGCCCAGAAGAGTGGCTTTCTCGAATTCAGCAGGGTCCTTCGTGTTGTTAAAGAGGGAGGATTCCGTGATTGCAGCCGCAATGGAACCGTTGCGAACAAGATTTCGAAGAGCCTGAACAAACTGGTCAGACGTGGTCCAGGGAAATACTGACGTTTGACTTACAATGGCGTATGGCTTGTAGTCATCGTTAACGTCCATGGAAGAAAGCTGCGCGCTCAACTGCTCAACGGCAGATATGAAGGCGGGCTTAACAGAATCATCCTCGTCGAATCTTCTCACGGCCTCGTTGATAAACTCGAAGTCGATTCCTTTGTCGTCCTCAGGGTCGACAAGAAGGTACGCGGCTAACGATGATTGCGGGGACCATTCGCTCCTGTAGTGCAGACCGTCAGTATGAAGTGCCAGTGTAGTAACATTCCAGAAAAACGAACCCAAACATCTCTGGCATTGTAATCGCAAAGATACAGTAGCTCATGCACAGGCGCCGCGCCTCACATAGAACTTGATACTTTGGGTCATTATCTCCCGTCCGCCTCAGTCCCTTGTACAGCTTTGTGATGCGCTTCCAGCATGGCAGCAGATAATCAAGAGGACGCTGCCTCTCGGCCTTTGACGCTGCCTCTAGCAGGGCTTGGTCTAGAACCGCAACCTGGATCCGCAGATCCTGGCCCTCATTCTGCAGTTCACTCCGAAGTCCAGGCAAGTATGTGCGATTGCCATGAATATCACGTTGTCCTTCTTCCTTGAGGGTTACTCTGAATACGGCACTTAGTGTCCGGTCTTCAAATGCCTCAATGCTTTCGATTTTCTGTGGTGGAGGGGTGCTTGGGGCTGAGGGAGCGGCGGGTCGTGTGCGCTCTGGTGTAGCTACCGGTGTGATCTTGATCCGCTTCCCTTCTGACTGTTGCGGGGTTGGTGGCGCGTTGAAGAGGCGACTCGGTGGCTGAGTAGACAGTGGTGATTGTGATGGAGATGTGTTAGCTGAACTCTGTGCCGATTCGGAGTTGCCATCCAAAGAGGGCTGGACTGGGTTTGAAAGCTTCGCAAGTCGCTTGTTGCGAATCTTTTTTTTATCGAGAGTAGATGTCAGCCTTCAAGTCACTGCGGGGACGGGTCGGCTTCATAATTTGAGCATAACAAGCAACTGACCTTGTCCGCATCGGAGAGTGTGTCCGACATGTTAGCTGAAAGTCAGACAATAAGCCCTTCGGAAAGGTTGGCAGGACCGCTAATCTGGTGGATCAGGTCGGCAGAATATCAATATTGTCGGGCCCGTGTGGGAATCATAAGGAGACGTGAAGGCGGAATAAGGCTGCTTCAAAGCCTCGAAGTGGGGGCAATGGAGTCTAGAATCCGTAAAAGGTGAAAAAGATGTTTGTGATTCCGTGATTCCGTGATGATCGCCGAGATTCGCTTTTGTTCTGATTCGATTCAGCGCCGTGATCAAATTTGACTAAGCAAATCTCATGGTCCATGGTTGGGCATGAGATACAGAGAAGGTACTTATAATTTGCGGCAACAGCCCGCGTGAAATGATGTACCTGTGAAGTCACTTTTTCCTACATACATTGAATGGTTTAGCCCTGGAGGCGATTGTAAATAAAACAAAGACTTGTGCTATAGTCCTTTCTGCATACTCTTTTGTATGTTGAAATATTAGACGATTTGATATCTACCAACCCAGCCATAGCCACGGCCATTGTTTATATACTTCAAACCTATGGCCGTAACCTCAACATTAATGTCACGCGATATGTAACTACATATATTTCTTCATATGTTGCATATATCACACCGGAACATGACCCAGAAATGAAAACCAAATAGCCCAATTAAACCTCAGTAGAACCAAGAAGACAAAAGTCAGCAAAATCTTAGATGCATTCATAACTCTAGGAAACATAAAATGTACAACTAATGAACAACCAATGAGCTGAAACTCCCATAAATGCCACCTTTGTGGATGGACTAGTGATATTAGAGCACGTTCATGCGCAGAAAAGCGCCCAACAAAGGAACAAGATGCCATAAGAAGGTGCGGTGTAAGCCTCCAAAGTCCGCAGTGCATTTAATATCTCCCCTTCATCTTCAGTTGATCCAGACGCCGGCAGTTCGGCATCTCCATCGCACGAGCCTTCTTCATCTTCTCAACATCAGGGAACAGCCACCCCTGCGCTTCTTGCAACCTCCTTTCCCGCTCATGGGCTTCAGCGTCACATTCATTCCGCAGTGTCCTGACATATTCCACCTCCACGCGCGAGTCTAGCTCTCGGAAGTTTCGGGCACTAAAGTTATCCACGTCGAGGGGATTCACAAAGTAATTGAGATTGAGCTTAGGGGTCGTACGGCCAAGGGTATGCGGTGAAACGGGGGTATCGAATCGATAGGAGGGTCCGGATGGGGTCGAGGAACCAGAGAAGAGAGAAGAGAGAAGCGGCAGGATAAATAGAAGGATAAGCGGCAATAGCTGGCGAAGGAAACTGCGGCCGTCAATCTGAGCTTCCTGCTCAGTGGCTGCTGCGCGAGGCCGGCGGCGGGGCGCCTGGCCTCCAAATTGATGCACTCGGAATCCCGGGCCGCCTCCCATGTTGAAGACGAACTGCGGACCGCCTATAGTAGCACACGATTAGTTCAGGTGAATTGAATATCAGAGGAATAAGTAGTCGTACCGAATCCACCACCGCCCATTCCGCCAAATCCACCGTTGAAGAACCGGTTGAACATCTCCTCGGCTGAAACCTCCTCGTCGAATCTTTGACCACCCCCGCGGGGAAATCCACCACCGCCGAACCCACCGAAGGGGGACGCACCGCTCGAAGCGCTCGGTCCGGGCTGGAACCTGCTATCAGGATCGCCGCCAAATTTATCGTACTTGGACTTCTTTTCCTCATCGGAGAGGATCTGGAAAGCACGCGAGACCACTGCCACCGCGCATGAGAATCAATATGTCAAGATATGGAGCGGGGTTGCTCATTGCTCACTCTTGAACGCTTCATCCGCGCCTTCATAACCGTTCTTATCAGGATGTGTCAACAAACTCTGCTTGCGGTACGCCTTCTTAATCTCATTGTCTGTTGACGAGCGCTCAACTAGCAGAATTTCGTAAAACGCTGTAGGCTGGCATTTTCGAATCCGAAGCACAGCGGCTTTTTGGTCATCCGTGTACTTGCGATCCTGGTTGCCCTGCTTGTGGTCGCGCGACGTCGCACCTCCGCGTTTGGCATCAGAACCAGATGCCGAAGCCGAGGGCATAGCGACCGTAGTTTATGAGGAAAATCTAACAGATACCGGACGGCGCTTGGTTTTTGGTGCAGGAGGGAAGAGGGGGGCCGAGAGAATCTGGAGGGTGTTCGTTGAGTGGCGTGGGACCGCGGATGAAGGAGAAGCAATCCCGCACGAGATATGGTTGGGCTGGCAAATTAATTAAATGTACTTATGAGATGACCAGAGTAAATTACCGGCCTGATCAAGATGCAGCGAAATCAGAGTGACAGGTGTGGCTGATTCGGCGGGCATAAATTGGGGAAAAAGCGTGGTGTTAGGTGTCTTTGCCAAGCGCCGGAACGTCAATTGCACTGGACATTGCGATAACATCACTCGCCGAACTGATAAACCTGCCAACATCTCCAAGTCGGTGATATTCAATTGTAAGTTGTCTTGAGGTTCGCCAAGTTCAATTGAAAAAGATATGTCTTATTAATATACCGCAGCAAAGAACAATCCTTGGCTGTCAAAGCTCCAAAGGCCTTCCGCTTTCATCAAACAAGTCTAGCTCCGAAGCTCAATACCTCACTCATCATGGCGGACGATTCGACTGTCGAAGAGACAAAACAGACAGTAATCCAGCGCTTCCGGGCCTGGGGTGGTAAGTGGCCTATGAATAGTCTAGCTTTGTCGGCCAACCGTCGAGGCAAGACAATATCGCAAGTGATCACTTATTAATGACGTCTCTCAACGCAGAAAACTCATTCCCACCCACGTTGCTCGCCTCCATGATCGCAGCCCAGCACATGCGCCCCTTCCAGTTCTTCCCGATGATCTTCCCGCCTGTGCTGATCTTCTCCAGCTATGCCAACCTGCAGGGCTTCAAGACGGACACTGCCGGCATCAGCGCGGCCTTCTCGGGGCTGTACCTGCTTCTCGCAGCCCGCCGGCGACAGCCGTTCATGAAGAAGTTTGGTGTTCGGGGCGTCGTGCGTGGTGCGACTCTGGGTTTGGCTTTGGTCAACATGGTCGGTGGTGGGTTGGCGTACACTCTAGGTAAGAGGGAAGAGGAAGAGGATGCGTCATGATTAAGGTGACAGCTTGTAACTATGCGAGGATCGCGGCACCGCATTGGTGTCGCGCTCTGTCATGTACAATATGTGTATCAAAAGTGGTTTAGTTGTGCGTTTGGAACGTGGGTGACTTCAGGTCTCGGTGCCGGTGAATATGGGTTTGTTTATGGAATCATTCATGCATTATCATTGTACAAGTTGGAAATAGACCGTAGGAATCCTTTAGTGGCTACCCCGTCTAAGTATCTACACTTTAGAGTTTCCAGAATAGAGGTGCTCCGACGACAGCACGAACTGTCGCACCTGTTCAGGGACCAACCAGTTCAGATCCTGGGGAGCCGATTGCAACGCCTCGCGGGCTCTAGTTGAACTCACGGGTTGGTCAGTGGAGAGACGACCCTTCACAAGCTGAATCCTATCGGCCCATTCCCTACGCGCGCCCTCGCCATCTCGGTCACCTCTAGCAAGGGCCGCCACGTATCCCAGCTGCTCCTCTTTCCCACCCCACTCATCACTCGGCCGCATAGTCACACGCAGCCGGTGCTTTGACAAGAAAGGCCCTAGAGGCTTCAAGGTATGTTCGGGCGGATAATACTTGGAATTGAAGATCCGGATCAAAGTATCGTAACCCGTAAGATGGACCTGCTCCAGCGGCATGGGGTAAGATTCCGATGCCTCGATGGCAGCTGCCTTATCGACGAAATAGGGCTTCTTCGTAACGCCGATATCGACCAACGGGAGAGTTTCGACAGCGTGTGTGAATCCCGAAGCGGCGAAGGCCGGTGCCGATGCGAGGTGGGCGCGGAGATCCCGAGCGAACAGCTCCATCATCACGAGCCGATCCTCGAAGGAGGCTGGCTTCGATGGTTTGTCTGCATTTTGTGTGGCTAGAAGGAGAAGCACTCGAGGGCGGGGCCGGGGATTTTCTAGAAGAGCCGTGCTCACAATGCGGAGGTGGGCGCAGGTGGGGGGATTGAAAGACGAGTCTAAGACATAGAGTGTCTCGGATTCTGCGGAGTGGTCGGGCGGGATGGTTGTTAGGACCTCGAAGTCTTTGGTCGAGGTGAGAAACCGCTTCAGTAGTGAGGCATACTGGGTTCGGAGGTGTTGGAACGAGGACATGGTTCTCAATTTTTTAACTGCGCGTCATGATCTACAAGGAACCTTGGAATGTTGCAATGCATGCGGGATGTATGCAGGTGTTATCAAGACTGATAAGATGACATCTTGTCACCGCCTTCCCGAGGTCAATATACAACACATTATAGAGATCCACATCTCAAGATTGAAGATAATTCTAGAAGACAGCTTCAGCATTCACCATGGTTCGCAGAATTGAGATCTCCTAGCACAATTACGAGCAATTCCTACCAATTCATACCAATCTGGGGAGTTGGGGAGGGGTTCCGACAGGGGTCATTGAAATTTTAAGCTGGACGTTTCATCTTAGAAAGCTTCTCCGTGTCGATAAGGGATGTGCGAAATATGATAATTTCTATGGAATATAACGCGATTTCTATCAAGTCGGTTGTGCTAGGCATGACCCCTATCCCTCCACAAACAGAGATTTTTCAAATTCTCGATTTAGTACGCTCCGTACTCCGTACAACATATACGTTGGATGTACAACTAGTACTCTGGGAAATTAAACACTTGGAACAAACGATAGACCGAAGCCCAAGGACCGTGCATCAAGTTTAACCTTGGAAGACTCCGTAGACCTTATCAATTCACCCGATACGGAGTACACGACGGCTCATTTAATAAATATGCCCCACGTACTCCGTACTCCAGACGGCATTTAGAGTAAATTGTGTAAATCTTCAATTTTATGGAAATGAGAAGATAGATATACCCGTGGAGTCCAGAATTGTCAAGTTTATTTCTCAAAAAGCAATTTATATCCCGAGAAATGGTGGAAGCGGGGACCCTGGGACACGGGAGACTGATTTATGTGAAACCTTCGGCCTAGTGTGTATTGTATATCCCGTATTATTACAGCCGAGATCAATGCCCTTTTCCCGAATATCCCGGTGATCTGCCCGTAAATTTTCTCTCTTCATCTTCTATATTCTCGGGCGGTGTTTCCCCATTGGCATCTAAGTACTCCGTACATTGTAGATGGGCCTATAAAAGTGGCCCCGGATACGATCAGACTTTTCTGGGATGCACGTTCAAGTATGTCCGTGCCCTAAAACCCCGTTTGCCGATATGGTCCTACGGGGTACAAAAGGTATGTTGTACGGAGTACACAACATAAGTTCAATGACCCCATAACCCCTATTAAGCACTTCATGGAAATCGGGGCAGATAAAGACAGGGTCTCAGTGACGCCACCGACGCCACATCACATCAAGGAAGTTCAGTTCAAAGCTCATAGGCTTAATATCATATGGTTTTTTTTTTACGTGAGATTAAAGGTCCCAGCCCAACTGCCCACGGGCTCTGGATAAATACACATGGACCAATGAGACTTCCGTGCCTGAGACAGTGGATATCATTTGCCGTCGATCCACCGGTATTACCGACTTTGGAATTTAGTACTCCGTACTTCGTACTCTTGGATACAGAGTATATAATATTAAAATTAAAATTAAAATGATAAGTATCGTTTAATTTAAAGGAAATTAAACAAATGGGTTAATTACCTGGAGGCTCCATCATTTCTTCCTTCTTCTTTCCTTCTTCAAGCTTGCATTTCTTGACTTCTACTTCTTCTTCTTTTTCTTCTCTGTGAGAAGCCATACGTTCCTTCCCTACGAATTGATTTCGTAACTTTGCTCAGTCGCTCTTTCCAACCACACTCACTTAAAGCCGAACTCGCTCAATTTGCTCTTGCATTCTTGCTTCTTGACATCTCTCTATCCCCTCACTTTAACCTCTTGATATCCACCGTCGTTACCAATAACTTCATCATGGTTGTCTTGAACAAGTTCTCCGTTGCCCTTGTGGCCGCTATGGCTGCTGTTGGTCAGGCCACTCACGAGGGTCTCCATGCTCGTCGCGTCCTGGCTCGCTCCGTCACCCCTGTTGCCGAGGTCTCTACCTCGACCGTCCTTGTGGTTCCCACTCCTGTCGAGCCAGCTCCTACAGCTTCCTCCGCTGCTGTTTCTGCTCCCGCTGAGGAGACCTCCGCCGCGCAGTCCTCTTCTGCCGTGCAGTCCTCTTCTGCTGTGCAGTATTCCTCTGCTCCCTCGGTGGCTTCCAGCGCCATTCCTTCCGTTGCTTCGTCTGTCGTTCCCAGCGTTGCTTCTTCCTCGGTCGTTCCTGGTGTGAGCTCCTCCGTGCCCGCTGGCACTATTTCGCCTATCGCTTCTTCCAGCAAGCCTGTAGTCACCCGCACTCCCGTTAGCTTCCGTCCTACTGGTCGTCCCACCAAGTCCTCTCCTGGCAGTCTGACCAGCACTGTGTCTGCTCCCGCTGGCACTGACGTCCCTGGCGATGACTCCGTGACTGTGACTTACACCGTGACTTCTGGAACTTCCACTAGCGTCATCACTACCACCATCTCCAAGACCGCCACTGAGCAGCACACCGTCACTGCCGTACGTGTTGTATCTGATATCTTGCCCTTTGTATTGAACTAATTTTGATATAGACTGAGTCTGGCGCCGAGGTCTCGGCCACCAAGCCTGCTGAGGACACCACCGAAACTCGCACCTCCACCATCAACAGCACTAAGACTGAGACTGTCACTCTTGTTGAGGCTCCCACTCCCTCCGGTGCTGCCGGCAATGACTCTGGTGCTTGCACCGCAGTTACTGTTACTGCTACTGTCACCGAGACTGTGACTGCTGTATGTGCTGCTCATTCACCTAACTCATGCATCAAAAACTAACATTATTTCTCTAGGGCGCTGCTGAGACTCAGACCCCCGGCAATGGCAACGGTGAGGGTGCCCAAAGCACCTCCACTGTGGCCGCTACTTCCTCTGAGACCACCGCTGCTTCCACTGAGACCGCCGCGGATTCCACCACCCGTGTTCCCATCGGCTCTACCCGCATTCCCCTCACCCGCACTCCTATTCCTTCTTCCAGTGGTTTCGCTACCCGGACTCCTTCCGCCAGCGTTACGCCTACCCCCGCCTCCAGCGGCCTGCCCTTGCCCACCGGCACCCCCAGTGGCAAGCCTTTCTTGGCCAACTGGCGCCGCCGCTTCATCTAAACAACGCTGCTAATGCGAGGGGAGTATCCACCTCCCCATGGCAGCGAGTTGCGAGCCTGTTGATGATCTGAGAGAAAGTTCCGATTTCCTTCTACTCGCGCAGAGGCGTGCTGGTACTGTACCTATTTTTTTCTTGGCAAGTTTCGGTACAAACGGTTTCCATTTCACTTCTTATTTACGCTCCATTTTTTGCCATGTTTCTTCTTTTCGACTTCTATTCTTGCAATGGACTTGTCATGCTGGATGGTGCTTTGGACCCCAAGCTTTCCCTGCCTGCTGGCTACGTTTTGCAGGCCGCGCCCAATCTTCAACTTTTCGGCATGACATTTCCTTGCGTTACATTTTTACCCTCCAATGTGAAATTGACCCATTCATATGACCGGTTTCCATTGGACTCGGAACATTTTCTCACGTATCGTTTTTACGGGTGGTGACACGTCTGCTTTGAGGACTGGATCTCGCCTTTTTCTATTGTGTTTGAAGGAAAAATTCATCTTCTTTAATCTTTACAGATCTTCATTTTGCGAATGATCTCATACTTTGCGCTGTTTTTCGTCTTCATTTTTTTCTTTCTAGGTGGAAGGCCGATGAGGGTGAGCAATATCGGTATCCTTAGGAAGAGAAACTGAATTGACTTGAGGCTTTTGCCTGTTTACAAAAAAGACCCCCTTCCTTTGTAAGATATGTAGAAGTAAAGTACATGAGGCTCTCCATCCTGGGGTTATGGTAAGGCTTGGCCTCTGACGGACATGTCGATCAGTGTCGATCTTCTTGGGTTGCATCAGGAACAACACATAGGGATATCTATGGATATATAATATACATAGGTATAGTAAAGATTTGACCTGATGTTTCGTGTCTCGTGTCATTTGTCCATGCCAAAACATTAATATACATCGAATAGGATATGTAATATACAAGATTCGAACACTCAACTTCACCCCCAGAAGAGCTCACGGCATCCATCCTTTCATCACCATCCAGCCTGGCTCCCATAATGACTATTGATATCTACTACGGTATCGAATCTAACGCCTCAACCCCTTCCCTCGCAATCCGCTCCCGCATAATCTGCCATTCAACCCACGTCACACCCTGCAACAAACAATCCGCCAGATCATCAAGTTTGCCCGGGTCAACAGCAGCCACCTCGTCCGCCATATCAGACTGAGGCGACACGGGCAATGAAGAAAGAGATCCACTCTTCAAAGAACGAGACCCCTTCCCTTTCCCCTTCTTCGACGTCTGCGTCTGGCTCTGCCATTTCCGCATATAACCACCCGCAACACCATGCAGAGCAGGACACTCGGATTTATCCGCAAGCACGATCTTATCGTCAGCAGCAATACCCAGCTCCAGTTTTTTAAGACTTCCGTCCGTGTCTAGAGAAGCATTGGTGTTATTCTTCTGCATCGCAGCAGAAAGCCATCGTCCAACAAGATCGATCTTAGCCTTCTTCACTTCTCGCGCGGTTGGTTTCTTCTCCTTGACCCTTTTCCCGACCTCTGATGCTGTCCCCTCGTCTCCTTTCCCTGGAACTGATGACCCAGATCCACCCTCAAGCCAATACCTCACTACCCGTCTCGGATCAACGCCTCGAACAACCAGATCCGCAACCTCCCCGCCCCTCTCCTGTCGCAGTGTATGGAGAACGGCATACAGCATACCCTCCAACAAGCCAACACGCAGCGTCCATTCAAGCACGGCACTTCCACCGCCTGAGCGGAAGCGCTGCCGCTCTATGAGCACGTGCGTAGGGCGGTATGCAGCTATGAGTGATGTGATTAGGGTATATGCATTTGCAGCGTACAGGTCCGGGGAGAAGCCATCTTTTTCTTTTGTGGTAGATTTGGCGATCTTGACCTTGACAGGCAGGACTTTTTGCGTATCTACTGGGAGAATAGCTTGGGATGATTCCGTGGCGCCACCAGATCCTGATATTGGTTGCACGGGTTTGATTATACCGGTATTATCCCCGGGTATTAGGTCCAAACTTGATATCTCAGAAACAGCAAGTTTGTGCCAGGCTGTTAACTCTGGCGGTCTGGGGTTTGCAGCATCTATCCCAATACCTGGACCCCCCGAGCGGGGCACTCGCAGATGCGCGAATGCGAGGTTCTGAACACCCATATCGATGCTGAGGATGCTCCATGGTTGTGCGGGATTTGATTTTGACAAGTCTGCTGACTTGATGATTATCTTTGTCTTGTGGTTGCTTGAGGGAGTTTTTGTCAACACCCGCCGATCGACCTGTCGATCTTGGTTTGGGCAGGTGCTTGCACTATCACTAGTATTGGTAATGTGATTGGGACTACTAGTGATGGCACCCTCTGCAACACCATCACCATCACCATCACCATCTGCGGCAGCCGACTGCGACTGCAACTGCAACTGCGAGTGTGAATGCAACGTCAACTCCGCTGCAATGCGCTCAATAAGAACACCCTTCGTACCAGACGATTGGATACCCGTTGCTCGCGCAATGCGCTGCAATTGTACTGATTTCAAGCATGCGAGCCAAGGGTGCGTTGGGGAGTACAGTGCTGCAGAGAGACGCATTGGGGGGTTTGTTTGTGCTTGCTTGCCAAGGGTGGCATTTGGTGCGGGGTCTGGGCTTCCGGTGCAAGCACGACAAGTCTCAGATTTCTGTGTTTGGCTGTGCAGTAGACCCGAAATGGCAATTTTAGGCTGGATGCATGGGCTTTGGAAGGGATTGGATTCTTCATGGTGGATGGATTTGCTGATCGGTGCACGGACCACTGACGTTCGCGGCTACCGTGGCACTGGGTCGGGATTGAGTTCGTAACTTTTGTTTGTTTCCATGGTTCTGTGGAGGTTTAGGATCGTAGAGCATCATTTTCTACGAGGTGTGTAGTATTGACATAACAAAATAGATATTATATGCGCCCTCTATTTCCCAGACAAAATATAACACCGAGATCCCCTTGTGTCGGTAAAACACCCGGTCTGAATAGTAAAAATCCCCCCAATAAGCAGTAAATGCAAGGCGCTGAATGGCAAGTCAAAACAAAACAATCACCTAGGTAGAAGACAGCAAAGCAGCAAATAATAACCGACACCAAGAATTCAAAGAGCAAAAGTAAAGACCGAAACAAGAGCAAGTTATACCAATGCTGGCTGCTCAACCTCCGCCAATGCAATCTCATCTCGGAGATACAACAACGGAGCCCAAACACGCCAGTGTAGCACACCCATATGAGCTAGCCGCATTCCAATACGCTCAATATCCGACTGCTGTGGCGTCAGAGCCAGGGACGAAGTATTCACTGTCTTCACTGAACCAGACGCACCAGCAGCCCCAGTCTGCGGCACAGCACTACTCAGAGTGACAGACAATGGAGCCCTTTGCGACTCACAGATCGCCAATGGCGACAGTGGCAAGTATCTACGAGCCGCCGCTAGGGTGGTAGTAAGAATCTTCCCCCGCATGCTATTTTGGAAGAAAACAAAGAGCTCGGACTCATTCGAGAGATGCCACTCGAGTGCTTCCTCAATGGGAACAATGACCTCGTCCGCAACGACAGGGTCGAGCTGCAGCGCGGCACAGGCAAAGCGGGCAATCTCTAGCGCGATACAGCGCATATTTTGCGTCCAGCGCTTTCCGCCACGGTGGTCGGGATCGTCGTCGTTGTTGTCTGGGTTCCCTGCGATACGGTTCTCCAGATCCATGCCGTCTTCCATTAGGGACCAGATGCGTGACCGGAAGGTGGTGTAGGTTTCTTCTGGGGTGGAGAGATACCGCTTGTGTTTGTTGACGTAGGACTCGAAGATGTACCAGGCGATGTCGAGGTTGATTAGGTTTTGCACTGTTGAGCGGAGTTGCCAGAGACGCTCGGAGTCGAAGAGGAAGGTTTCAGGGAAGTTGGTGGGCGGGGCGAATTGGAGGAGTTGGCCGGAGATTCCGCGGAATAGGGCTTCGAGGGGTTTAAGAGTGTCTTCTGTTTCTGGGGTTGAGGCTGTTGATTTTTGGGCTTCCGCATTTGCGTCGTCTTGACGGGCTTGCTCGCGCACGGATAGGTACCAGTTGCGGGCGGGTTCGACCTGGAAGCCGCCGCGATTCATTTTGCCTTGGAAGTATTCTTGGAGGAAGGGGACTGTGTCTTCGATGAGGAGAACGCGGAATGCTCGAATCTGATGATTGGCGACATCCTAAGGCACGAGTTAGTTATCGTTGCAAGACAGAAGGGTTTAAATGTGACTTACCAACTTCATCGCCTCAAGAATAGAGAACAATGTTCGTAGACCATTGACAATCTCCCGGGGATCCTGAGACTGTGAACCTTTTTCGATTTGCTCGACCATGGAATCTGCCCACTCGTCTCGCATTGGAGCACAATGTGTTTTCAGGAGTTTCGCCAGCCATTTCGCCAGCGTAAGCATGTCGAGAACGCCTTTGCGTATTTGTTGCATCAGTAATGGAACTTCTAGGTTCTGCATGATAGTTGGGTGGTCCCGTTCCGGAACAAGGGTCTTGATGACGTCCTGCAATGTCTCGAACAGGGCGGGCAAACGGGGATCGAAGGTGCGTCGAGTACTATCACTCGACTTGACTTCCCCAGTGGCGGCATCGGCAGTCGCAGCATGGTAAGAGTAGATAGTAATCTCTGCGGCTAAGGAGTCCCAATAATCCGCAGCTTCTTTCCGCTTGCGTTGGCCCTTCTCTCCATCTAAGTCGGGCTTGAAGTGCAGGTCGCGGTCGAAGTTAGCGTCCATGCGGAGGTTGATGTTGCTCATGATACAGGGCAGGTCAAGCTCGCTGAGAGTTTTCTTGGTAACGGGTGGAGATCTCCGAGCCTTGCGCAGTAGCCGCTGATCGCGGGAATCTAGACCCAATTCTTGGGGTATACTGATAGCCTCCGGTGACGGGGAGGGTTCTCGAGGCCGAGAGATAACGGCTGGTACCGGGGATGCAGCTTGTCGAGCTCCATGAGGATAGGCGAAGGGCTGTTGACGACGACGAAGAGGATTAATGGAAGGTCGGTCATCATGATTGTGGGAATCTCGCCCCTCGTTCTTGTGGTACTCTTTAGAACGACCACTTCCAGCACCATATGCTTCTAGAGGGCCTTCAGCTCCCTCCTCCTGCGTGCGGGCTTCTTTTGTGCCTTGTAGATCCATCGTTAAACACGATATATCTGAACCTCCCCTACTCAAACAGTCAGATAAAAGGAAGATTTTGGGGTGGCAATGGCGAGACCACGCCATGCGCCCAAGCACTGCACAGGGCGACTACGCCCCTATGCAACTCCCACAACTCACAAATTTAATAGCCCCCTGTTTGCCTCAGGCAGGCAGCCAATCCGCAGTCACCGAAAAGTGATGCAAGTGAGCTGTCAATTCCTGTGGAGCCGAGGATTGCTTGGATCTGCGTCGATCGCCTCGTGGTTCCGATCAGGGGTGCAAGATAGGGAGAAGGTAAAAAAAGGGGGTGGAAATTAGAATCCTTGAAACAAAACAAGTATATAAGAATCAGAATAAAAGAGAATATAATCCTTTAGAACAAAGAGATGTAGAGTATGAAACGATTCTCCCAAAGTAGAAAAACCTGGGGGGAATTCCAGTGTATACTCTCAATAGCAAACAAGTCCAAATTGGTCTCGAAATTGCACAAAGATGCAGGACAAATGAACAAATCAAAGAAAAAAAAGAAAAGAAAGAAAAGGAGTTGGCAAAGCGACCGGGATGAACTGATATAGGTGAGTGTATCCCAGATCTACACCGGATTCGGGTGGACGCAACCAGCACATTCCCATGCTGCTACCCGCGAGCAGACTCCCCTCGACTACTTGATATCTCGACATTGTAACATCTTTTCCATTTCCGATTTGAACTTGCATCTGCACTTGAAGTTCTGGGAAAAAAGGGGGAGGGATTATTCGCCTCACTTTGAACTTTGAAACCAGCACTGGCCACGTGAGTGTGAGTCTCCTTTTCTCGGGGAACCACTGGATGCAGTCGATTTGCGCATTACCAGGTACATAGTACCCTCCAGCTGGCAGAAAAGTGTTCACATAGTACGGAGTGTTCGAGGAGAGATGAAGCAGGGCCCCTCTCGTCGAGATCAGAATGTTTTGGTTCTGAGCCTTAGTTCCTTGATGCCTGAACGCCTTAACTCCATGATGCCTAATAAACAAGGCCACACATCCCTTGAGGCAACCCTATACTTCACCTACTTCACCACTTAAATCCAAATTGATCTTCTCGTTCAGCTCGGATCTGAATAAAATTACTGTGATTCAGGAGGCATCCACTGCTTATAGAGGGATATGAGCTCCGACTGACCTCTCAAATCCACTGGCTATGACTTTGGCCCCAATAACCGGCTGGCCTTATTGACACCCAAATCTGGCTCAACAACCGCCCGCTCAATAGATCAATGACCACCACCATGTCTGAAAAGAAAGAGATAAAAAGGAAACATGATTTCCACGTGGAATCTAGTCTGTATCAGCATCCTAGATCTTTACTTCGCAGTATCATCTCGATTATTTGCCAGAAAGAAAAGTATTCTCATAGGTGTGCAAAGCACGGCGAGTTTCGATCATGAATATCTCCGCATTGCTATACTTCTTTCATATCCTATGGGCAACTCCTGGATTTGTCCTTTCACGAGGAATTGGTTCATACAATACTTCACAATTTGAAGTACATATCTTGCCCGGCGTTTCGGACCTTCCACCCAGCTGGGCTGGTCGTCTTCCGGTTCCGGGAACAGAGGATGGAAATGAAATCTTTTTCTGGCTATTCCAGTCAGAGCAGCCGGCATATGATGATAATTTGATCAGTAAGTCTGAACTGGAAAAAACATACAAAGGTGATTGCTAACCAAATTGTATAGTTTGGTTCAATGGCGGCCCTGGCTGCTCATCCTTAATAGGCCTGACGACCGGCAATGGACCCATTTCGTTCGATGGTAATTCAACTCGATTTATTCGCAATCCACACTCGTGGACACAGCTGGGTAATGTGCTTTACGTTGATCAGCCCGTCGGCACTGGCTACTCCACGGCCAGCTTCCCCTACCCGGTTAAGGACAATGACCGGGTAACCACGGACTTTACGCAGTGGCTGCGTAGCTTCTTCGAATACTTCCCGCATCTGCAGTCAAAGCAAATCCATTTAATGGGAGAGTCATATGCAGGCATCTACATACCCTATTTTGCATCGGAACTTCTCGAGGGTAATAATTCCCTACCTCTCAACGTTCGTTCAATGTCTCTCGGTGACGGATCTTGGGGAAATGGAGCAGCCATGGCGTCCGTTGCAATGGGCAAATATCTCAGGTCACAACTGAGCCTCCTCCAAATCCCCGAAGACGTCTTGTCTGTCTTCGACGAAGCAGACAAAACCTGCGGCTTCAACGACGTGTTAGCAAAATCTACCATATACCCTCCTCAGGGTAAAATCCATATCCCCGGAAACCCAGAGTACTTCAACCTCCGACGTCGAGACCTGACCAATGCCGCCAATTCCGCATGCGACATCTCACCCACAACCCCGGAAGAAGTCCGCAGCTCACTTTTCAACTCAACCTGCTACGGCCCCTGCGCTGCCTTCTCCACAGCAAGTGATTATCTAACAGCCATCTCCACGAACCGTACAACCCGCGGATGTTTTGATATCTACGACATCTCCCATGACTGCAGCGCCGTGTCGGAGCTCCCACTAATGGCAGAGTACTTCGGCCGCGCAGATGTCCAGAACGCCCTGCACGTCGATAACAGCGGACCCTACAGCGCCTGCAACTCCACAATCCTAGGCACGCTCCTTTCAGTACCCTCTCCCGTGCCGCCGGAGTATTTCATCCTCCCATCTCTGGTTACCAACCACAACATCTCGCTCCATATCTACTCCGGAGAGTGGGATATGATGATCAACCACTTCGGCGCGGAACTGTCACTGCAGAATATGACGTGGCATGGTGCGCAAGGCTTCGCGGACAAGCCGAAGAAGCCGTTCTTTGCAGATAATGCTGCACCGTCGGGGACTAGGCAGCTCTTGCTCAAGCATACGCCGGTGGCTACTACGCTCTTAACTGCCACTCCCACTGCTGCTGCTGCGGGTACGTGGGCTATGGAGCGTGGTGTGTCGTATCATCTCTTCCGTGGGGCTGGTCACAGTGTGTTTGTGAATAAGCCACGCGAGATGTTTTCCTTTGTGAGGGATGTGGTTGTTGCTCCAAGGGCTGGTTGATCATGGGGATTTTGGGGATTGGAGCTGGCGTATTTTGGGTTTTGGTTATCGAAATCGGTGTTTAGAACATGTAATTCCTCTAGAGTTCTTTTCTATCTTCAAAATTCATGGACAAGTTAGTATTTGATCAAAAAGGTCATGTTGAGCTCGTAACAAAAATAGTAATGGAAGGCTTTCGGACGATGTCGACAAAAATGTTGCATCATATAAGAAATCACCAAAAGCAATGTGATCTCTGGGTTCAAACGGTTTTTTTCGTCATTTGCCTGTATTATTCGCAAGAAATCAAAAAGATCACACCAATCACTTACTTCGATGATCCCCGTCTTGCGGGATATATATAACACCATTTTGCTTCATTGTACCAACTGTTTTGGTGAAGTGTTTAATTTGATATCCCAGCTACGATGGATATCTTAATGGATTTATACTCAGTTAAAAAAAAGCAGCAGTAATATCATGTTCCATATCTAAATCGAGTTGTTCCCAGAGTATACCGTATCTCGTTCACAAAGACCACAATGTTACCAGATCTCTGTCCTAGTGCAACAAGCGCATGGATGATAGTCTCACTATGATAGAACTTGTATGTATCAAGAGCAACCTTGAGTCAAGTCTACTTAGGGTTAGTCAATAAGTGTTGATCGTGATCATCATGAGCCAGCATGAGTCATGATGCATCACGATGAGGGGGAGTTGCACATAAACCAGCTTCTCGGCATTGACTACGTACATACCCGTAGATATCCCCTCTGGTTATATAAAGGCTTAGAATTATTCATAGCTCTGATGTATCCTGGGTAAAAGAAATTCATGATTCTGTTTGATTCGTTCATGCAGCTACTCATCTGAGAAAGGCATAAAAAACGATGTAACCTGCTAGCCGCAACAAAAAATACTATGCCAAGATTCTCTCCCAATAGATGGGCCTTTGTCAGCGTTAAATCACCGCCTAAGGGAGATGATATATCACGAAGCATCCGTTTACTGATGGAAGAAGCTCTTTGCGACCATTTGTCTTGATGGGGCTAGCCGACACTCTGAGTACTGCCTCTGTATTTGAGTAGAAAAACTCCTAGAACATGGAAAACTATTTGTCCTGTCATCGAGTTCCTCCTTTTGTAGGAGCGGGTATTCCCGGCTTCTTTCTGACCTTCTGTGCAGTCTGTCGAACCTTACCAAGCTCTCCACCTTTGACATATCCCACCCAATCCAGCAGCACCTTTGTACAGCATCGATGGTATGCATAGTGGCATTTGTAGTTGTAACTCGTCATAGAGCAAAATCCGTTCCACTTCTGTACCATCGCTGCCACCAGCGGTGTACCAACACGCTCATTCTGTGCATTAATATCTCCACCAAACGAAAGAAGGAACCCCATCATCTTCCGATTCCTAGAAAATGCTGCTCCATGTAGTGCTGTCCCGTGCACGCCTCTACCAAGGCCTTGAGAATCCCAACTCGGTAGATTCCGTAGTTTTCTCTAACCCCTCGACGATGGTATCAAAAGCTTCAAATAAAGAAAATTTCAACTGCAGCAAGAAACGCACACCGGATCAGGGCAACGCCGCATGAACAGGATCAGACTGGACCAAAACATCAACTAACTCCATGAATTTCCTGACGTATGCAGCAACCTTGACGCATAAACCGCGGAAAATAGGCTCATTCCCCCCGATGCTGATCTTGGTTCGTTTATCCCTCACGCAGCGGTCGCGCTGGCTTTCGTGTGCTGAGGTGATATCGTTTAGAATGTGTTTTGCATCTGGAGGTGAGGGGCTTGACGTTTCGATGATGCGCTGGCGTTTCGGGGAATGATCATAGAGCAAGTACCCATAGTGGGGAGATTGGCGACGTTGTCATCACGAGTGACTACTCCGTACTCTCTTCAATGTTAGTCAATATGTGTATAATCGCGTGTCTTGAGAAAGTGGATGCGCGTTTCAGCATTTCATGGCAAAGAGAAAAGGAATGAATGTTTTATTCGCACAAAGCTGGCGCAAAGGAAATGCAGGCTTGGCCGAGCGGGGAAATAATCAGAAAAGGCCCAGGGGGAATGATTGAAGCCCAAGTGCTCTTCTTTATTCACATCACACATAAACAATTCACTGTAGGGCCACGGGTAAGTTATATTCTCGTAACCCTCCACGGCCTATGGCTGAGAGCACCGACGGTGAAATGGCATTGAAGTCCAGGCACTGACTGGTATGTAGGAGTCGTATGATATGTCAAAAATAATCCAATCTTTCGAAGAGATATGAATTGTTTTCATACGTCATGATCTACTTCCTTCCCCGCATAATATGGGGTAAGCCAGGTGATCTCACATTGTATGACTACAAAGTATCAGCCCATCCATTTCCCTTTTCTTTCCTTTTCTCTACTTTCCCCTCTTCTTCCTCTTTACATCTCACATCTCACATCTTCCACCATGACAAAAGGATTTGCAACCATCACCCCCGAATGCGAGGAGGTATTCGACGAGGTCAAAGGCACCGATAATCTTAATTACGTCATCTACGAAGCCTCCGCACACGACAAGAAGATCACTGTTGCTGAATCCGGCAAATACAAGGACTACACTGAGTTCCTCTCTCACTTCAAGGATGACACTCCCCGATACGCAGTTATAGACTTCACCTACGACTCTCCCGCCGGCGATGGCCAGCGAAGCAAGCTAGTCTTTATCACGTGGTATGTAGAGACACATTGTATCACCCTCACCTTTGGAGAGGGGGTGATCTCACAATCGTCGAAGAGTACATGGTACTGACTGTTGGGGTTGCGGGTAGGGTGCCCGAGGCTGCGGGCATTCATGACAAATCTTACTACACCTCGAACAAAGATCATCTCTTCTACGAGCTCCAGGATATCAGTCTCCATGTCCTGGCACATTCCCAGGCGGAGCTGGCTCATGCTGCAAGTATGTATACTCTGGCCTCGTGAACCATTGGCTTCATGGCTAGTATGGTAGTGATCGGAACTGACCTTTTTTTACCCTAGTCCTGGGGAAGTTCAAGGCTCTCTAGAGGAGTCTTTGATCTTCAACCTTCTTCCTGAATCATGACTTCCTAATCATGAACCTGCTGTATGAAGCGATTCACAAATCATGGGTGGTCCAGCTATGCTGTTCTAGACACATTATTTCGCATTACAATATTTTTTACAACTAGAATATGAGGACCTGTGGGATTGACGCTGAAAATGACCGCTTTTGAGGCCAGAAAGAGCTCCCTTGCCACCCGTAACTTTGGACCTCCTCCGGCTTAAACTAATAAGTACTAATATTAGACCGATCCTATTCTTTATAAGGAAACTCGAGCTAGACTAGAATATTTTTATAGTCTTATAGCTCCCTCTAAACTTTAAGCTAAAGACCCTAGGTATCGCTATTATTAAACGTTATCAGGAAAAGTCCTATAACTAAGAATAACATAGGAATAGAATATAGGAATAGATATTATATTTAATTAAATAAAGAAATATTAAGAAAGAAATTACTCTAGTCATATAATGAATAGACTGCGACATCGCCCATGGACGGGCTCTTCTTCCATCTCCGCCTTTTTTTTCGCACTTTCTCTTTTTTCACAAATTACCGGCTGACATAGGAAGGGGAACAAGTGAAGAGAGAGAAACGAGAGTAAATTATCATGGCAGAAAGCAATTCTCCTACCTCGAGCCAGTTGGAGCTTCCGGAATCCCCCTCTCAAATCATCGGCAGACGCAGAAATCGCCTTTTGAGCATCATCAAGCAAAACGATCTCTCTCTCCTCCGTCAATTTATTGCCTCGTGCTCTCCCGAGGATGTGATTGCCCCTGGGACACCCTACTTGGAGGACACCTTGTTCAGTGCAGCCTCTTACGGTAGCCCCGAGGCTCTTCGCATCCTCTTGGGGGTGTATGCTGCAGCCCCAGAAATTGTTAAAAAGCTCAATCCCAATTTCCGCCTGCTGCTCGACGCATGTGGTGCAGCAAATATTGATGTCGTGCGTTTCATCTTGGACAGCCATGCCGATCCAGAGAATCCGTTACCGCTCGGATCGGTGGATTTGCATCAGAGAGATGACTCCGGAGATACGCCGATTCTCGCCGCTGCGGGGTCGCTGATATATCCCGATGAAGATGCCGACGAAGTGGAGGATGAGGGCCTTGATCGGAATGAGTGGATTCGGAATCGGATTACGCGAAGCCATCAGTTGATCAATTTTCTTCTCGACCGGGGCTGTTCAGCGACAGATGTCAATCCCCCTTTGCCAAATGGTCTCTCGCCTTGGGGAAATCAGGTTCAAGACAGTGTGATTGGACTTTCTGTGTCAACGGGTAGTGGTCCATTAATTCAACGGCTCGTTGATTCCGGTGCCGATATATATCTCAAACATCAACACATTCATCACCCCAGAGTACCACTTCAGTCCAGTACCACAGACACTCGCACGCATGACGTGACTACGCTCCATCTGGCAAGCTTATTCTATAATTCTGATGCTGTCAAATTGCTCTTGAATCATCAGAATCACAAGGCCAACGGCAACCCTGACCTGACTTCCTCCTGTGACAGTGACGGGCGGTTTCCATTACACTGGGCAGCTAGCGGCAGTGCCGAGTCTGATTGTGGACTCCTGGATAAGCAGCTCAAAATCTCAGAAACCCTTCGGCTGCTCCTCGACCACGATTCTACTGGTATCAACCTTGTTGATAAAACTGGATCTACGCCCCTGCACTATGCTGCTAGAAGCCACGCTAGATGCGGTTGCACCCAGTATGCTGAGCTTGCTATCCGCAATTTACTCGAATATAAGGCTGACCCTCGGATCCCCGATGGCTCGGGCCGTACTATCCTGCATCTACTAGGGTACCACTCCCATCAAGGCGACCCCATCAACACCACGCTCCTGGAATCAATCTTGTCACATGGTGCCAATATCAACCATACGGAGAAAAACGGGAAAACAGCGTTGCACGTCTTTACTCAGAATCTGCGACAGGTCTCAGCGGCAAAGTTCCTAATTGAGCATGGAGCGGATTTCAGAGCTCGAAACACTTTTCGCGAAACGCCTTTCCATGCGGCAGCGCGAGGGTTTTTGAGTGATCATGTACGCCGTGATGGGAGAGATCCGGAAGTGACAACCGCGAACAAGATCAGACTTCAGGATGAGATTATGCTTGCTCTGAACAAAGCTGCTGGGGAAGATGCCGCTATGTTGATGAACCAACCAAATGCGGAGGGTAAAACTCCGCGAGACTTGTTGGAGGAGACCAGAAATAGGTGGCAGGGGATAGCGCGGCCCATATCCGGCCCTGGGAGAGGCAGAGGTAGAGGCAGAGGGCAGCCAGTAGGAGCATAATCACAGATGAAGCATATCTCATAAAAGTGGCCATCGTAGTACTTCTTACAATTCTTCTCTCATATCTGATTTGGTATGCCCAATCCACGAATACTTAATGCCCCTCTTGTTTAAATTTGGAATTTGCGCCAGATTTCAAGGCTTTGAGTCAAGGATGCTGGGGAAAGTCTTTTATACTCCGTCGTTATCTAAACAAGGCACATCTTTAGCAAGATTTGGGACATGAGCCATATACATGGAGCCCTATTTAAAGATGACTTTTTCGTTTCAAATAACTGCCTCGTCCTTTTTACTGTACTAAAAAGATATTAGAAATGACATTTTAGATGAAAGAAAAACAACACAGCTTAGACTCATGTCCTGCAGATGAAATTTATCAAACAAAGAACGGATGAGGAGAGTCCATATCATAGGAAGTTTCAGAAATGTACGTAGAGCTTCCATTCTTCATTAAAGCTACATTGGATCTCTGAGTGTACCATTGATCTTGCTCTGAACATAGGTACAGACTAGTTCTGAAACGAGTGATATAAGTAAATATGACTGAACATTCATGACATGTGTAGCATATAGAGCGAGAAGATGTCAGTTAGTTGCAAAATAAGCAGTGTTCCTTAAGACATCATATACAAAATCGCTACCCAGTTAAGCGCACGAGATTTGATCCAATTGAGTCGCGCCAATCATGCCTTTTATAAATTAATGGCCAATGATAAAGCTGCTCGCAAGGTGCTGATGGTGAGTTTAGAATTTCATTATCTCGATACATTTTACTGACGATAGAACTAGGATACAATACCATTCAGCAAAGAAGTCTAGAAAGCTTCGAGACTGATGGCTACCTTCCCTGGCCGTAAGGACTGTCCTTACCGCCAGGCTGCTGAGCTTGGATTCGACATACAAGAGGCAGTCGCTACCGCGAATCCTTTTCGGGTTGCGATGCTAACATATGCCAGCGAGTTTCTCTACTAACAATCCTTAGAGTAAATTGCGGAAGCAATAGGGGCAGGACCGTAGTTTGCGAAAAGTAGCAAGGGGCGAATGGTACAGTCAAGTCCGATTGGGCGGGTGAAATTATAGGGTCGCAACGATGAGTGCAAGATAGAGAGGCAGAACAATGGAAACGTGAGAGAAAAGAGGAAGAGCAGCGAAGAACAGCGAAGACGGGTCTTTCAAGTCGGAGAGCATAAGAGCAAAACTAACCGCATCAATTCACAGGTCCACCGTTTACATATTAAAAATGTTCGCCCTGACTAAATATATATGTATGAAGTGGAAGTTTACGATAAATAAACATCAATTCATTTGAAACGTATTGTAACAAAGGCCGGTTCTTTCACGGGATATTAACTCGCTAATGCATAGAAAAAGAGAAGCACAAAGAGCACTAATTAAATGCATGTATAATCGATAGTCAAAAGAGATTCAATGACATGCCCAATAGATTTCTCGTAGCTCAGTTCTTTCAAAAAAAAAAAAAAGAAAAAAGATCAACCCGCTAAATCATGGATAAACAGAATACAGATCGAGGATCGGAGTGCCAGGAAAGAGATGGTGTTGCAAGGAACCACCAAAGTCACGTTGCTGGCATGCACAATAGATTGCTCATAGTCATAATCGTAAGATGCGGATAAAATGAGCATGGGGGTAATCATGACGCATAGAGAGAACAAAATTCTCTGAGATGGAGCGTAAAAATATTTCATAGCCGCTTAGCGACGGAAAAATGGGGCTTGATTCGAAGAGAGAAGCGAGTCAGCACGCTGGAAGACATCGCCCTCGAAGAATTTATCACTGTACGCACTGGCTGGGGTGGACGGGACAGTGGCCTGCGCAGCAGGGCCGAGCGCCGCACTCAGCGGAGTGGCGGGGACGGTGACTGATTGCGGGGGCGACATCATATTGAATTGGAAAGAGGGGTTGTTGGTGAGGGCAGATGTTGAGACGGATGTTTGATGGTGTTGCAGGTGTGGGGTCTGTAGCGGAGGACCGTACAAGGCATTAGGGGGGGGGTGGCGATCTGGGTCTGTAAGGTAGGCCCAGGGGGATACCTCGATCAAGCGGCCTGCTTCCCTGCTTGCCTTTTGGACTGGGCGTAGGAGGATGATAACGTCGGCAGGTAGAAGTTGCATGCTTCTCAGCTCGCGCATCTCGTTCACTAGGTCGACGAACGACTGCATGAAGGATTTGCACAGCTGCCAGAACTCTCGTTGATTGCGGAGTCCGCCGCCTGGTTCTTTGATTTTCATGGTCGAGAGACGCTGTCCTAGGGCATCTGATACTTCCAGGCAAAACTGACATCGACGGATGAGGTTATTCCAGAGGATTTGGATCCCCTCTGAATCGCGTGACTGTTGAGCAGCTTCTAGACATCTTATGAATTGCCGACGGGCCAGTGGAAGTGCCCCGTATGCGGCATGGTATGTAGCGGTCAGCTGATGGAAGATCTTTTCGAATATTCGCTCCTCTTCGTTCTCATCCAGCCCGGTCAGCGTGTTGACCCGGGGAGCCCCAGGAACAGGCATAGGAGGGAAGGTTTCGCCTGAGCGAGGGGTTGCCAACGAGTGTGGCATAGATGTGTTGATCATGTTTGATCTGCTACTTGAACGGCTGCGTGCGTACGACGCTGAGAAACCAGGAGAGCTAATGCTAGTCTGGTTGGAAGTCATAGTCATAGGGTATTGAGGGTGTCGAATCGTCGTGTCGCTTCTCAATCGTCGTGTGGGCGGGGCAGGATCTCTTGTTGGAGTGACCAACGAGAGTTGAGATCGGTCTGGGACCGAGGGAAGTGGGTTACTTGGGCCAAGCAAGCGCTTTGTAGCAGAGCCACGTTTGTTGATGGTCTGGAGCGGAACATTGAGAATAGCGCAAGCATTCCGTAGCTCCACCAGGCTGCCAAACATCGTCAGCATCAGTGATCGTACATAGCGTGGATCACCGTTGGAAACGATCTTGGCGACGTTGTTGCGCAGCTGCGTGCCGACGTGAATGTAGGCGGAGATGCACGTCTCGCATTCGCGTTTGACCGTTTCTGTGACTGATGTGATTGACTCTGGGTCATTGTACAAAGTATTTGATGCCTTCTCGAGAGCATCATTGAGTTGGTCGACATGCGAGGAAGCATTGTAAAAGACAAGCTCGAGGCTGTGGCGTCTAGTGTCATCATGTTTGATCACATTGATCAATGTGTCGATATGGGAATGAACTTGAGCGAGAGCAAACAGAATACCTTTGGCAGTCTTTATTATTGGTTCATCGGATCCACGCTCACCCTTGTGTTCAGGTAGACTAGACATCCGATTAACCCAACCATCTCGCGGACGGCGACGCTCTCTTGGGCTGGTGGGACTTGGGGGAGTACTGTCATTCGTGGCTATTGGCGGCGCAGCCTGACGCGGTCGAAGCACAGATCCATGACTGAGACCCCGTAGATGGCTGTTTCGATATGGGCGCGTTTCATCCAATGTACCCAGATCGGTATTCTTCCGAGTGATCAGTCCCATTCTTTTGCTACGAGCAACTGATGATCCTTGGATTATGCCCTCGCTGTTGCTTCGATTGCGCTCGTTGACAGAGTGAGGCGCTACACCAGGTCTTTGGAGACCAGGTAGGTGGTAGTTAGCGCCTTGTTGTCCAGAGGCCATGCGATAGTGGGATTTTAGTGGGATTGGTGGTGCCCGTGATATCGATGGAGACCGAGATGAGGCTGCCGAGCTATCACCAGTGCTGGGAATTACTGGAAACCGGCCACTCAAATTCCGCTTTGAGGGGATCGGTGTTGGTATTGGTTTAATATCAAAAGTACCATCACTGCATGGGCACCCAGTCTTAGCTTATATCCACTTGGAGGTCATGAGATAAACAAACCTTGTATCGGTAACGATTTCGGGCTCGGGTGTACTCGTCTGTTGTCGTGTTTTCATAAGGAATCTCTTGAGTTTGGTTGTGGCTGCAACTTCTTTCTCGTTGTCGGTCATCCCAGATGGTGTCGCGTCATTCTCCGTTTCCTCTAGTATGTCACGCAGTGGCTTTCGCAGAGGATTCCCAATACACTTGAAAATTTGAAGCTTATGCATCTCGGAGAGGCCAACTGGGAGGTCAATGAGGCGATTTTGCATCACTGACAAAACTCGCAATGATTTCAATTTACTGATCTCATTTGGTAGCTCCTTGATTTTATTTCGGCTCAAGTCAAGAATTTCGAGTAATGGTAGTTTGTAAACCTAGCAAGCAGGATTAGCGCAATGCAAGCATAAAGCAAGTTTGTGATGGTACATACTCCTTTTGGGAATTCACGGAAGTTGTTCGCTCTAATATTGAGATAGCGTAGATGCGAGCACTCTGCGAAGCGATAAGGGATATGGAAAAGCTGATTGTTCGACAGAGACAGCCTTTATAGTAATTAGTATAGTTCAGAGTAGTGATGCCGTAGCCTAGGAACAGGCAACGCAAGACTTGATTATAGCAGTTCAAAGCAAGGCTCCGACGTACCGTTCGACCTCATCTTTGATCAAATCAACGACTGGTTCAGGGATCCTGGCAATGTGTGAATGACCAAGGTCAATGGTCAGCTTAGGCTTGACCACATCTGTGACAGCCTCACTGCCTGCCAGGGAACGCTTCGTGTCTTGAATGCCACTTTCAACAGCATGTCGCGCTAGCTCAATAGTTTCTTCTGGGCTAAGAGTTTTCGGTCCAGTCGGTTGCTTGCTAGTACTCTCCGACGCATCTCCTAAAGCAGTACCTGGTCGACTTCCATCTTCTGGGTACGGAAAATCATCGCTTTGTGACCCTAAGAAGCCACCTGACTCCGGCGTTCCATTTTCCATTTCATCTTCGTCTGTCTCACCACGGTTCAAGCGCGGCTCATGTATTGTGTCCTCGGGACGAGTCATGGCGGATGTCATGGCTGATAAAAGCCCGAATGTTGTCGATCAAACACACCCCAAAGCAGCACTTTCGTTGATGAATTGATGTACCCAAAAGCCAAAAGAATGCTCAGGTGTAGCGACCATTACCATATGAACACGCTCCGGGCACCTGCGCACAGCATCGTTGGTTGTGATCAAGTCGGAGGGGCGGGATATCTCGACGTTAGACGGAAACGGAGCTCGAGGCGGCCGTTAGGGTGGAGTCGGAGTGGAGGAAGAGGGATCGGAATCGTCAAGTGTCGAATCGGCTGGGTATCCAGTGGTCGACTTCAGAGCAGATTTATTCAAGACCGAGGGAAATAGTGCAATGAAGCTCTCATGGAGGTTGACAATCGCGGGCGCGATAAAGAGATTGGCCACGGTGGAGATCTGGCAGGTCGAAGAATGTTGTTATCGAAGCAACAAACGTCTAAAGTGTAAGGCTGACGCGAATAACAGAAAAGAAATTGAGACTTGGCCCTGGAATGAAGGGAATTGAGGACATTCAAGTTGGGCGAGGCTGGAAATCTTCTGATTGGATGAAACACGCCCAAACACCGGACCTCCGCAACTCTGCGTCTCGACTCCGCCTGCGTCACTATATTGAAATATCAAGGATCATATTTCATGATATTTCATGATAGGCTTAGGATCTACAAGATATGTACTAAAACAAGAAATGAATTGACCAATATTGCATGTGCTATCGCGTAAATAGAGCTAGGGAAGTACAACATCCAGCAGAACAGATCAAATAATATACATAGGCCATCAATATGAAAGACTAGGGGGATCAAAAACTCCTGGAAAAGGAGGCGTAGCATAATGATCCTCGAGCCAACTCCAACTCCAACATCTCAGACTCTTACAGAGTGACCGCCTCCGTTTCTTCGGTCTCAAGCTCACTTGACTCAGTAGTCTCTCCCAGATCTGGTGCGCCGCTGAGAGCTGATTTCCGCTGGTCCTGGATTAGAGACGTTTCCCGGGCCCATGTAACCCATTTGTCGTACTGCTCGTTCTCCATCTTCATACCAATGTCCATGTATGATGGTCCGAACTCAGCGCCATATGCCGCAGCTTCTTCCGCAGCCACCCGACGTTGAATGTCCTCCTGCAACCGAAGTTTGTAGAATTCTCGACGCGCAATATCGTAGGCGGCACTCTTGTTCATATCCGGGACGTTATTCAAAAGCCACAGCTGTCGCTGGACCACACTAGTACAAGGAAAGTAACACATTAGCATCAGGGGAATTTTCGCGTAAAAAGAATGAAAGCATTAGAATGGGAAACATTGGTAACACACCTTTCGCCGTCTAACCGCTTCCCTGGTTGTTGGATGCGGCTCCAATCGTAGTGTTCAAAGTCCTTACCAGTGCTCTCAAGAAGCACACGGGGCCGGGCAAGTTCCCAGGGGTGATCGCGGAAGAACTGAGTTCGCAATTGATCTTCCTCGTATTTGAGCTCGACAGGCTGGAAGAGTCGACTAGGCTTCTTGGGCTTTCTGCGCTTCTCTTGGACTTGGAAGACGACCTGCGGCTTCGATGACCCAGCGACGGTCTTCAACCGCTGCTGGACAAGCTCATGCTGAGGAGGGCGGGTACGAATGAGAGTTTCAGCGGGGGGGATCTCGCTGACCACACTGACCCATTGTGGCAGTTTGCTGGTCTTTCCACTAGCGAATTGGCTGAGTGCTGTCTGTCGCACCCGGAGGGCTGTGAGGTTTATTTTGCCCATGGCAGTCGGAAACAGCCGGTAGCTGAAATCACTTGAAATAAAAGAAGAATTGAGACACGACTGGAGACAGCAAATCAAAAGACAAGATATGCGCTGCAGGGGGACGAGGTGGTTGATGCGGGAGCGAAAAAGATGGGATTGGCAAAGGGCGGCTCCGATTGGTCGAGGGACGGACTCCGCCAGGCCAGAAAGTGCAGGGCCGTTCATCTTCAGAAAAACACACCTACGGCTTCCGAATCTTGACCCTCTCCCCCTTTGTCTGCTTTTTGCGCCCAGAAAGTAGACGGCTCTCTCTTGTGCGAGTGGCAAAGGGCTTTCTCTTGGATGCGGCCTGCCTAATGCCACGATGTCTGTCATCTCATGCCTCATCCAAATAGGTCCCCCAGCTCGCCAAGCCTGCGAATTCACCCCAAGCAGGCCTTGGATGAGCTTCCTCTCTTTCGACAAACCTCAATGCCTCCCTCGAAACCCCTTTCTCACACCTCCTCGGTCCGAAGACTCTGTCCCCGTCGTCCTCGGCCATCCGTCGCGTCAATAGCAGATATTTTTGTCGGCTCGCTGGTTCTGGCAAGCTTCTGCCACGAACACTCGCCGAATCGTCGGGGGTTATCGACAGTAGCCTGGGGTGCTTCAGATCATAATTTACAAAAATTTCAGAACAAAGGCGCCACTGGTCGCAGACAGCTACCACCCCGGCGACAACCAGAGTATTCAAGCTCAAGGTTTCATCTGTCGCAGCCCAAAAGATTGATCAGCAACGGATTGGCACGTACGAATGACGATAATACAGAGGAGTATAATATTGAGACCGAGTCACGGGAGGAGACGGAGGCAGACAACGACTATATACCATTGTGGCCCGCAAAGAGCGCGGACGCGGAATCGCGAACCCATTGTGAAAGATTTGATTTTACATATGATTTCGACCGCAGAATAGAGATAACAGAACACACCAAAACCGACATCGATCCCAAATTGCCGGACAAATACCCCCGCCAATCATTCCCGTCATGGCTGCATCCCGAGAAGGAGAAACACCTCTCTACCTCGAAATTGTACGAAAGGTCCTTGCGAGATTATGACTGGGAGGAAGCAGTGAATGCTGTAGCGCCATATTCACGTTACAAAAAGACGTACAAAGATGAGTCGCACGATCAAATGGAAATCCAGTCGGTTGAGAAGCTTGTCAGAACGTTGTGGGAAGAGCCAAACCCGTCCACTCAATACCTGTTCCGATTATACAGAGATATTCCTGCTCCGGGGGTAGCTTTGCTTTCGAAACGCACCCGCGGTGCTCTTCTGCGTTTGTTCGCGCATCCCCGAGATCGACGATGGGTAGATGCTCGTCGCTACTTGGCATTGGTGGACGACATGGTAACTGCACGCCTCCCTTTATCCCGATCACTCTGGTCTTCTGCGATACATCTTTCTGGCCGAGCCAATGGCAGAGTTCTGAAACGAGATCTTATCCGAGCCGTGGGCATGTGGCAGAAGATGGAACACATCGCTGGAGTGAAGGCTGACGAGGTGGTCTTCAACATCCTATTCGACATCGCAATCAAAGCCGGCGCATTCAAAGTTGCTGATCGCCTGGAAGAGGAAATGACTGAACGGGGCTTGAGTTTTTCACGCTGTGGAAAGACATCCAAAATCTATTATTTTGGAATGATACGGGATGTTGAAGGTATTCGAGAGACTTTTGACGACTTTGTGAAATCGGGCGAGATCGTCGACACAGTCGTTATGAACTGCCTTGTTGCCTCCTTCCTCCGGGCAGGCGACACCCAAACTGCGGAGCAGCTCTACGCTCGGATGCTGGAGAAACAATCAAGCAATAACAAACGCCTTTCGCATTCGGACGATGGATCCCACGATGGCGGGTCAAACTTGAGCTATGACATGCCCCAATATCGAGAAAGATCTCGGGAATTGGGCCGCATATTGAAGAAGTCATCAGCACTCAAAGAGAAGTTTCCAGAATATCACCGTGCTCTCCAGGATTCTCTCTCCATTGCACCCGACACGCGAACTTTTTATATCTTCCTACGACACTACGCCTACAACACTGGCCAGCTCGATAGCTTCATGGCTGTCATGCGTGACATGGAGAAGACCTTTGTCGTCCCACCACGTGCTATAATCTACCTGTTTCTCTTTGAAGGGTTCGCTCTTCATGGTAGGAGGAAAAAACAATGGAGTGCGGAAAACCTTCGATTGACATGGCATGCATACATTCGGGCTTTGCGTGACTCGAATGCAAGACTTCGTGGATTAAATTTGAACAACCGAAAGATGAAGTGGGAGAACCCACTAGCTAAGAGCGTGACAATCGATGTTGAGGAGCCACCAGTGACCGATTCTCCCAACGGGTTGTACATGGCTTTGCCAACAGAAGATACAGTTGGGAGTCCAGAGGGAGCTGAAGAAACTGCCGAGGGCTCTGCCATGGATAATTCTCAAAACAATGAACAAGATGCAAAGCCTGAGCTGGATGAAAAAGAGGATGAATCCACGGAGATAGAGGAACTCGATGTGGATGAGGTCTTCAACCCTCGTTCGCAGTTCCCCGGTGAAGCAGAGCAAGAAGAACTCTGGGACCCCGAGCAGCGTCTCGAAAATGGTCTTTTTGTTGGACGTCGGATGATCACCATTATCCTACAAGCATTTGGAACATGCTGTGGCCCCAAAGAGGTTCTCGAGGTTTGGTTGCAACTTGAGCGGCTTTGGCATCCACAGCAGCGCAAAGCGATTGATGTTTTTGCTGTCAAGGAAGAGCTTGACAAGCAGATGTCCAGGGATCCGCATCGGAACCACTGAACAAGAAAGGGGAGCAGCTGAAATTTGGAGTCAGCACTTGTACATTATTTTCCATATAGATCTACCATATACCGCCTCAATTTCTAGCGTGTCTTTGGCGCAAATGTATTATTTTACAAGAAGTCCAAGTCCAATTTGTAGACTCTATCTGCCTCATTCCTTACATCCTCATTAATTCTTGCGCCAAAGTGAATTAAATTAGTCCACTCAATCCCAAAAAGGAAGCGACAGGTTGCCACGTGACATCGCGTTCTAGGACGCGGTTGAAGGCTCAATCTTCTTTTCTACTATATTTTCACTTACCACTTTCACATTGTCTATCTCTGATATGAAGCACAATGGATCGTAACCCGGCAGTGACGCGCCAAACAGCCAATATGCGATGGGTCTTGAAACATACCTTCAAAAAGAATGAATTCCGGTTAGTTGACGAACTAGAGAAGAGGGTCAATTTACTTACTCCACCACATAGTCCACTTCAACGAGAAGTGATCGCGTCCGTCATAGAAGGGCAGGATGTCTTCCTTCAAGCATGCACTTCGTTTGGAAAGAGCTTGTGCTATCAGCTGCCTGCAGTTCTCAAAGATTGGGGCTGTGAGTTTTGACATCTCTTATTTTCAATGACGGGTAGTCTGACTTCAATATATCTAGTAACTATTGTCGTCTGTCCACTTCTCTCACTGATGGTGAGTGTGATTGCAGAAATCTCGCAGTCAAATGACTAATTCCTGACAGACAGATCAAGTGAACACACTGAAAGCTCTTGGTGTATCAGTCGCTACCATCAACTCCAATACTACGCATGATGAGAGACAGCGTGTCTTCGAGGACATGCTTTGCGGTCACCCAAGTACACGCCTGCTCTATGTCACGCCGGAGTTGTGTCTAACGGACAACTTCCGCCGCCGGCTACTCATAGTTCACAAGCAAGGTCAGCTCATTCGCGTGGCCATTGATGAAGCACATTGCATAAGTGAATGGGGACATGACTTCCGGCCCGCTTACAAAGAGCTGGGCTGGTTCAGGAAGAACCTGGTCAGTCCGACTGTTCCAATCACTGCCTTAACAGCGACTGCAACCCCCCGAGTCC